CCACTACTTTACTTCACCAAACCTAAAGTGGCCGGTGGAATTCTCGCATGCTTCGATGCGCCCATCTCGCCCAATAGAATCTCCGTAGCAGTCCAAACAGCGCACACGAAATGTAGTTGTGTTTGTAGTGTAATTGCGTTTCTGTAAAAGAGCCACTAACTGCGAACTGGCTTGGATCACAATGTCCTCATGGTCAGTCCAGTTGCCGGAGTCGCCAGACTTATTCTCCGTGAGCACCGGATTGGTGACAAAACAATCATAGTGGATGCCTGAGTAGACCAAACAAATGAATTTCGTCGGTTTGTTTTGCTCGTCTTGAAACACCATTTTCCGTCCCAGCTCCACATCAAAGCAGTTGATTCTTACACCAAGAAACTCGGAGAGTATCCCCAATTCTATGGCGCCACCCCAGGACTCGCTTTTTCTGATCCATTCGCAATACTTATCGCGAGGCCTTCCCAAGACCAATTCATTGTAAGTGTCGGGATTTGCTTCGATGGTGGATGCGACAATTTTCACGAAGGTCCAAGTCATGCCACTTGAATGTGCCTTGTAGCGTATATGTAATGGCATTGAAAAGGCAGGCATTATCATCTGGCACATTTTCGCAATATTAGATAGCTGTTCAATGCTTCAATGTACACATTTGCAATCTTGGTCGTTGGTCGACGGAGTCACTTTATAGCTGGCGCCTGTGATGCCGTGACAGGGAGAAGCCTCTTGGGTTTCAACAAGAATCTGAATCGTTTGCGATGAATGCCCTGCTTCTGCTAACAATGTTTGGGTGGATCGCAGTTCGAGGTGCTTTAGGTGGAAATCCACACTTGAGCGAAGTGATACGTTTGCCTTTGAGAGCCGGCACGTCTGCACTTATACACTCAATAAGGCGAGACAAAGTCCATGAGTCTTCAGCAGATATTACACCAGAACCTGCTGCTGTTTTAATCTTTAATCTCATGGTTGATGAAGACGAGGTCCGGTGGCCAAATCTGTCAACAGGACAAAAAGTGCGGAGATACAGTACGATACACACTTGTGTTATCTGACTATATTGTGACATATATCATGGGGGCTTAAGTTATTCGGTTATCAAGCGGTAATGTTATTCGATTCCCATGTTGGATCATTTTGTCCATCTCGTTTTTGTACTACATCATGCTCTATTGTACATGTCATTTCCTATCACCATTACTAAAGCATAAAGCTGATGCATACCCATATGTAGTTCGAGTACAAGCCCTGAAGTGAAAATAATAAAGCACTGCAATCAATCGGTTAATCGGTCATCTCAACTTCACCTTCTTGCTTGGCCTCATCTTGCTCGGTTTCCCCAGCGGCTGCAGTAGATGGAATTCCTGTAATGATAGCATCCAATGTATCCTTCTTCTCGCTTTTGATTGCATCCAACTCGGCCTTGTTTTCGTTCTTGTACTGCTCAATGTTTTTGTACTTTTCAACCGCCTCCATGAACTTCTGAACATTATAACCAGCGCAGGCCTCACTCTCCAACGGCGTATATGGTCTTTGTTTGAGATCCTTCAATCTTCTCTTGTGAATTTTGCCCTTGCTATGGCGGTCCAATGCATCCTGGTTTTCGAAATATTTTGCACATTCCACGCAATAGTATTGTCCCAAACCTGGCTTTGTTTCGTCCAATGGCTGATTTTTCAAAGCCTTGACACTCTCCTTCGACGAAAGGTCATTATAAACAAGATCAAGATCTCTCGTTCTTCTCTTGGTTTTGTATCTTTTCACACTATATCTCCCCATCTATGTTTTTCTAGCCTAAAGTTCTTATCTAGCAGAGCGATGAGCATAAAAATGCATCGCACTGCAGACAACTCTCTACACCAAATTGCTGCAAGCTACAAGGAAATCAATCCCCTAGTACTGGAGACGCCCATAAAAGGCATTAATAGTCAGAAATATGGGAGTGGAACTGTAACTTTGTCCGGTCGTAGCAGAAATTGCTCGAAGGGGCCAATTTGCAAGAACTAACATTGTGGCAGGTGCTATATCACGAATGATCGACGGTGAGCTCACACATACAGAGCCTAGGATACTACAGTGAGCTGCTCTCGCTGTAACTATCTATTGGTGTCCAAGTATATTAGCTGGGCATCATCCTAACAGAAGACAGTCACATCGGTCACGTGCGCTAAGCGACCGCACCGCTGCACCATCTGTATGCACACCAATCGCCACCAGTCGCACTGTGGAAAAAAAATTATCATGAGAAATCTGCCTTGATTTTTTCCTCCAGACATCGTTCCCAAAAGGTATGTGGATACGAAACTTGAACGAAGCTGCATCATATCCATGAGCCGGAAAATGCTCTAGCGCATATGATACAAGAAGATGGAAACCGGGAGTTGACGTGTAAACGTCGATGCTAGAGAGACTTTCAGTATTTAAGGGAAAACTTCTCTAGGAGGAAGTTCCAACTTTGAAACTTCTCTTCTATCGAGATTATTTTCCTTTGATCAAATAGTCTGAAGCATCCTGCCGCAGTCCAGAGACTCTGGTGTCCCCGTTTTCAAATGTGCTTTTGTCCTGTATTAAGGTCATTAGTAAGCATCTCCATATATATTGTGGCTCCGCGAAAAGTTTTTTTTTCTTACACCAACTCTTTACTAACAGAAAAAGACAAAATGGCTAGAAGACCAGCTAGATGTTACAGATACTGTAAGAACAAGCCTTACCCAAAGTCCAGATACAACAGAGCTGTCCCAGACGCTAAGATCAGAATCTACGACTTGGGTAGAAAGAAGGCTGCTGTCGATGAATTCCCATTGTGTGTCCACTTGGTCTCCAACGAAATCGAACAATTGTCTTCCGAGGCTATGGAAGCCGCTCGTATCTGTGCTAACAAGTACATCACCAAGATCTCCGGTAGAGACTCTTTCCACTTGAGAATCAGAGTTCACCCATTCCACGTCTTGAGAATCAACAAGATGTTGTCGTGTGCCGGTGCTGATAGATTGCAACAAGGTATGAGAGGTGCTTGGGGTAAGCCACACGGTTTGGCTGCCCGTGTCTCCATTGGCCAAATTCTTATGTCTGTCAGAACCAAGGACAGCAACAAGGATGTTGTCATTGAAGGTTTGAGAAGAGCCAGATACAAGTTCCCAGGTCAACAGAGAATCATTATCTCCAAGAAGTGGGGTTTCACTCCTCTCGACAGAGACCAATACATTGCCAAGAAGAACAATGGTGAGGTTAAGGACGACGGTGCTTACGTCAAGTTCTTGTCCAAGAAGGGTAAGTTGACCGAGAACTTGCAAGAGTTCCCAGACTACCAATACCAGGTTTAAGATAATTTTTAGGTATGTACTGAAAATTAACCACTGAAGCTGAACATGTCCATGTAGTACTTTTATTTCTGTTTTCCGGGTTGTGCGATCTGTAAAATTATCACTTATCTTTCGAGGTATTGCCGTGTTTCTTCATGTGGCATTTACTATTTTTATAGTATTGCCATAGGTTATTAGTCTTTTCACCCACTTCTGCTTCATATTCTGTATGCGCTGATCTGGCATCGCTTTCGACTTCTAGCTATACACAGGAACATTGTTCTTCAATCACCACAAAAATGTGAAGATACTTGCAGCCAGTGTTTTGTTCTGAAGTATCTTTCGTATCTTTCGCCTCACCAAAGGACGTGTTTACTTTGGTTTCCATGCGTGCCCCTCGTGCGGCGTTGCTTGTCCATGCACGTTTTACTACAATATAAAAGAAAGCGCGATCGCGCGTCGGAGTATTTTTTTTTGGTCGACGAATTTTTGTTCTTCAAATAATACTATAATGTCTTTCGCAAACAAGGAAAAGCCAGATGTCTTGGTGTTGTTCGATGTTGACGGCACTTTGACCCCAGCAAGATTGACCATCTCTGATGAGATGAAGGCCACTTTGGAAGCCTTGAGAAAGAAGGTTGTCATTGGTTTCGTTGGTGGTTCTGATCTCTCCAAGCAAGTCGAACAGCTCGGTGCTACCGTTCTTTCCGACTTCGACTACTGCTTTTCCGAAAACGGTTTGACTGCCTACAAGCTCGGCCAGGAGCTTGCCTCGCAGTCTTTCATCAACTGGATTGGTGAAGAAAAATACAACAAGCTTGTCAAGTTCATCTTGCGTTACTTGTCTGATATTGATCTTCCAATCAGAAGAGGAACTTTCATTGAGTTCAGAAACGGTATGATCAATGTTTCTCCTATTGGAAGAAACGCTTCCACCCAAGAGCGTAATGACTACGAAGTCTTCGACAAGGAGAACAGAGTCAGAGAAAAGCTCGTTAATGCCTTGAAGGAACAATTCCCAGACTACGGCTTGACTTACTCTATTGGTGGCCAAATCTCTTTTGACGTTTTCCCTACTGGATGGGACAAGACTTACTGCTTGCAACACGTGGCTGACGAAAACTTCAAGGAAATCCACTTCTTTGGCGACAAGTCGTACAAGGGTGGAAACGATTACGAAATCTACGAAGACCCAAGAACCATCGGCCACGCTGTCAACTCTCCAGCTGATACCATTAGAATCTTGAAGGAATTGTTTGACTTGTAAATGGACTAAATACAAGCATATTTTTTTTATCCTTTTCTGTAGAAAATGGCTGATCCCCCTTCACCTGCAACAATTACTTGCTCAGTATCTTTGCCATCAATGCGGTTTTTTGAAAGTTGTAACCTGTTTGTAGATTGGTCATTTAGTTTTCTAGCCAATCTTCTCCTTGCCTTCACTTCCGGCCCTTCTAGGTCAGCAGGTTCCACTAGTTTCGGCAAATCAATCGGTTTCGAGCTTTTCACAGTTTTTCCGTTTCCAAATTGTCCGTGTTCATTGTCTCCGAACACAATAACGTCCTTGGCGCTGGCATTGCTCAAAGTTACGAACACATGATCATTTCCGACACTAATATCCTTAATTCCCACATTTATGATCTTCTGGGCGTTTTCATCGAATTCAGTCAAGCCAACTAAACTTTTAATGAGTTTAGGAGATGAGTTCACTTGCATATACCTTGACAAGCCCAATTGACCTTTGATACCACTTCCGAAGCTGAGTATCATTTCCTGACTTTTAGTACTATCATCGCTTTCGTACAAGAGTCTGATATATGATGTAGTTGAGCCAGCATAGACGCGGGGAGTTACAAATTCACCATTTACAGCTTTATCCTCTAAACTGTGTTTCACTAGCTTGCTCAAATCTTGCAATGTGTACGCCAAAACAGGAAGTTGTTGAATTTCATTATTGGCACTCACTTCTTTGCCACATTGGCCAAAAGTGTTATCCCCCCATGTCCAAATATTTCCAGACATGTCGCTTGCAATGTTGAAGTACTCGCCACTGGCTATGGAGAAGAACTTCCTAGGTTTGACATATTTTCCATCTTTACTAGCAACAACCTCATTATTCAAATTGAGTAATTCAAAAGCAGAATTGTAAGGGATTTCATTCTCTCCGGAAAACGGAGAATACTTTGGAACACCAAATTGACCTCTGTTTAGTGGTACCTTCGACGTACTCGCTTCAAATACTCTCCCTTCGGAAGAAAGTATGAGAAGATGATTTTTACCCGCAGAGATGTCTCTCACAGATTCACCTTTATTGAACCCGGAGATTGCAAGTTTTTTGGTGTCATACTTAGAGCCAGAGCTGAACCAAGAAGAGGAAGGTGCAGTTTGGGGGTCAATTCTATCACCATGAAATATTTGCTTTCCATCCTGGCTCAAGTAATAGAATTGGTTGTTGGACGATAATACCTTGGATACTTTACCAGGCATCAGTACTTGCACTGGCTGTTCGAATTTAGGAGAGTAGTGGTAAACTTTTCCGTCATCGTCAATTACGATAACATAATCTTTTTCGACCAAAACATCCTTTATAAGCTTTCCATCAAACGCTGCCACTCTGGAAGGCAACTTGTGTTTATTGATTGAGCCGAAAAGGTAAAGACCTTTGTTGCGAACGGAATCTTTCAAGGAACTAATGAACTGAGGACTCAACTCCGTTGTCAACTTATCAACTAAGTAATCAATCGACTTCAGGTTACCCTTGGAGTTGTTGTTGTCTTGAATCTTGGAATCATCAATGTCAAAAGTCCATTTGTTGTAAATCAAAGTTTTTATGTACTTATAATTTGTTGCCAACAGATAAACAGATATGATAGATACAAGAGCCAAGGCTCCAGCACCAAGTCCTTTCAATCTTTCCTTCCTTTCCCACTTTCCTCGTTCCTTTTCCTGATTTGCCTGTTGCTCCTGTTGGATTAGATGAAGCTGATACTTAAATTCAGGCGAATTGTGCCTTAAACCTTGGAGTCTGGGATGAGACAGGAGGTCTATTTCTGGGCCATTCATATCAAATTGTGGAGTCGCTCTCTCCTTTTCGGTAGATGGACCAGTTTCTTCTAGATCATCCACGCCATACCCAAATTTGAACCCTTTCTTCTCTTTGTTGAAGTCATCGATTGACCTGTATTTGCGATCAGAGTACAGACGGATGAAAGGCGCTGCCACATGTTGAGAATTGTAAAGCAGCTGTACCTTAAAGGAAAAGCGCTTCATGGCTTTTGCTCCCGATACCCTTACTATCATGATGTAAATACTTGGTAATAGTAGTTGAAGAGGGCTTTTGGAATAGTAGCAAATGCAGGATGCGACCACTGTTAGAGCTTTCCTAGGAATATCAATGAAGAGACGGCTGGACCCACTCAAGTAAGAAATATAATGATCATGTCTCAAAACGGAGTATCGTTCAATTCATGTGGATTGAAACGGATTAAAAAAAAACTTTCCCCATTACGAGATCGAGTAGGATGAATTTCGATGAGGAACAGGCATAAAAAAATCTCTCACTATTATCAGGACCATATAAAGTAGGAAAGCAACCGAAAGAATGCAAGGAAGTCGAGCAAAGATGAGCAAAAGATTGTCTGTTCCAAGTGGAACAATGCATGTCCACATGTAATCAGTGCCATATTATCATACAGGTCACCCAAATATTTGTGCTATCGCACTTGAAGTACTCCGCAACTTTAGTACGAGCACATGTGGAAAATCGGAATTCAGGGACAAAAACGGACGCTCAGCTCGATAACTCGTTTTGATACGAAAAAGTTTGTCCAATCTTTGCAGGAGAAGGGAGGTTTTAGCGCCGAGCAAGCAGAAGCAGCAGTTATTGTGGTCAACAAAGCTGTCAATGATGGCATCAGTCAGATTGCAAAGAACTTGGTGGCAAAGGAGAAGTTGAATTCAGTAGCATACCAACAGAAAGTTGACTTTGCAAAGTTGAAAGGAGAGCTTCAAACACTGGACAAATCCGAGTTCACCAATTTGCGCAAGGAGCAAGAGAAACTACGCACAAACTTGACTAATTTACAAAACAGACTCAAGGAAGAGATCACAAAGAACTCTGCCGGTGTGCGACTTGATCTAAACTTGGAAAAGGGCCGCATGAGAGAAGAAAGTTCAATACATGAGCTGAAAATCGAAGACACATACACTCGGATTGACGAGGAAATAGCCAACATGCAGATGCAAATCAAGTCTGTCAAGACCCAAGTTATGCAGTGGTTAATCGGTGTGAGTTCTGGTACTGCTGCTCTTCTTCTTGCGTTTGTCCGGTTTTTCGGCTAATGCGCTACATTTGGGATTATGGCCATCTTATGGGAGTAACCATATGGTACGCCCCAGTTACTTGAACCAATCATTGGTAAGAAGCCACAAGGGATTTATTTGGACGGTAAGGAAGCATCTACGCTTGAGAGCCTTTTTGACTAATAAGGCGCATTCAAAGTATGTTCAGAATAGAGAGATTTTTTATTCTTCATTGAAAATGAATTGTAGAAATGAAGTACCCAGTAGACGAAGAAGAGTATCGTATAGATAGCCATTAGGTTGAAAGCAACCTTCTGGCGATAGGAAGAAAGGTCACGTGCACCAAGTGGCAGGAGATTTGTGTCTACGATAACGCGAACTTAGTTTTCAGTTTGAAAGTGATCACATACTACAGAAACACACAAGCATGAACTCTCTATACAACCATGGGGTCAAGCAAACACAGATTTTAACACGAGATTTGGCATCGTTTGAGAAAAACCTTAGCACGTCCCCAATGTCTTTGCAAGGGTCCATCATTACGTCGCTTACAGCATTCAAAAAGACAATTAAAGAATACAATGACTTGGTCACGCAGAACAATTTCACAGAGGAAAAACACCAGCTTCGCTTGAGCAAATTCCAGGAAGACTTGAGTAAATTCAGCGAGAAATTCGACTCGTTGCGACACCAGCGAGAGATTCTGTTACAGGCAGAATCACATCAAGAATTGATGGGCCGAAGACACGTCAGCACAGACAACCCATACGATGCTCTGCAAAAGGCAAACCAGCCGCCTAGTGGGCCTCTGTTGCTGTATCTGGAAGGACTTTACAAGGAGAAACAATCATTGTCGAGGGGTAGTAATCAACTCGACATGATTTTGGAGATGGGCCAGAACGCTCTCGATGATTTGGTGGAGCAAAATGAAACGTTACGGCGGGTGGGGCAAACGTTCGAACAAAGTTTGCTAACCTTGGGGGTTAGCAGGGGCACCATTCGGAAAGTGGAGAGACGTGCCAAGCAAGACAAGTGGATTTTCTGGGGTGCAGTTATCGTGATGTTTGTGTTGTGCTACTATATCATCCGCTGGTTCCACTAAGGACTGCGAAAGACAATTGCATGGGACGTATGTAGATGAAGCATATTCGCTACATGTATAATATGAAGAAAGTAAGAGCTTGCCCAATATGGTGTTCAAGCTAGGAAAAGCTGGTTTGTCATACAGGTGTACATTTCCCTGAAAGTAGTAATTTGTTGCATATCTTTTTTCAACTTGACATATGCCTACTCGCTAAAGCTCCGCCTCGCTAGAAAAGCAACATACGGGATTCGTCCGCAATTGACAGGACTTACCTCCTAGTCATTGGCGCAAATTGCATTGAAGGTGAAAGTATGAGGGTCCAGGAGTGCACGCAAGACGGATCAAACGCACCTACAGGAAATTCCTGTAGTTGTTGGAGATGGAGTGGAGATGGACGATAGGCGCCTAACTGTAGGCGGAGACCCAAGACCGCAGAAGGGAAAAACAATGGCAGGTGGAGGCAGCTTCGACATTGCAAATTTGCCAGAAGAAGTATTTTGCAGTGCCCCACCCATCTGTTCGCCCGATTAGGGCATAATCTCGAAGTGAGCACCATTGCCCGAATAGGCAGTAGACCATGCAAACCGAAAGCCATTGCCCAAACAAGCAATGCCGGGATTCTCCAATATAAGAAGGCATTTGGCTGAGGTTGGAACCCAGCATGCGATGAGAATCTATCTATTCCTAGTCCTAGCAGCAGCTTTGCCTGTGCGTGAAGCCCCACTTGAAGCACGGGCAGTGGGCGCAACCACAACCAATATAGGCTGGGCGCAGCTTCTTGGCCTCGCGCCAACCGGCACGCCTGCACCAACCACCACGCTGACTGCGCAAGTCGCACCCACGCCGACCACTACAAGAGGCACTGGCATTTTCGGGTCCAGCAACACCGGCAATTCTGGGTCTGGCAATTCTGGGTCTGGAAACACGGGTGGCAACAACGCCAACACTGAAAGCAGCGGTCTGAACTGGCTCAGTCTGCTTCTTCTGCTTTTCTCTCCTTCTTCTTCTTCCAATACTTCGCCGTCCTCTACCGCGTCGCCGTCCTCTTCTTCGGCGTCGCCGTCTGGCTCGGGCTTTTTCGCAAGCCTCCTCGAGCTCTTGGGCGGCCTGCGTGGAAACGGCGCGCTGGGCAGTCTGGGTGCGACCCAAGCCACTGCTTCTTCAGCCACCTCTACCCTGGGCGGCAGCGGACTATTCAACACGGCGCTGGAAAGCCAGAGCGGCGATAAGCCAGCATTTTCTGGTCTAGTTGTTGTTGAAGGCGCAGGAGGCTCTGACACGGGCAGCGAAAGCACCCAAACAGATGCGCCTCTGTCAGAGGGCGCGGAGTACGCTGAACAAGGCGTGGGAATCACCTATTCGCCCTACACCAAGTCTGGCCAGTGCAAAAGTGCCAGTCAAGTTGCTTCTGATATGGCCAAGCTCCGTCTGTACCAACTAATCCGGCTCTATTCAGTCGACTGCCTGGGGATCCAGAATGTGATCCGGGCCTTGGGCCTGCAGCAGCAGCTATTTTTGGGTGTTTGGGCCATTGACAATTTGGACACTGACCTTTCGTCCATGGCGCAACAGGTGGAGCTGGGGTCGCGCGGGTGGCGCGCAGTGCACACCGTGGCGATTGGAAACGAGGTTGTCAATTCCGGGCGCGGGTCCGCCTCCCAGGTGCGCGCGGCCGTGCAAAAAGCACGCCAGTGGTTTTCGTCCAACGCGCCTTCGTATTCGGGCGCCATTGTTTCGGTCGACACTTTGGCTGCGGTGATGGCCGATAGTTCCATGTGTGACATTTCCGATTACCTTGCGGTCAACTGCCATCCGTACTTTAGTGGCATTGAGGCCCTGACTTCGGGCACATGGTTGCAACAACAAACAGCCCAATTAAAGAGCCATTGTAACAATGGCAAGGATATCCTCATCACCGAAAGTGGATGGCCCAATGCAGGCAATACCTTGGGCCAGGCGGTGCCTTCTACAGAAAGTCAGGTACTCGCGCTTCAAAGCTTGGGTAAAGTCATGGGCCACCAGGTTGTGATGTTTACCATGTACAATGACTATTGGAAGGACCCGGGACCTTATAACGTGGAGCAGCGGTGGGGCATTTATGGTGATCCGTCTGCGTAAGACTTTTGTATTGTATAAAACGAGAAAATATTGACGTTAATTAAGTAACGGATACTGGTTATTCATACTTTAGGTTTTTGATTTCGTTGTGGTAATTAATCATCGACTAATTCTGTACTGTATTAATTGTTAGAGAACATCAATTCAGGCAAAAGCTGTCGCACTGTATAACACCTTGGTACTGCAAAACTAAGCCAATCTACCAATTGAGCTACTTCATGATTGTACCGTTGGAGTCATTAATCCTCTCAGTCCAAGTTTCTGTCTTCAATGCCTCGATAAAATTCAAGACTCGGTCTTTGGCAACGGGTACAGTTCTGATCAAGCCTTAAACCCAGAATTAACCTACACTGCTTACATTGTGATGTACTGCTACTTAACCTCTTGTACTATTCAGAATGAAAAGGAAACCAATAAATGTTCCTCAAATGTGTAGGTTTTCTAAACAGCATCACAACATCACGAATGTTTTTGTATTTTTCAAATCTATGTTTGTCTGGCGCTCACTTGTCCCTTTCATTCTTGCATGGTTGCAAGTTGAATTGTTGAGAACTAGCAGTGGTATATACACACTGAACTAAAATTCTCTATTACTAATTCCTATGACAACACGGCGCCCTAACGGTACGTAAGATGTCATTACATATACATATCACCGCGGACGCAACCTTAATGCATTTGCATTAGATCTTCCTGTCACCATTGGATATATTCCTGACAGTGAAGTAAGTGCATGCATTAAACAATGGTTGCCAAGGTGCAACGGCACGACAGGTGCACAGCAACGTCCTGCCGGTGCAGCCAACTCATCTCTTAAACGCCGTCCTATCATCTTAGACGAAGGACACTTCATATCTCCTCTCAAGTATATAAGATCACCATTTTTCCCTCTAGGATGGATTCTTCTCTAAGGATCATCCCCATCCCGATATATCAATCCCCAATACACTTGCTACTCAAATGTCCAACACCTCTGACTCTATTGAAGGTTCCACTCTGTCTGAAGTCTCCTTCAGAGACTCTCATGGATTGATCTCTGGTTTACCAGCAAGAAGCCAAGGTGTGCATAGTGCTGCCACTACTGTACAAAAGGTTTCACATGAATACGACCTGCACAGTGCACGCGAGGTGCGCCGTATTCACAAAATCAACAAAAGCATTTATTCCTCCATCAATACCATGTCGGAAAGAGAAGCCAAAAAGCTTGCTGCAAAGCTCAACACTCTTTTCGAAGGCATCTACTCCGTTGCTAATAGTGCAGGGAAACCCATTTACGTCGATTTCCAAAAACTTCCCTCGCGCACGGGAACAGATTACTATAAGTACATCACCCGGCCAATTTCGCTCCATACCATAGGCAGAAATATCAAGAAGTTCACTTATAAAGATGGCCAAGGTTTCGTGGACGATTTGGCACAGATAACATGGAACGCCCGCCACTACAATGAGCCTGCGTCCGAAATTTACGAAAATGCTCTCCTATTGGATAACTACATTAAAGACACGGTCATCCCCCGGTTATCTACCGATCCAAAAGTGCCAAACAGTTCGACTTTGTATTACCCAGACTTGGGCCCATTGGAAGAGTACGGCCACAACACATTTGACGAGGAAGGTGCCTCAGCGTCTCCCTATGTCAAAAATGAAGACTACGATGAGGACGAACAATCTATGGTCAATTACGGCTACTCTTCAAGAACTTCTATGGGCTCGGCTAAACCGGGAGAAGGTGGTGTAAGACGCGGAAGACCTCCGATCATCGATAGACCTTATGAATCTCGGATTAAGTCCATCTTGAAACTTATCAAAAAGATCCGCCATCCAGAGGATGAGAATCACATCTTGACGTCTCATTTTGAGAGGTTGCCTGATAAATCCCTTATGGATTACTACAAGATCATTGATAATCCGATTAGTTTGCACGAGATCCGCGCGAAAGTGCGTTCTCGTAAGTACTCTACTGTGCAACAGTTTTTGGATGACATGTCATTGATGATCAGCAATGCCAAAATTTACAATGCGTCAAACCCAGAAATGATTAACGAAGTTATTCTTTTTGAAAGAGAAGCCGAGCAGATCATAACAAGGGAGATGCTGCGCCCAGAATCCGATTTCATGGTTTCAGCTGCTGCGGGCTCCGACTCTTTGAAAACTCCTTTGGACCAAGTCACCGTCCGTAACCACACCTATAAAGTTGGTGACTGGGTTCTCATCCGCAATGCTAATGATATCAACAAGCCCATTTGTGGACAGATTTTCCGTTTATGGACTGCTGATGGCATTCAGTACACGAATGTGTGCTGGTATATCAGACCAGAGCAAACGTGCCACCGTGATGACAGACTTTTTTACATCAATGAGGTGTGCAAAACTGGAGAGTACAGAGACCATTTGGCTGAGGATATTTTAGCACCATGTTATGTTATATTTTTGACCTACTACCAGAAAGGAGATATTCCACCTAACTTGCTTCCAGAAGGTACAGAGTGGTTTATCTGTGAGTTTAGGTACAACGTCAACACATATGCGTTCAACAGAATTCGTACATGGAAAGCTTGTTTACCAGACGAAATCCGTCACATCGATCAGCCTATTGTGCCGATTAACGAGCCACGGAAGTTGGTTAAGTATGACTCGCCTATCAAGGACCTTTTACCAAATGATGCTCAAGGTAACCTGGCTCCTGTGAGCCCCGTCCCAGGCCCCAATGCCAACGGCCCTCCCATTGTAGGTGCTGTGTACAGAAAACCACCTTATTACAATGACGAATTGGGCCAATGTTCCACCTCTCCAAACGTTGTTAGAGCGCCCGAGTTAGATGATCATACTACGGGGAGAAAGGCTTATATTTTCACGCCGGCATCGCAACTTAAAATCGTTGCAGGTTCAGGGATTTATTCGTCGTCCGGAACTCGCTCTGTTCCAGCCAACTATACACCTTCCCAAGCTGACGAGTACTCTCTTAACAACTCTCCATCGGCTGAAAGCCTTGCATACAAAACGTCATATCCTCCTGTGACTCCTCAACCAATGGGAACCACGCAGATGGCGTACCCTCCCACGTCGGTGTACAAACCTTATATCAACAAAGCTCACATTAGGGACTATTCTACCAGTGCGAGTGTCAGAGGTACGCCGCCGGCTTCTTATTCTGTGCCATTATCTGGTGGTCTGAGCAGCACGCCATCTATTTACTCGAATGTACTTATAGGGGGTGTGGTCTCATATGTGGGCAAAAAGCCTACTGCAGAAGAAGAGGATGTTGACGAACCAGAACAGTTTGAGGATGTGAGCAAACTGCTCGTATCACTTGCAGGTAGCCCTGTCTGGTTCCGTGCTCCACCAGTATTGATCTCAGAGAAGTTACTCACACCAATTGGGCATTCGGCGAAATACTTGGCTTGGAAGCTCAAGAAGAATCAGGCCTGATTCTTAATTGCTGATGGTATATAGAGGAACACTGTCGGAATAAATGTTGGAGAAATGAACTTTCTAATTCGTCTTGAAGTTTCGTAAATTGGCGCAGTCCATAAAGATAAAAATATGAGTACAAACGGTGAATAGGCGAAAATTAAATGTCTCACCAGTTGTAATTGTGAAACCAGTTTGCCATTTTCCTTCAGTGTGCCAGCAATATTGTTTCTGCGGTGCTACTTTTCGCTGGGGCTTGGGCAAAATTGAGATGCTGTTATTCGGATAGCTCGCGTTCCAAGCCATTCTTGACTACTAACTCTTTAAATTTCATTCATGAATAGGTTTTTTCATACAATCTTATAGAATATTCTTAATGGTGAACAACTGTGCACCCGCGTACTTTATAATCGCGCGACCAGACTGCGCACGATTTCACCTCTGCTTCATGGTACTACCTTATGTCAACTCAACTTTCGGAGTTCCAAGAGTGTCTCCGATCGTCCAAAAGGATTGTGGCTTTGGTAGGCGCTGGCCTTTCTGCGTCTCTGGGCCTCGCCACGTTTCGTGGCTCCCAGGGCCTATGGAAAAACTTCAACATGATTGACTTGGCTACACCAGATGCCTTTTACATTGACCCTGGGTTAGTGTGGCAGTTCTATCTGTGGCGAAGATATGAGGCACTCAAAGCGCAGCCCAACGCAGGCCATTTGGCTCTTGCCCGGCTTTCTCGTCTTCGCAGCAAGAAATTCATCACCATCACCCAAAATGTGGATGGGCTTCTGGCCCGTGGCGGCCACGATCCGAAAACCTTGTATGAAATACATGGCTCGCTCTTTGAACTTCGATGTACGAGCTTTACATGTACACATGTGGAAAGGGGTAACACTGACGTTCCCCTCACCCCGGCTTTAACAATAGATGTGGATACGGAAGTTGGCCCTTCTGTCACCACTGCAACCACATCTTCTGCATCTGTTTCTTCCAATTCTACTGCGACGACTACTGCAACTTCATCCTCTCCATTTTTCAGCCCCACGAAAGAACTAAATGTCGATGATTTGCCCAAATGCCCAGTTTGTCAGTCGCTTATGCGGCCAGGCGTAGTTTGGTTCGGTGAATCACTACCCTTGCGAGTGCTAGATCGCATCGATACTTTCTTAGAGGCTGGTCCTGTAGACTTGATCTTGGTCATTGGAACGTCAGGCACAGTGTATCCAGCAAATAGCTACGTGGACATTGTGCGGCAGCGTGGGGGCAGCGTAGCAATATTCAACACTGACATTGATCAGGATGTTTTGGAGGGTAAAGTAGCCAAAACCTGGGGCTTCAAGGGCGATGCAGCTGAGTTACTTCTAATCGCTCTTTCTCCGCTCTTTGAAGACTCCGAAGAAGCCAACAGTTAAGGCTCATGCTACGAGCGGACAGACTAATGTACGATGGCTTATGATTGGGTGACCTATTATTCATTGGTGAGTTACCTCACTCCTTCAATTTCTCTAGTGCTCTAAGAGCATGCTCTCGTTGACGCCTCACACAAACGCCCATTAGGGTCAACGCTCAAATCATTATGTCGTTGGACATGCTACATTGCCCTACTTCTCGTCCTTTTGCACGTTTCCATAGGCCCAATCCGCGATGCAGTGGCTGAAAAAGGGGCCGACATGTATGCTACGTTTAACCTTATTATCCCGGCCCGGTTAAAAGCACGGCCTACTCTGCCGGCTAGAAGCAAGGGTCTACGTTGTTGCTCTTTATCTTCACTTCAATGTGCACTTTGCGGATATTGTACTAAATTTGATACATACCTTGGTGGTCTACTCGCCACAATTCCATTGAAAGAAGGGCTCCTACTGTTGCGTGTGAAAGGTGAATTTTAGCGTGGCACATGGAATTTATGCACATGCTGCATCTGCCAACTATGCGCAATACCTTTAAGAGATGCCACATATACGTTTGGCTAGAGCTTACATACCCCAGATAAAATTACCGGCACATTTGTTTACGAATTCATTTATTCACAGTCCCTGAGCGGACGCCAGCGTCCGCGATTTAACTTAGTATACCAATGTCCCATGATAGCTATCCTTGCGTTCTCGTAGGTTTTCATACTTGCGTTCTCCGGTGTCGAACATTCAATCATCTCTCTTAACTGACCTAAGTGGCGCCATTCCCATCGCTTTTTTTCACCTGGGGGTTGCGTCTTCTGTAGAACGGGTTCCCCACGTAAGTGGTGATTGTACTGCGGCGTTCGACAGCACGACGGCTGCTCAGCTTGGGCGAGATCACCAGTGTCAGAAACAGCCGGTTCAAGCGCCGAGGTGGCAACATAGTAATAGTCGGCTCATTAGAACTGCTGTTCTGCTCCGTAGAACCTGGTATTGACACCCTATTTGCAGAGGTTGTCACAAACGCATCGACATTGAAACGACTGGAATCGTTTACGTATTGGCTAGCAAAAGGGTCTTGAAGAAACTGGTCCATAGAGGTGGTCGACATGGAACTCTTAAGTTGCAGAGTTGGTGAATTTCCTCTCAGGTCAATAGAGTGATAATTCCGGCTATCTAAACTCAAGCAGCTCGAAGAGGCATTTGACAGCAGCAAAACCATCATTGGAACAGACTCTTCAAGTTCAGGCTGAGCCCTTGGCACACTGTTCTGAATAGTCGAGTCTGAGGTTGAGGAAACCAGCAGCATTGCACCAATTGGGTCCTTTTGTGGTGCCAAAAGCGGTGAAGAAAGCTTCTTCATTTGACTCCATTCCAGAACAACAAGCTTCGTCGGAATTTGATGACAGCATTCAAGATAACGGACGTCGAACTCGTCCAAAGCATCTTGGATGTCTGTATGTTTCATGTTTGGGAACTAGAAACAAAGAATCACAGAATTGTAAACCAATGTGGTGAACCGCTGGCAAAACTCAAGTGCCTTCAACGCAAGATTCACACTTCGAGTTCAAGTCGAACAGATGACATTTTTTCAGGACAGCCGCCAAATTTAAAAGTGCAAATTGTTTTCCTACACAGGCAGCTCCATTATCGGGGCTACAGGCACACTTCGAGGTCTGTTTAACCGGTTTTTTTTTTTTTTTTCTCAGTCTTTTGCTCTCCGCGGTTTCCTATTTCGTTTAATTACATGCTTTTGTTTGTTCACACTTTTTTTCTTCATTTTAAGACGTTGCTCTTTTCAATTCTCCAGATAATATTCTTGACGACGTGTTAACATATAAGATAAGACTTGGACTTGCAATGAGCTGATATCAAAGTTTGTATTCACTGTCGTGCTTCGACGGCAGGAGTTTTTTTGCTTTTTTTTTCTACATCCGGTGTTGACGTCGCACAGTTTTTTCAAGGCAGCACATGCGCGCGACACGCATATCGTCCAAATCAAAGTAGATATCCGGTTCGAAATTGATATTCGTAATCTATTCTGATAGATAGGGGATGAGTAAGATTATATGTGGTAAGAATTGGTGAATGTGCGCCTTCTTTGAAATATAACACAGGGCATCACGGCTTGTGATTGTTCTATTTTTCGGATCTGCGTTTACGAACCCTATGCGCTAAAATTCGCACCCCTTTCTTTTCAATCTTACAGGTATAGACGGCTTGTCGTGCATCCATCGGCTATTTCCGAATAACTGATTAGTACTTTAGTAAAGGTTTTTTTCTTCGGGCATTTAAAACTCGCAGAACCCTTTCTCCTCTCGGCACTTGAAACTCGACTCTTATGCATGGCGCAATTGTTGGCTTAGAAGATTCTCGTAACAAGACTTATGCCGGATAACAAGATAAAGCCCCTTCCGAGTAAATTTCTGCATAGGTTATGATGATAATTTCACCTGCTACGATTATCAAGGGACCAATGTTAGTTTAGCTCAGTCATTTGAATTTTCCTGTCCGTTGTTATCAGTGGAAAGGATCTTGCATGCATTATTTAGAATATTGTAGGATTTTGACCATTTCGTATATAGTCGCGTTTCCAAAGAAAAAATTTGAATACATCTAAGCGAAAGCGGGAATATTCCGTAAAGCAAAAAAATAAGTTTCCTGAAAAGATACATTGAATACAAGAATGGAATTTTCACTATACTTATTCTGGTAGTATGAATGATTATATTTTCTTTGAGTGATTTTACCTCACGATGCAAAAGCATCTTCATACCTTCTTGGCGAGATAGATGTCCAGTATCGTCTAATAATGGCTTTTTAGTGTGGGGATTTTAATACTAACTCACTAAATACCTTGGAATTTGGGCAACAAGTTTTCCTTATCAAAGTTTATGTGAATTTTTACAGAACAAATAACATCATAAACCGTTATAAACTGAAATTATAAGCTCGCAAATATTAACATTCATAACAGTCCGATATAGTGTAATGGCTATCACGGTTCGCTCTCACCGAGCAGATCGGGGTTCGATTCCCCGTATCGGAGTTTTCTTTTTTCAACTTTTTTCTGAAAAATTTTAATGTTGCTTCTCTTTTGCAATCTTGCGAAATGTGTGGAGCCTAAATCGGAAAGCTGCTTAAAAAATTGTAATTGGAATGACGAAGTGTCACGAGCGCGTTTAATATCGATATCTCTTATCTAGCCGAATGAAACCCACCACACATTACGCACGGCATTTTGACAAATTTCAGCAACATGCAGTATTCACGTATGCTGTTTGATCTAACAATGGTCTAGAGAGGAATACGTTAGCCTAATTGAAGCGAATACAGTTGGTTCACGGCTCAAAACAGCAAGAACTGGATTGACACTATGCACGATGATCAATGATTAGTTTGAAGCATCAATGTGATAAGGCTAATACACATTTTGCTTTGGAATATGGATGAAAGAAAAAGGAGTACAGATTTAATATACGAACGGAAAAACAACTCCATGGGTGTGAATATTTTTTTTATTCCACCACAAATCGACGTTGTTTGTCTTAGCGAGCCAATGATAAAGACACCGTCCCTGAAATGCCCAAACGAAACCCAAATACACTTTTTTAGCTGTCCGAGATGGGAAGATTACGCGAGTGGGGAATCGATTTCGCCTGCGACGCGATTGATTAGAACATGCCAATGAGTGTTCGAGCGTGCGTCTAAAGGACCCAGAACGAAAAATGTGAGCCGCTCATTTGACGCAACATTCACGCGGGTCTGACACACTGACGTTCAAATAGAGGATATTTAACCATCTTGCATGCAAAATACTGCACAAGGTCAGTTACGCGCCGTTATCACTTGCTTGGAGCTGCGCGTCGTCCATGCATTAAGCCTAACGAGTATGTAAGAAATTTGAAATGCAGACGACCAGGACAGACATATCAAGTGTAAATGCCCCGTGAAAATTTTTCTAATTTCCCTGCGTCATCACAGGAAAGAGAAAGTTCTACCGCTTGCTTTTGCCCCAGATAACAGGTGCTTGATTTCTATCAATGAACGGCTTTCTCTTATTGACTCCCCCAGTACCCATAAAGCGGGATGCAGGGAGTATTCCTTCCAATTTTTCCGGTTTCAAGAAATCTCCGCTGTCAAGGGTGACATCGAATGGTTCAATTGTACAGCCGTCTAATAGCTCATTTTCATTTAGTGCGAGATCGACTACAGTCTCGTCAACATCAGATGTAACCACCGCCGCATACGCTGGAAGGAAAAAGATATTTGATCCTAACACACTACAGTATGTTGATATTCAAGACATGATGTCTTTATTTGAACGGAAATTATTCAAGTACAACAATTTGGTCAAACAAATTAAGAAGATGCTGGAGGATGCGCATTTACATGACCTCCTTAACCTGAATAATTTCTCCTTCAATGGCGGCCAGGCACCACTTTTCACAGTTCCAAATGTCCAACAACTTAGATACTTGTATTTTGTTGCATTTGAAACACATCTGGTTACTCCTAAGACACAATTGCTGGAGCCATCTGCCGAATACCTCGTAGATGTGTCTATACAAGAGAGTATCGCTTCAGCCAGAATCAACAGTTATCATTCAAAGGCTGATAAACGGACTTCCAAGACAGCAGACAAATATATCAATTACTTGCTGAGCCGGAATACGAAAGAAAATCGGAAACGCAAATCGTTAGCTTTCCCGCAAAAGTCCATGACACATCCACCTCTAACAGATTTACTCCCGGAACTAGAATACAGATTAACCAGTTTCGAAATTCAGGAACTTTCGGAAAGCGCAGGCGTGAGAAACTTGTTCCTTCAATCATCTTTCTGGGATGACGTGTACCACGATGTTAAGTACCAAAGAGCGCCACACGGTACATATGACAAACTACCTCATTTCAAAGTGTGTCGACAATTTTTCGTGGAGCTCCTTGACGTTGTACTTAAGAGTCTTGTTTCTGTGACATGCGAGATTGATTCTGACGATTTGAAGTTGTTGAACGGCGACGAATTGCACGAGTTAAACAAACAGTGCCATTATTATTTTAACAATGGCTTCTCGGAAGTTTTTATGCGGCTCAGAACTTTCTTCTTCAGCATTTATACGAATTTATCACAAGATTCGGCAATGACAGATGTTACTGCGATTGAGCTTTTGGATATTGTTATCCTGGGAATAGCAGAAAATTTGTTGGTTCTGTTCCACAACCGTCCACACAAGGAGAAATTAATTCTGCTTTTTACTGCTTTGATGAGAAGCTCAATCCGACTCGTTTTCCGCTCATCTACTGGAATACGGTACTCCAGTTCTGTTGAAAGCGCGGAACTGCCTCTGTCTAGTCCAATGATTCGAAAGAACGAAAAAGAAGAGATGAAGGAAGACCTGTTCCTGGATTTAAATGCACACTTGTGTGGTGCATCCTCTCCCGAACCTACATCCAAAAGAAGAGGATTTTCTCGCCTTTTCAAGAGGAAAAGTAATAAAAATTAACGAGTGCAGGTGTTGATCACCTTCACTATATTGAAAGAAAATATATGATTTGTCGCTTAGCCGAGTAGATAGTATCGCTAACTAAAATTAACTGGAAACGAGCATGAGAGAAACAATGCAGAAGGGTCAATTACCTTACCCCTTTGGGATGGTGGAGCAAAAGTGTGTGTAAACACGTGTTAGTAGCCCTGGTAAAAGTGTGATTTCTAGATATTTCCTGCACAATTATCTCACCACTACGGTTGATCTTCTTTGTGTGACCCATTGTTAAGCAGGACAGCCAGCTTCTTGTTATCGAAAAGAAGAAAAAAGAACCAAGCCATTCAGCTTCAAAATGCATGAGAGGTAAATACCATAGCCAAAGGGCTGGCTTCTTTCGCTTGGCCGCATGACGTTACCTTGTACCTTGACGAGACCGGAGGACGCATATGTGTGTAATGATGCTAAAAAAGAAGCAACTGTTTCTATGTTTGTTGTCCTTCGCACACCTTCTATTTTTACTTTGCTGAATGTATATAATGCGAAAGATCCTCTCCATGTGAGCCACTATTGTTCAAAGTAACTTTAATCATCTCCTCTTCTAGTCCGAGGAATCTTCTTTTCTACTCCTTTGAGAACTCCTTTTATACGTCCGCAACGATTTTCAAAAATGTTTCCTCCTCCCACGCATGATCCAGCTTTGATGAGAGAGCATGCATATTACGAGACGGGGCCAAACGAATCTTCAGATGTAATGCAACAAAATTGGGCATTTGGCCTTGCTGGCATCTTCATAGGATTGGCTCTTTTCAAACTAATCTCTGCTGTTCGCCACTCGAGAAAAAATGGTCGAGGTCTTTCGCTTCAGGACGAGGTTGTTTAAGCGGACCCTTGCATTCCTGTGCCTCACCCCTAACACATACCCATGATTTCACAAGCGCACATCAACCGAAAATTGGCCTAATTACGAGAAGACTCTTCAAGTCGTATCCTTTTTGGATGCGCTGAGTATGTTTTCTCTTCCCTCTCGCTTTTGCCAAGCTCTCTGCATATATCGTCTCCTTTCCATCCATCCATCCTGCATTCGTTCATGTTTCTGTTTAGTTCTTCTTAATCGACTTAACATACTATTAGCACTGTCGTAGAAAATCAAGAAAAAAAAAAAAAAGAAAAAAAATAAACCAAAACACAAACAAAAATTAGTGGACATTACGTCATTTCTTCCAACCTTGTTTTTGAAGACTTGACATCTCGAGCTCCCATATGTTCCAATCATACCACACTATCGGTGGAAATATGGTGCACAAGTGCCAAAGGGCATGTCCATCCACCAATGACGCAATTGGTTCGAAATCAAGAACCTCAAAGCTAATGGCTGAAATGAGGAAAAGGTTAAGAGCCACAGGAATTAGGGGTATGTTTTTGGTTTTGGAAATGCCCAAGTAGTTCAATTTGGTCAAGATCTTTGTTTCATATGGCAATAACTGAATGGAATTGTTGTAAAAGTGAGGGCGCCGAAGATACTGTCTGCGAACCGCAAAAGAGTGGAGGATCCAGAGTGTCAGGGAAAGAATGCCAAAAACAATGTGAATGCTCATGTTGTAAGCATAATCCCAATCATGATACAACTTAGCATAATGCAAAACGAAAAATATTAAAAGAGCAGTTTGGAAAAGCCGTCTTGCGACAGTTTTATCAGCCCGGAAAAGTTCGAACTTTCTCACCACTATAGCGTTGAAGTGAGCCACGACAATAGCACCTGCACCAATATAATCTAGTTTCTCCGTGGTGGGGAAATCACGAATATGGAATATGGTACTGAAAGTCCATCCAATCATGGCCATGAGTAATAGAAACAAAAATTGCGACAACATGGTTGCCTTTTCCGGGTCTCTATAGGCCACGTATTTGCGGTGTCTTTTGATCTTGCCATAGTTTCTGTAATTGACAAGAAAGTTGCCGAGTGAAAACACAGTGGAGAACAACTCGGTGATGCCAAATACTCGCTTGAACGGCCATTTGCCGTGGAACTGGACCATGGGAAGTCCAGCCTGTTTTCGCTCACGAGAAACTATTTGCTGGCACTTATAGTCACAATCCAGATCACAGTCCCATGAAAACAAACGAACAGCCAACGGACTGATGGAGTCTTGTTGATACTTTGAAGAAGCTGACAGTGGAGACACACATAGAGTATTTCGGCAATCTGCAAAGCAGTCTTGGAACTCCGGAAGCGAATCTCCAACAGATGCTTTCGCCGCCAGAACAAAAAGAAAAGCTGCCAAGCTCTCCTTTAGTTTCATTTCTTTCTGTGGGTTAGAGGACAACTGAGAACAAGTTGTCTTGTGACAGACACTACTTAGCGCTTTGGTTAGGCGCGCGCTCAGGTGCGCATTCTCACTCTGTAAACGACAATAACGGTCGATTTGGACAAACCCACCTTAGCAGATATAGTGGTTGTTTCGCAAACAAATGTTGTCTAACCAACAAGAGGATGAATTTTAGGATAAGACAATGATTACCGTGTCCATATACGAATTGCCTTGCGGGTACGGACGAGAATTTTCACTAGAGAGCATCTTGCGGGGCAGGATATAGATACAAACGCCGTCGTACTTTTTCATTTTTTTTTTTTCTCAACTTTTTTTTTTTTTTTTTTTTTTCAATTTTCAATTTTTTTTCTATGAGACGTACCTTCTGTCATCTAAAATACGCTATTGCATGCACAAGAATGGTAAAAAAAACAATTCGCTATCCGACAGAGCTCTACAACAAAATACGTTTAATGCGGCCCATGACATGAGTTTTCAGTCACATTTTTATTCGCCACGTAAACCAGGAATTACACCAAGTCTTTTGCTTGTCAAGCGAATTGGAGATTTGCGTGCATATACACTGGCAGAAGATAAACTGGAGTGCATGTAGCTTATTACACCGCCGGGTATGCAAGACTCTTTGTTTTTGCTCTATGCCTATTCGCTCAATACCAAACTCATGTATGGGTACGAATCTAAGCGTTCAAACGACAGTATCAGCGTAAACAAGACACGCAAATAACGCACTTGAAGATCCTATTGAATTTTACTTGCCTATACGATAAACTCCATTTATTGCTCACAGCAACGTGGCCCCTTCATTGTGAAGCCCCTTGGCTTGTCCAGAATAATTCAAGATTTCCCTACTTCCTGTCAGGTTAATAGCCATGGGAAATTTCTTTTTTCTTTTTTTTTTTTTTCCTATATTTTTTTTATTTTTTTTCTGCATTTTTTTTTTCCGCGAAACTGTTCTCCGCCACTAGAAGTAGACTAAACTATAATTGTTGGCTAACACACCATTGGATTTCGTAAGAATCAAAGCAGTCATAGCAGTATTCATTAATATCATACGCTACAACATCTTACATATGAGAGTTTGGTCTCTGAATGGTGATGCAAACTTTTGTTGTAGAGACGAAAAAGCTAGTAGAGCTGGTTTTGAGAATGCTGCAGGCTGTGCGGCTCAAAATTTTTTTTTTTGTGCCATACCTACAGTATATATTTGCCGTTGTCTCCTTATTTCACTTGCCCCTCTTTAAGAAATTCGACACTGTAGTGAACAGAATTCTTGTTTGGCCTGGTCTTTATTGTGCATCACAGAAGCAATATCCCAATACCCTCCTGGTATTCAATCCAATATCCTTCTAACGGCCTCCTCATTGAACGTTTTCCATTCCAGAACGACAGAACATCCGTCTTCTCAGATTGTGGTTTCTTTGAAGCATTGTGAATCGTCTCCTTTCACAAGACAATAAATTTGCATCTGTTCACTTCTTCTTCAATTCCTATACTCCCCTGCTTTGTTAATCTATTTTTTTCTTTCTACTATTCATTTCAACCAGCATGTCGCCACGTAAGTCTTGCCGTCAACGTACCCTTACAACTAAGGGCCAACAGCAAAATGAAGAAAAAACTAACAAAGCAGTTCACATCGTCAAGAGAAGAAGATTGTCGCCCCCAAATGACTCCAATATTAATGAATCACTGAATGTGCCTCAGAAGCAGGCCGATTCGACCACCATGGAAGTTTCTCAGTCCAACGATGGCAAAATTGACCCTGTCGAAAAACTTTTAAGTATGACTTGTGTCAATGATGACATTTTGCGTATGGATGAAAACGATCCTTTGGCTCTTTCCTCATTTGCATCCATATCAACGGCATCCGCAGCATATCCTAATCTATCATTCAATTTTTCCAAGCTCATTAATGAGAACTTGAGATCATACTACTCAAGACTAGGTAAATCTCACATGGAGATTCACAATGACAATTCATCTTTTTCTATTCTTAATAACAATCAGCCTCAGCAGCCCCAGGGGGCCGAGGAGCAGCAACCTTCTAGCAACACCTCTCAGATTCCTTTTTTTAAAAATGTGAACTTCAATCCTAGCCCTTCCTTCGGTCATAGAATTGACGATTACATTTATTATGATCTTGACGATGAACCATCGTCTACCGATTCGGAGCATGAAGAAATTCCTGCACCAAGCGGACCGCTTGATGTGCCTGTATCTCCGATCACGGGCAAGATGTCCTTCCATTATCGCCAAAACGATAATGTCAATCTTTCGCTAAGTGACTGCCAAAACAAGAGTCACAGCGAACCTCATGATATTTTCAAATTCATGAAGAAAAGATCAGTCATTGCTGGAAAGGCAAGCGAAATGATTGGCACTTCAAACTTCTTGATCAATGATTTTTTCTTTTAAGTTGCCTCTACTTCTCATATGGAATATTTTTGATTCCCTGGCATTCCGCTACATCATTCATACTTCACTTCTATGTGTATATTTACTGTTTAATGTATTTTGTGTATCTCATCAGTTGTAGCATCATCACGTGCTGTATCAGCACCCTCGGATTCCCTCTGCCTAGATTGGCTATGTACAGCATACTGCCCTCGGATCTCACCGCAATCCAAGTCTTTATGATCTGTCACTTTACAAAATATCACTACTAATCGCCAATCCATGTCTTTCGTACATTTGATTTATGCATATTTCATTGGTGGTATCACATTCATTCCTTTCCTTATTTTCCTATTTATTTACCTCCATCCCAAGCAAGATGCTACTGCGGCGAAAACAGAATGTGAATCATTGAAAGCGGGGGAGATAGAAGAGAAAGCACAATCGGGGTTGGAAGCTTTCAAACAAGGCTGGATCACTTTAACTCACGAATATCTGGAGTCCTTGGATCACATTTCCTCGAAAACCCAACCGGTTACGGAATCTCTGGAGGCAAAGTCGGCTTATGCTTCACTATATAAGTTAGTGAAGAATTCCAGCTCCAAGTCTTCCCTTCCTTCCGACACTTCTATCATTGATGGTACAGACGAATTGGATACAACGGCTTTAAGCCCGGTCCCCAGCGGTCTGAAACCCGTAATCAAATCATCCGGAAGTAAAAAGCATCGATATTTTGCCGTCCTAAAGCATGGCAATTTGTTTTTGTACAACAACGAGAAGATGAAGAATGTGAAACATGTTATTGTCCTCTCGAACTACATTGTGGCTATTTGGCCACGGGATTTGAGCGACGGTGCATTGTTCACTAAATACTCATCCATTGCAATTTTAAAGAAGGACTGGTCACGGTCTCGGAGATTGTCTGAGAATGAGCTGGATCTAGATTTGGAATGGTCAAATGACACTAAGATTACTATAAACGATGTGTTGGACCCACAAAGTAAACTACCGGCTCCTCCAGGCTCGTTTTTCATGTATACGGACGTGAACTGCGATAAAGAAGATTGGTATTTTGCATTGATCAGGGCAACAAAGTTAGACAAGCCCGAGAAACTGGATGAATTGAACCCGAACATTCAAGCTAAAACACTTCATTTCGAGACAAAAAATATGGTCAATCTCATTCAAAAGCTCTATAGTTCAGAAGGCCAATTACAAGTCAAATGGTTCAATGCTCTAATTGGTCGCTTGTTTCTTTCTCTTCGAGGAACAGACTTCATGAACCAGTACCTTGTTTCGCGTGTTGAGAAGAAATTGAATAAAATCAAAATGCCAGGATTTTTCGATAAGTTTCAGATTATCGAAGTCCGACCTGGAAATGGGGCTCCTCTCCTCACATTTCCTACTTTGAAAGAAATAAACCCAGAAGGAGACTTGGTTGTTTCCTTTTACATGCATTACTTTGGTGGAATGTCTATTCAAATTGCTACAAAAATGAACATTAACCTCGGTGCCCGATTTAAAAACCGTGAAGTGGATGTACTATTATCCATGACGTTAGAGAAAATCCAAGGACCCATGCTTTTAAAAATTAAAGAACCCCCCTCTGCGAGACTCTGGTATACATTTGAGCAAGAACCAACCATGTCGGTTAAAATAGAACCCGTGATAAGTTCACGACAAATGTCCTATAACATCATCACTAACTCCATCGAGAAGAAACTTAAGGAAGCTGTTAAGGAATCTCTAGTATTACCCCATTGGGATGATATGACCTTTTATGACACTAAAGGAGAAGTGTATAGAGGTGGGATCTGGGATAAGGAAGCTAGGAGATCTAATTCTTCTCAACTGGGGTCTGAAGTAAGTTTAGATGCAAACGGAGATAAAGAGGGGCATGTACACGACGATGTATCGCTGATAGCTGTTTCTGTTGAAGATGAAGAACATCCTTCAGCAAGATCAACTGCATTGTTTTCAGGAAGCGAAAACGGAAATGGAAGGACACAGAAGCAGAAACTCACCAGTACTTTCAGCGATTTGTCTAAGCGGTTGCGCAAAGCGAAGTCAACGCATACTTTAAGTGTGGACGAGACCAACTGTCTTTCAGACGGATCATTGGAACGCAAGCCAGATATGTCAACCGAGACGCCGGATTCCCAATACTCTAGTCTCAAAAACTCTACTCTTAAAAAGATCGGTACTTGGTATTCCAAAGATTCAAAACCTTCCGATTTGGATCTGCTGAACTACACTCCTCCTCAAATGATTTCGAATCGTCGGCAAAACCGCAAGTCTATATCGACTTTAACATCTGATCCTGACCATCCTGTAGGACAGATGCACGAGCCAGAAGCTTTTGTTTACGATTTTGGGTCTGAAATGAAAGACTCTGGAATTATTCCAAAGAGTCTTGAAACAAATATTGATGATCGCCGCTCGGCTTCGGATCATTATATGAACCCAAATGAGGTCGCTATGCTTGACGAAGAGCCTAACGTTGCGAATTCATTACTTTCGACTACAAGCCTGGACAGTCCCCCACACAGAAAACAGGGAACATTACACAGAAAACCGCCGCCTGACCCCTGATCGAAGGTTTATCTACTTGAAAATACATAGGCAGATGCATATAATACTTACATTAGATGTATGGAGCCCAGCCACCATACATCTGACTCAAGTTTTCTTTTGATGTAGCTTCTTGGATCAACACATCAACTTGACCGTGGATATTCATTGGAAGCCCTTCCTTTTCATCGAGCAAACCTCGAATTTTCCTTCTCACTTTGCGAAGGTGGTCTTGAGGATTGTCTTGAGTTTTCCAGTCCAATAAAGGATCATAAATTAATGTTTCCAATATATTCATCAAGGAAGCTTCATTATCTCGAAGAAGTTGGCCCGTAACTTCGCAAGCAATACGGAATGTACCCTCAATCCCTGTTATACCCATCGCATCAACAAGATTTTGCGTTAATCGGAAAGGTACGATCTCCGGAGTAGGTAGAGTAGAACCTTTTTCAAACAAACAATCAAAATCAATATGAAGTGCTGCACCGCTTTTCTTGAACAAGATATTTTCACAGTGACGATCACCAAGACCAATAATATAGCCAACGATGGACATCACTCCGGATGTAGTAGTGAAGGTTTTCCGGGCCAAGTACCAGACAGCAGGATCGGAAAACTGGTCAATGAACCATTGATGTAATACCGGAGGAAATTCGTTGCATATGCTCACAAAGAGTTCAATCAATGAATTCATGGCATTTTGCTCTGATGTGTACTTTGCTTTCACAACTTTCTGTGCTTCGTCTAGTTTGACGAAGATCTTCCGATCATGTGGAACACGACCATTTTTCTTCTGCTGATGGTGGATCACTGATTTCATTGTAGCCACATCCTGAACAAACTCGATAACTCCCATGTCTTCAGCAAGCGGAATAACAGAATAATTCTCAATGATCAAATTTCTCTTCCTGGCGCTATTATGGGAACTTAAAAGTCTATTGACCATATTTGTAAACTCGAAAACTTTCGCATCCTTTCGAGTATCGTCTCTCTTCACCATCAACCGATATGGTCTTCCGTCCGTACCTCTAATTGTAATTTGCTTAGGCATTTGAAGTGAATGAAAGATTTTCACTTCCTCATCAAATCCATCAAATGTAATGGAAGCTGATCGTGGAAAAGCAGAACTGACTTTACTAGTATGTCTTGTAGCAGGCAAACGGATCTCCAAATTGGACTTGACAGGAATAACCAAGGAATCATACCCTCTTTTCAAGTCATTTAAATGAAAATCCTCGGACAATGACCAACGCTTCTTCTGAGCCTTTTTCACTTTTTGAGAAGCAAGATTCTCAAGGATTTCAAAAAGCTCTTTAGCTTCAACTATACTCGTTCCGAGATCTTTCTTAGTCTGAACAGAGGACAACATCTTGACGACTCTCAGTCTTCTAGTCATATCTTTTGACTTAACGTGCGACAATACGTACCACAAACTGTGTTTAGGGTATGTTTGTATCAATGAAGCTATAATCTCAATCAAAACCTCCGCACTAGGCTCATGTTTATGCGTGATTCTTGAAAGTAGTTGAGTAATAGATGTGTACCAAACGTAGAAAGGAATTGAATTCTTGTATGTTTGGATGTCATAAACAATCTGATTAAGTTTTCTTTCCGCATCTTTGTTCTTATGCGGTCTTTGGGCAAAATCCAACCACACAGTAATGAACTTAGGAAGCGCTTCAAAGATATACGTAGGCCCAAGGGCTAAGGCTTTGAGATAAAATCTAATAATCTGTTGCTCATAAATGCCACTCAAATCATTTCGGGATTCCATAACCTTGCTGTAGTACTTTCCCAAATCGAAATATGGTTTTTCCCATGTTGGATCAAACTTGTATGCCTTTGTGTACTCCGCAATTATTGTGGTGGATGAACTATGACTTGATTCATCCAACCAAAGTGCATATTGAAGTTGAGTACTTGCTCCTCTCCGAACATCTGTCAGGGACTTCTTTGGAAGATTCTCAGATAATGTTTTGATAGCTTCAGTTTGTTTACCTTGGTCCCATAATAAGTGGGCGTATTCAATATTTGCTTCTTGGTCATTAAGCGCCATGGCATTCATTATGCATTTTGTGGCAATGTCGAGTCGATTGTCACGTCTAGCAATCAGCGAACATTTCAATAAGATTTTTGAAACTTTCTCCATTCTCTGAGTGATCATGTTAACCACCCTGTGGATGGAAAGTACTTTCCATTGATTATCGAAAGTAAGATCAGTGTTATTTAATCGTTCTTCCAAGATTCGTTCTAGTTCATCTTCTGTCAGACCTCCCCCCATAGCAACGGATACAATTGAAGATGTGTCAAAGATGATGTGTAACTGTGTCATGAGTGCTGAATTTCTTGAAAAAGACGATGACATCGACAGTGCAAGTGACTGACCAACAATTTCGTAGATACCATCAATAGAGGCGTTAAAGCTTGCAGGCTTTGATCCAACCAAAGATAACAAACTTTCTGCATATTTTCTGGTAATCTTGTCTTCCACATCTTGTGGGCCGTCGATTGCTCCTACTATAGTATGCCACTTCGCCAATTGTGCTGCTTCACCAGATGCTATAGCAGCCAGTAATCCTACCATTGCCCACGCAACAGGTATATGATTGAAAGATCCATTTTCCACTTTCGAGTTCAATGACAAGAGGACTTCATCGTAAAGTGCATGGTTTTCGAAGGATTTCAAGAGCTTCGTATTATACTCTACCCTTTTCTCTTCCGTTCCAAGATTGCTGAGAACCTGGAATGATTCTTGTGCAATTGCCCAGTTTTCATTGTATTGGAAAGTGGAAAGCTTTTCAGACAAGTTACTAGTAGAAAACTTCTTGAGAACTCCATCAAGAGCATCATAATCATCAATGTTGGAGTAGACAGATTGTAAAGTGGCAGCAATACTTAGCTTGTCCAATCTATTATCATCTTGCACCTTGTCATCTCGAAAGCATTCCTCTAGATAGAGAATTGTCCTTTCGTACGAATCGGACTCGGATGAAGCGAGCGCGATTAGCTCCATTGGAATTTCCTTCAAAAATGAAACAACATACGATTTACTCTTTGTCAATAAAGAAACATCCTTCTTCTGAAGTTGCGCATCACTCAACCTTTGTGTTGCAGCAGATACCCATTCGTTGAAATAATCGATAACTTCAAAGACTGCCTGATAACAGAGTTTCAAATTCTCGGTACGTTCAGAAGCTGATGCATTGGATGAATTAGTTTTGAGGATTGTCAAGAACTCATCCAATATATCTCTTCTTGCATTTTCATCACCGTTCACGATATGACTCAAAGCCACGAATTTGAGCAAGTACTGCGAGATGGACACTTCTTCATCTCTAATAAGCATAGAACATGTTTGAAAAATTATTGTCTTCGTCGAAACGGCCTTGTTTGATTGTCTGGTAGAAATCAGTGTAGGACGACGAAACAAATTTGTAGTGAAGTCAACCAACCACCTCTCATACCGCATCCCAAGACGAAACAAAGGGAAAGTTAGTGCATCATACCGCGGAGTAGGAGCAAAATATTTAGAGGAGAGAAGTGGAGTCAATGTGGATTTGTCGATTTCAGAGAAACTGTTCCATACCTCTAAACGGATACTTTCGCCTTCAGAATCTAAGATTGTTTCATCCAATCCTAGCACACTAAGAAACTTTTGCATCGAATAAGCTGAGAAGAGCTGCTTTATCGGATCATCAGATGCCCAGAAATTCTTTATGACCTTTTCCCGAATGAAATTACATAAAAAGAACGCGTTCTCTTCATAATCTTGGAAGTCATGTAATAGAATCACTTGTGGTTTGATTGTCTTGAAATTAAACCGGTTTGAATCAAGTGCTCCGATACTTCCAAGCCCCTTAGCGCATTTTGTTGAAATAACAGGATCCTTAGTTTTGAACTGGACTGAAATGTCAAGCAACGTTCTCACGAGGCTCGATATGGATTGTTCATTTGCAATATCCCGAAAGTCTTCTCCTTGACAAGAATATTGATATTTATTCGTGAAATTCAAAAGATCGTCAAGAGCTTGGTGAACAACATACTTGTTGTTAGTCTGCAATCTTCTGGTGAATTCGGGGAAGTAACTCAATTTGGATTTCGGTTTCATCATGCTAATAAACGTAGCATCTAACACAAAATATTTGTCTAAGTCTCTGATAAAGGGCACCGAGAAATAATAGAGCGCATATCTCTTATACTTGTCTCGCAACTCACAAAATAGTCTTTGAAGAATTTCCACAGCTATAATCTTTGATTTATGATGCAAAAACTCAAATTTTTGGAAGATCAATGATATAGTAATATCAAACAAGGCAACTAAATGATTGGTGCTCAAATTCTGGACAAGGACGTTCCAGCATTGAATAGCAGGAATTTCTAGGGATTTATTCTCCAACGAAGCTTGAAGACAAGTGGATATCTGACCCAAAGCGGATGAAGCCGCGTTTATATTCTTGCTTATAAGGAATTGAATCGCCTTTATCGAGCTCACCTTCTCGAGATAAGGTTTGATACCTTTCATATGATGGACATTTTCAGAAAATCGTTGCACTAATTCTAAGACATGCTCGCCTAGAATATACTTGATATAATCGAAATCAGCGGGATCTGGTGGTGACAAAGTTACATCGGATTGCTTTTTCACCCAATTCAATTTTGCCACATATCTGATGGCGTTAAAGATTTTCGCTTCGTTTTGAATTTTGTCATCATCACTAAACTGCAACTGAAGAAGAATAAACCAGAGCACTTCACCCACATTTGGAATCAACTCCTCAATCGATAAATTCATATATCTTGGGCTAGTGTTGCTCAAAACACTTACAATATACTTTGAATTGATAACCTCATCTTTGCACAAATATGTAGCCATTATTCTTGGAAGAGTCTTGGCTATCAACTTCACTTTATCTAAGCTTGAAGCGTCAGCAATTTCTTGAATGAAGTCATGTTTGTAGTATTCGAGATACCTGGGAGTGGTATAATCTTTAGTATGGCTCAAAAAGTATCTTTTAGAAATTCCTAAGAGTTCAGTGACTCTACCAAACATTCTTGGTTTTCTAATTATTCTTTCAGCGATACTCGGTAGATATGGTGACAATAGTTTGTAAGGTGTCACGGATCGAGCGGCTGCAACATAAAGAAGGCAATTGAATGCGATGTTGACATGTTGCTCATTTAGAGCACCAAATGTATCAATCAATTTAATGAAGATAACGCATAACCACTCACCTTCGCAAACAATTGCCAATTCGCTGAGAGAGATCAAGGTTGATTCTGCTAAGTACACTGATCCACTTTCCTGGTCAAAACGAGTATTGGATATAGTTTGGAAAATCTTTTTGAAAAGGGTATCCAGGTTTTCGTCCATTTCCCGAATCAAAAAAAGTGGAACGATGCGAGCTGCCATTAATCTAACGTCACGATTTTTGTTTGCAGTCAATGAATTCAATACAAATTGAAAGCAGATATCGCTACTTAAATCTTTGTTGGGTTTTCTAAAAGTCGAAAACAAATTGAAAAGAACTGCAAGCACATTCCATGTCAACAAGGGATTAGCTTTAATCTGAGTGGACTTGTGTTTCAAGAGGAAGCCGCAGATGATATCGGAGTATAAAACACTAGCCTCGTGCAGCTCAGATATCAGTTTCCTAGTGACCTGTACTCCATTATAAATGTTCTTGTTCAACGGTTTGGAACATTTTATGCATTCTTCTGTCTCGTAGTCATAATCATTATTAATGATGCACGGAACATTTCTTAGGGAAGTAATGAAAGTGAATAGCGTGATGCTATCATCGAAGATATGTGAGCTAAGTATATTCAAGTCCTGCTGGATAAGATGGATCACATAATCAAGCCAGTAAGAAATTTCATCAGATGAATGACGCGTCCTTTGGCTTTGATAACTATTAAATGAATGCTGGGTCTCAACAAAAAACTGTAAAGATGATTTCATAGAAGCCTTTGCATTGTCGAAGATTAGAGACTTTAGGCTATCGAGCTCTGTTTCTCCAAACGGGACAGATGCGAGCACAAAATTATCCATTCTTTCCGGAAGTGAGTGAAGAGACGCTGGTTCCAGCAAGATTGAATGTTGGAAAGAAAGCACATAAAGCAATTTTGTGATAGATGAAGGATATGGAGATGCGCTGAGCAAAGTGGGTATCAGATTACCAGATGATGAAGGAGGCGGGAACGTAAACACACACAAGGAAAAGGAATTGAAAAACTTAAACAACAAGCTTCGTTCTCGGCAATAGAGAAATATTTTCATTAGGGATGCGCACGAGGCTTTGTTGAAATTCTTCATTTGGGTAAGAACGGGAGCCTTTGATGTATTGAAGGATTGGAAATGCTCATGGATCCACGTTAGCACCAAAGAGATCAGTGACCACCTTGCATCGTGCTGTAGTAATATGTTGGATGTTAAGTTGAGTAGAAGAACAGATCTCAAGCTATCTACGGGGCCGACAACTTGGTCTCCACCTTCGCCTATCATTTCAGGCTTCGAAAGAATGGATTTGAAGACAAAAATCAACCTCCGCGTGTAGTTTTCGAAAGATAGACTTGTTCCTGAATTGTGGAGGAGAAGCTTATTGGCAATGTCATAGTCATTGACTATTGTGAAAAGGTGTGTAGCTGAAGAAAGTAGTGGTATGTACATAGAAGCTAAATCATCTTTCAGGCTTAGTAGTGGTAGATATTCAAAAAGCTTATCCATTTTGGAACGCATTAGTGACATTAGAATATCTCGAGTGTGTCTTCTGTATTTGAATGCATGTAAATGGACAGCCATGGTATTGATCACCTCAATGATGAAGGACTTTGTCAAGTTCGTTATCTCAAGGCTGGAAGGGAACTCAGGAAGCCAGCTTGTTGAAAAAGCGATAGCCCACTCGTACATTAAAAGAGGGGCCTTTGGAGGAGTAACCACTGTTGATCCCACTAGAGTCTGGCTCAACTCTTCAGCAGACATGCTCGCATTGAGCAAGTGTTTCTTCCTCGAGAGTACCAACTCGATGGAGCCAAAAAGACGCGCCAAAACCGCTATAAGCTCTTGAGAGACCAGCTTTTGAAGCGCCACTAGCTTCGCGTTTGTAAAGCCAAATAGGAAGAGAATGAGTTTTCTGAAATCGGTGTCCTCATCGTGAGATACATTCTTCTGTACATCATCAAGAAAGAGGGTTAGCTCTGCCAAGCTAATCCGATGATACGGCGTTGCCATCAGACGTATAAGAGTTCCAGGCTGTGGATTGTGTTGCGCGTATCTTAGTGCGACTGAGATGCGACATCAGCAAATGTTGCTTGATACGGGCAATGTGGAAGAACAGCGTACAAATTCACCATGGCCAATAAGGATATGTATTGGTAAAGACAAATATTTGTTCGCCAGAGTAGGCTACGAAAACGGTGTCACTGTGGTCAAATCTCGCTAGTGCAACTCATGGCAGCTACTTGATGGAAGATACAGGCTTACAAGGGTAGTTTTCAAAAATGTCTATATTATAGGTACAGAGATGCATGGAGGGAAGGGTATCTTTATTGATCAAAGTTGATGGGCCTTTTGAAGAGCAAAATGTGCGGCTCTGGCGCATGCGTCTCGTAATGCACCCATCCCAAAGACTGCGTTATGCCCAACCCTCTCCATTCGTCCTCTAAAAGAATCCTCAAAGTTCCGGTTTCCGGGTTGAAGTAATCTTGTGGAATCAGCTTCAACATCGCTTTGGGTAACATGACGTGCCGGTACTCATTAGTGTCGTCCGTATACCGGGGGCTGTAGTGTATATGCTCGGTGAACTCAAGAATTTTGGCTCTTTCGGACTCTGTCAAAAACCGTGGCCTACTCATGTGCGATGTGTGTAACTTGATGTAGGATGGTGTACGACCGAAATGGCTTGAATTTTACTTCATTTTCACTCTTGATCTTTTCACTTCCATGGAGCGGCACGTGACCGCGGCCGCGCCATTTTTCTCGTTTCCCACCCCACGCTTTTTCGGCTATCCTGGCACATTAGTTTGGAAAGACCATGCCAGTAGGTGTGATCCTTGAAGAGGCTGGCACGTATGTAAATGCATCTTTTTATATCCCTTGTGAAAAATTGGCACTACTGCGACTAAGCCTGGGCCTTCCTTTGGCATGTAGTCATATTTTGCTTGATGCGTGCAACCTGCAAACATTCGAATCCAGCGTGGAATGCAAAATACGTCAATGGGGTAGCCGAATACTGGAATCGTCAACTTTAACACTCATTTTTCCTTTGCCATTAGCCGAACAGCTTGCTAATCTAGAAGATGCTAAAACCCTAGATCAGCTTTTGTATATTGACCAATGCTCTTCCAATGTCTCTCTCGTATTGCTTGTGCCAGTTGTAGACAGCGTTGAGTACTGGTTCAAGCTTTGGCGTCTACGCAAACGGTATCGCTTAATTTTGGACCTTTCATTTCCAATTAGCAAACATCTTCTCCCACGATACAAATGCTTATCCTATGATGCAGTGGTCATTAACTCTAATACTATCACGCAAGGTCTCAACTTGATCTCCAAGCGGTCGTTGCCTCAAATATTACTATACCAATCTGAGATTGAGCAACGACTAAATTCAACTTTACCCAGAATACCCCAACCTAAACTCAAAGCTCATTCTGATGAGCTTATTGACCCACTTCAACCACTTACAAAAAATCTTGATCTTGATGTTTATGAGACGTTTGAACTAGACCAAACAAAGTACTCACAATACGATGGGGCCATTGAAATGGCTATTCAAGACTTGCATCAGAAACGTAGCAATCTCAAAATCTTAGTTGTGGGTCCGGGAAGAGGTCCGCTATTACAAATGGTAATGCGATATACCAAGAACGACGATGCAATCATTGCCGTGGAAAAAAACGACAAATGCATTGACACCTTGAAAGAGAAAATACGCAACACGCCCCGAGTAACGTTAGTCCATGGTGATATCCGCAACTTAACAAATGAGACATATGATCTAGTTGTTTCTGAGTTACTAGGTTCTTTTGGATGTAACGAGGCTTGCCCAGAAATTCTCCAGCACCTCCATTCCACTATAATGATTCCTGAAATGTACAGAAGTTATCTTCAGGCGGCATACTGCGATATCGTCGATAACTTCGAGTGCAAACGACCTTATATTGCGCACTTTAATAGTCTATTTGTTGTCGGAGATCCAGTCCCCACATTCGAGTTTTCACATCCAAATGAAAATCAGCTAGAACAGAAGATATCTTTGCAAATTCTGCTGTCGTGCTTGAATCCCACTAATGTACTAATGGGCTATTTTGAGGCGCATCTATATGGTCCATTCCGAATTGGAATCACCCCTGATTTGTACAAGCACGAGTACTGCTCCTCTTGGTATCCCATGGTGTTCCCGGTTGGTTTGGTTCAAGCTAGCACCAATGTATTGTTCTCCAGGAAAAGTACCAGGAATGCTGTTTGGTACGAATGGAGTGTGGATGGCGAAAGTTACAACCGGGATGGAAAGGAATATGTCATCAGCCTTTAATTAGTAATTTGGCACTGACGTACTCTTGGAACTCAGCTCTATGTAGTTCAAAGTAGGTTTGCTCGCTTCGGAATGCCCTCTACGCGATGATCCGTGAGATGATATGTCTGACGATTGTCTGTGCAGCAGGGACCTTTTTGATGAGATGTGTGATGAGGATCTATGTGTTGAAGATCTGTGACGATGCGAATGAGAATCTGGATGTTTGCTTGCACTTGAGTCTTTCCTGTCTTCTCGTGATGAATGTCTGGTGGAACTATGACGCGCTTTACCACTTTCTGACTTCTCTTTGTGGTTTCTTCTCGACCGCGATCCGTCTTTTCTGTCATCTGCTGACGGAGAACGTTCTCTTTTGCGGCTTCCTTGAGTCGGTTTCTCTCTTTCTCTATGATCGACTCGCTTTCGTAATTGCTCTCTCTGTATCTTTAATAATGGGTCGTCATCTAAAGATGATACCTTTTGAGTACTACCAACTTTCGTCACTTGATCAAAACGAGAGACTGGTTTTTTCTTCATGGCGCCACTTCCCTTGAGTAATCGTTCAACTTCATCTTTATCCTTGAGAAAGTCTTCTTCAACTTCACGAAACCCGGCCTCGTTCACCTTAGGCTCCTTGGTGTTCCCAACGTCCTCATACATCCAACTGAGTTTATTGAGCTCCAACTTTTGTTTGGTTGGCAAGTTCTTCGTATCATTGCCATACTGTAGTCTGATGAGCTCTTCCTTTTCTCTTTCTTGGGCTATTTCCTTACTTCTTTGTTTGATGGACTGGTACTCCTTTAAAGCTTCTTGTTCTCTCTCCCATACTTTCTTCTGGTTTTTAACAAGAGCTGGGTTCCAGGATTTTTTTAAGTTCAAGTCACCTGGCATTCTTTCGGTGGCTAATTATAGTTGAGATCGCATCACTACACAAAGTGCGTCTAGCTACATTACTGCTCCACGAAAAAAGGAAGAAAAGCAAAATTATCAAAGAGTCCCACGACCCTACTTAGAAGCTCGGAAACTCGGCTCACAAGCTGAAGCATTTTTAGAAGTAGATAATACTTTCGAATAACCTCTGAGGACATTGAAAAGAAAAAAAAAGTGGAAAATACCTACAAGCTGTTCTCTTTTTGTCTTTTCTTGACTACTTAAAGCTAAAGCAGTTCCAAATCACAACATTACCAACGGCTGGAAAGGGAAAAAAATAAAAACAAAATTAAAAACCGTGGATCTTGATGTTCTTCTTTGGCAACTGCAACTGGCCAATCAAGAACTCAGACACTTTAACTCTTTGATCACCCTGCAATTGGATAACCTCACCTAACTCCTCATCCTTGACAATGTTACCGTTGCAAGCAAAATCTTTCTTCAAAACCTTCAAGATTTTCTTCAAGTCATACTCAACTGGCAAACCTTGCACAGTGGTCAAGGTCTTACGACCGTTACGCTGTTGGATACGGATATGGATGTAGTTTGTTGCTTGAGCTTCGGAATCACCAGTGTCGGCGAATGGATCTGCAAAAGTTAGTACTCAGCTTTCTCTCGATAGATTTTAATTCAAAAACACATACCAAAGGAATTTAAGTTCTGGATAGTAGACATAAACGGGGAAAAAACTTCAGGAGTAGAAAAGTGTTGTTCTTGGATACTTTGAAGTGACTGCGCAGAAAAAAAATGGGCCCTTTTGCGTGCGACATTAAGAGCAATGTCGCAACAGGAATGTCGCATTCTCGTTTGCCACAACCATCCAGGGCCTTCCACGATAGTGCAACAATCAGGCCAGGCATGATATGACTAAGTACTATACTTCTGGAGGGAAATATGGATTTCCGTAATTCCAATCCCAATGGTCTTGAAATTCGGTAGCTTACTACCTTTCAGGAGAAGTACATTTGTGTCTCTTAAAAGGCGTAATCAGTCTGTAAACTGTATACACTAGTATTAGACGTGGTGAATAAAAAGTCGTGTGGCAAGATAAGATGTGAATAGAGGATATCAGATCTTGTTGCGAGTCGCACCAAGGGCGGATGTTCCAGCACTTAATCCGATGATTTCCTCTTCAATTAAAAAAAACCTGCCAGGTGAAGTATTGGCCAAGCGAGCTCCATTTTATGTTTACCGGAAAATGGTTCCGCAGCTGTTTTTTTTTTTTTTTTTTTTTTTTCTTATTCTATTTAGATCACTTGGTGGCGTTCGAGCTTAAACGTTCGAATTATTTATTCTTCAAGTAGTTTCTGCGGAGTGTATGATCAGTAAAAAGGAAAAAAGGGGGGGTGGGGTATCCGGAAGTTTTTCAACCTTTTGACATTAAGCATACTTACATGTCATGTATTAACTTCTTTCTGTTCCCTTTCACCGATAACATTGTGCTTGGAATGGAGTTATCCTGATTGGCTCTTGCAGTGATATATGCTAGACATAATTAGTGCGTTCTATTAGTGAAAAACGTCGAAAACGCGAGCATGTGAAAAATGCACCTTACCTAATAAACAAAATCTCCACCCGATATCCTCAGTGCCCCGAAAAATAAATCATTGAACCCTTTTACTCTTTGCGAAACATTTATATATTTGTAGGATTTTCATTCTGGATTTTGTTTTCCCCTTATGTTTCTGTGCAATTTTGCCATGTCGCAGGGAGTATGTGCAGTACTCACCCAACCCACCCATCAAACAAATATCACCATCTTTCACCTCGTGCGAGTTGTGCTTTTTTTTGACCAATTCCAACAGTCAGTTAATCTTTAGATAGCTATCCATTTCTGTTTAGATAGGCTAATTCTTGGTGATTTTGAATCTTCCCCTGTCCTATCTCAAGAATTGTCAATAATTGTCAAGCATTGTCGTCTTTTTTTCCTTGCTCCATCACAGTCTTATCCAGAACGAATCATACCGACATAAACAATGGAATCCAAGCCGAAGTTAACGGCGACAACAAATGTCGATGATAAAGTACCTACCAAAAAGCAAACCCAGGTGGTTGTGAATGAGAGAGAAAAGAAGAAACAGGCATTTATCACAAGAACGATCTGGTCGTTGGTGATGATCTTTGGTTTCATTGTAATAGTCTTATCGGGTCATTTACCCTTGATCTGTTTGGTGATTTTGTTCCAGATCTTGACCTTCAAAGAGATTATTGCTTTGACGGCAGAACCTGCCAGAGACAAGAATATCCCTTACAACAAGTCTTTAAATTGGTACTTTCTCTTGTCGACTCTCTACTATTTGGATGGAGAGTCCCTCTTTGAATTTCTTCAAGAGGTGGTATTCAACTTCAAAGCAATGACTTTCTTGTACAAGAACCACAAGTTCATCTCGTACTCGTTGTACATTACAGGATTTGTGTTTTTCGTTTGGACATTGAAGAAGGGTTTTTATAGGTTCCAGTTTGCCCAGTTGTGTGCAACTCACATGACTTTACTCCTTGTTGTGTTCCAATCCCATTTGATCATTGAAAATATCTTCAACGGAATTTTCTGGCTCTTGCTTCCGGCTGCATTGGTTATTGTGAATGACATTTTTGCTTACCTTTGTGGTATCACTTTCGGCAGAACTCAATTGATTGAGATTTCTCCCAAGAAAACAGTGGAAGGCTTTGTAGGAGCCTGGATTTGTACTGGATTTGCGGCTGTGGTCTTCTCCTATATTTTGTCCAGATCAGACTACTTGATTTGTCCTGTCCAGAACTTTTACACCACAGCCCTCAACTACCCTCATTGCGATCCCAACCCTGTATTTATTCCTCAACTTTACCCAGTACCAAGTAATATCGCTGAGCTTACTGGCATCAGTGTCATTGTGTTCAAGCCTATTTACTTCCATTCAGCTGTTCTCGCTACATTTGCATCTTTAATTGCACCATTCGGAGGCTTTTTCGCGAGCGGCTTGAAAAGAGCATTTGGTATCAAAGACTTTGGCGACACCATTCCTGGACATGGCGGTATCACAGACAGATTTGATTGCCAGTTCTTGATGGGGTCGTTTTCTTATTTGTATTATCAGACATTTATTGCGTTCAACAATGTCAGTGTGGCTAAGTTGTTGCAGATGGCTGTTTTCCACTTGTCTGCGGAGCAAATTCTCCAATTGATCAAATCTTTATTGAGATACTTGCACACGTCTGGCGTTTTGGAACAGGACAAGTTAGATTTAATCATTGCGTTGTTGGACTAATCATTATAGCTGCCCATCTTAGCTGAAAAGCAGCTAAGAAGTATTCATTTATTCCCTAAAGTGGGTGCTTACGGCGTAAAGCCGCCCTAAGTATTATCATCAAGAAGACCGAGTTAGCTAGTTTGTATAATAAATTTACGTAGTCTGACTGGTTTGTTTCCAACGTATGTAACAACGTCTTTTTGCATCTTCAGCTACCGTTTTGAGCGATGCATACAATTGTATGACTAGTTAAACTTTGTGTATGCATTAGTGAGGTACACTGTCATCTATTGTCTACTGTCTAGTTTCTACTGGTGGTGCAGATAAGAGGGATTGGTGATGCCGAGAACTTCAGGCCAGTATCCGATTTTCTTTCGAGCAAGCCTTCATTTGACGATCTATTCGCTTTGTTTTGATTACCTCTCTAGTCGGTAGTTGAATCAGGAAGCATACTGCGCCATGACGGCATGCAAGTGCTGATCGAAGATGATCCGAAGCACAAAGCGATCAAGCGCAATGGTTAGGGTCCACAACGAATTTTCTGGCCAGGCATCTTTTCTGATCTGGACGTAGTTTCTTGGACCCAGAACTATAGTCTAGTTTGGGAAACCAGCATGCTGTCATATGTCAGATTCGGCTTGCTGTGCATTGAGATTGGCAAGATGCTGGTGCGCGGACTGCACAAGAGCTGGGCTCATGTCCCAATCGGGCATCCAGCTTTCTCGATTTTGCACCCGCGCCAACCTGGTGTCCAAATCATCACTACTTGCTTCCCAATTGGTGCTGGTGCTGGTCTTCGGACTTCGATGCTGGTCAGATGTCGTAGAATGAAATATATAACTGGAGTAGTCTGGGTCAGGTTTTTCGATTCATCGTAAACCTTCCCATCCGCTCTTTTGATTGAAGCTTGTCAGACATGCTTCACTTTCTTTCGTTCTTTTTGCTTACGAGCCTCGTGTGTGCCTTCCCTATTCCAAGGATAATCACCAGGTACCATACTGCCAATCCTATCACCACCACATCCACTTACATCACCGGCACCACTACCATCTGGTTGCCTCCAGTGGAGATTTTCATTTCCAATGGAGTTACTTACACTTTTACTCAAACGACTGGTCAATGGGCCACTACTGCAGTGACCACCACTTCGATTTACAACGATGCTGTGAACCCAGTTCTTCCTACAGAAACTCTGACCCAAGCTGTGACTACTCAAACTGCTCAACCTCAAGCCCAATCTACTCAAGGTCAAGATCAGCCTCAATCTCAACCTCAAGCTACAACGCCTGCAACTACTCAAGGCAACGCACCAGTTTCTTCTCAGCCTGTTCAATCTTCTCAACAACAACCTTCTGCTCAACCATCACAAGTCCAGCCTTCTCAATCTGCTCAACCTTCTCAATCTGCTCAACCTGCTGCTCCTGCTTCATCCCAGATTTTTCCTCAGGACAGCACAACACCACTGGCCGCCTCACCAGCAGAAACCGCAGCCGTCTCCTCTGCCGCTAGCCCTCAATCGCAAAACCAAGAAGTCCAGAGCTCTCAACAACCAGCACCACAACCAAGCTCTGGAAACAACCAAGCCTCTGCACCACAAAGCTCGGCAGTCTCTAGCCCCTCTAGCTCTGGTGTTTCTAGCTCTGGTAACGGATCTGGTAGTTCCGGTTCCACTTCTACGGGCTCTTCTGGCACTGGCTCTGGTTCCAGCTCTTCTGGTTCTGACTCTGGTTCCTCTTCTGAATCGAGCACCAGTCCCTCTGATTCTGTTTCATCTTCGGTGTCATCTTCTGGTATCTCTCCTCCATCAACCATTGTCTACTCTCCTTATGCAAATGACGGTTCTTGCAAGTCCTACGACACCATCAAACTGGACTTAGAGCTTATTCACAGCAAAAACATCAAGAGCATCAGGCTGTATTCGACCGACTGTGGACACATCTCCGCCGTGCTTCCTATTGCCGCTTCTCTTGGCATGAAAGTCAACCAAGGTTTTTGGATCACCAGTGCCGGTGTTGACTCCATTGATGACAGTGTAAACGATTTGATCACTTACGGGAAACAGAATGGATGGGATGTATTTGACTTCATCACAATTGGTAACGAAGCTATTCTTTCTGGTTTCTGTACTGTTCTGGACTTGATTTCCAAAATTTCGAGTGTTAAATCCAGCTTGAATGCTGCCGGCTACTCAGGAAAAGTCACTACTTCGGAACCACCTGCCACTTTTATCTCATCACCAAGTTTGTGCACGGATTCCGAAATTGACTTTGTTGGTATCAACCCTCACTCATACTTCAACACGAACTTGTATGCCAAGGATGCTGGCTCGTACATTACTCAACAGAAATCCCAAGTCGAGAAACTTTGTTCCAAACTGGCCTTCATTACCGAAACCGGTTATCCATCGAAAGGTGACACCAACGGAAACAATGTTCCTTCAGCTGAAAACCAGGCAGTTGCCATCAAATCCATTATTGAATCTACCGGAGGAGATGTGACCATCTTGACCACTTTCGAAGACTTCTGGAAGTCGCCAGGTCCTTACGGTATTGAACAGTATTTTGGCTGCATCAACCTCTTTTAAACTATAACTTTACCCTCATTTCCATCCACTTGCATTAGTGACGATGATACTTATCAGAGCATCGTCCACACCATCAGTTCTCCATTAGTTGCATTATTAATACTTTACCCATATGACCTTTTATTGAAAAATTATAATAAACAATAGTTTCGTTAATCGCTCCCCTAGAATTCGATTTGCTTACTTGGAAAGTACTCGTCGATGAGCTCCAAGTAGTAGCCCTTTAATTCTTCCACATTGTATTGCTCATGAGCTTTAGAGTATAAATCATACTTGTTGAAATGCCGAACAGCACTCAACATCTTCTCATCGTGTTCGTTCATCAAATACTTGTAAGCGTTTTCTTGGTGCCATGGATAAAACGAGTGATATCTGATCATCGCAAGGCCCTCTGGAGGCAATGTAGAGTTTAGCTTCGCGATATGATACATGTACTCGTCGTGGCCCCAACTCAACATGACGGAGTCCAATCCGCAATTTTTGGAATAGATTCCATACTTTGTATTGTACAAGGGATTGAAGAAGTCGGGGTTTTTTTGAAAGCTCTCTGGAAAAATTATTTTCTTCAGAAACTTGCAACCAACGGGAAATGTATCACCCACCACATCCCATTGTCCTTTCGAGTCAAAGAAGTAAAGTAACTTACCCAAGTCATGGATAAGACCCACAAGCTGCATCCATCTAGGTTTGTCATCTCTTCTGATCGCTTCCGCCGTCTGAAGTGCATGATCAATTTGACTTAGCTCGGTATCTGGATCACTTTCGTCTAGAAGTTTGTTGAGTTTTTCGAGTCCCTCCCAGACAGTCATTTTCGCTCTGACTTTGGTTTTGAAGTTTATTCGAGCCTGGATGTTGTATGCCACAGTCTGTTTCTCATGCTGTTCTTCGTAAAATGCCTTCACCCTGGACTTCGCCAAGTCATACTGACGAAAGGCTTTTTCGTCAATCTGTTTGTAGAAGTCTGTTTCTGCGTCCCATTTGCTTTCGTGTGTACCTTTTTCTTCTTCTGCTTCTTCTTCTGCTTCTTCTTCATTCTCATTAGCTTCAATCCCAGCTTTCTCCTTCAACTGTCCTCGAAGTTTGTTCACTAGCAACACATCATCGTCCAAAGCTTCTAGAATCTTTCCTTTACTTGCAGTTGTCCGTAGTTCTTTTAATTCTGCTGGTTTCGAGATGGACATCTAAGCTTAATGGATTTAGAGTCTTACGGAAATACTTCATGCATAATCTTGCGCGAACCCATCGCACTATCAACTACTTTCAATCATTCTAATACGCTACGACACGATTAAATTATGCAACATTTATCTGAAGACATTTGATACAAAGAGTGGATTTATGGAAAATGCAGGTTACAGATGAATAAATAGGGAATTGTTGACTATGGCAGATCATCTCGTCTGCCATCCCTTTTGTTTCCGTTCAAAGGCCTAGGATATGCGCCGAAACTCATCAGTGGTGAGCATTTGGAATTGGATTTCCAGATACGACACCATTCAAAATCTTACCGCCTTCAACCCAGCCTCCTGGAGCAACCAGCTCATGCTCTTTTTGGTATTGGTTAATTCTGTCAACCATGACGGGTCTGAAAGATTTAATCAAACCTTGGATAGGCCATGCAGCAGCATCTCCCAAGGCACAGATGGTGTGGCCTTCAATCTCCTTAGTCAATTCAAAAATCTGGTCAATTTCCTTTTCTGTTGCTTGACCCTTGACAAATCTGTCCATCATTTTCTGCAACCATGTGGTACCTTCTCTACAAGGAGTACATTGGCCACAAGACTCGTGTTTATAGAAAGCGGAGAATCTTTGAATGGCTCTGATAATGTCAGTTTGCTTGTTCATGACAATGACAGCGGCAGTTCCCAAACCAGAGCCAACATCTTTCAAAGCATCGTAGTCCATCAAGACATTGTCACAAACATCTTTTGGCATAACTGGAACGGAACATCCGCCAGGAATAACACCCAACAAGTTGTCCCATCCACCAATAACACCGCCACAGTGCTTTTCCAACAATTCCTTCAATGGGATAGACATTTCTTCTTCCACGGTACAAGGTTCGTTGACGTGGCCAGAGATACAGTACAACTTGGTACCTGCGTTTCTCTCACGACCGAAAGAGGCAAACCAGTCGCCACCTCTTCTCAAAATCGTAGGAGCAACAGAGACAGTCTCGACATTGGCAACAGTTGTTGGTCTACCAAACAAACCAACACCAGCAGGGAAAGGAGGCTTCAATCTTGGCTTTCCTGCCTTGCCTTCGATAGACTCAATCAAAGCAGTCTCTTCACCACAAATGTAAGCACCCATACCACGGTGGATGTACACATCAAAGTCGTAGCCCGATCCACATGCGTTTTTACCGAGAAAGCCAGACTTGTAAGCTTCGTTGATGGCATTCTGCAAAATGGTAGTTTCGTTGTAAAACTCGCCTCTGATGTAAATGTACGCAGCAGTGGCATTCATACCTCTTCCAGCCAACAAACATCCTTCAACCAACTTGTGTGGGTCCTTTCTGATGATTTCTCTATCTTTACACGTACCAGGCTCACCCTCATCAGCGTTAACGACCAAGTATCTTGGTCCTGGGTTCTTTTCCCATCCTGGAGGGTTCATGAAAGACCACTTAAGTCCAGAAGGGAAACCAGCACCACCTCTGCCTCTCAAGCCGGACTTCTTCATTTCATCAATAATCCATTTGTCACCTTTCAAGATGATTTCTTTGGTCTTGTACCAGTCACCCATCTTTTGGGCAGATTTAAGGTCGTGGCCGTAGGTGCCATAAACATTTTGAAAGATTCTGTCCAGGTCTTTCAAGCCACCGTGAACTCTGTTTGGGTTCACTGCTGGATCGGCATTAGTAGCCAAACGTCTCACGCTTCTGGCGCTGTTCCTCAAGTTGCGAAGCATTTTAGCTGATAAGAACGGTCAGTCTCCAGTTCGCTTGTATGGTTTTTTTTTCCTCTCCATGGCTCTACTGCGCACCTGTGTAATTGGATTTCTTGCTCGTTCATTGGCTGGTTTGCACTTTCCAGCACATTGGTGATGGAAAATCTTCATGCAAGAAGTTTTGTGTCACAACTCAGTTAGTTCCTACATTAAGACCGTTAAGGATGTTATACAGCTTGACAAAGGTTGATTTGGTTATATTTCGTTTCATTTCAAGTGCTTGGTCACGTGCTTCACAAAACGGTAGGCTTAAAGTTCTCTGGTGCAAGGATGTATTCTCCAGCTGATCAAGGTACCGTTCAAACTTCTTGCTTAATATATAATATGGGGGTTTTAAGCTATGTCCTTGTTTCATTGATTGCAATTTCGTCATACTTATATGTGATCCGCTCTCCAAATAATTTTCAGTTTCAAAACGAGCACCTCAACAATGTACTCTACCATCCTTTAGGAACATCCATATGGTCAGAAATAACCGACCGATTTCTGGATAAGATTGAGTCTCTAGCGGGCTTGGAGAATCTCTCATCTGCGGTCTATAATCCTGCTCGAGTTGGGGAAATGAAGTTGAGTTCCAATTCTTATTACGAGGAGATCGCACCTCTCAAGAACAGAGAGAAAATAGGGAAGGAAAATGCCACTATCGTTATGCTAGTTCGAAACCTGGAGTTGAAAGGCGCGTTGCTGTCTATGCGATCCCTTGAAGATCGATTTAATAGGGATTACAAGTATCCGTGGGTCTTCCTCAATGATGTCCCATTTGATGAAGATTTCATCGAACAAACGTCACAGATGGCTAGCGGCGAAACTTTTTACGAACTCATTCCAGAAGAAGATTGGAATCCTCCACCACATATTGACTTAAAAAAACTCCAAAAAAACATCGATAATTCTGCAAATGTCATTTACGGTTTCTCAAAATCATATAGGAACATGTGCCACTTCAACTCTGGATTTTTTTACAAGCAAAAGCGGCTTTTGGATTATGAGTGGTATTTTAGGGTTGAGCCTGATGTGGAATACATGTGTGATTTCCTTTACGACCCTTTCACCTTGATGAGAACTCTTAATAAAACTTACGGCTTTGTGCTCACCATCCCGGAATACATAAATACCGTGCCTACATTATGGTCGACTGTGAAAGATTTCATGAAGGAGTACCCCCAGTATATCCATCCAAACAATGCTATTGACTTCATAACGACGAACGACACAGATGTGTTTTTTAACACACATGCAATTTCTAATTCTGAATATAATTTGTGTCATTTTTGGTCCAATTTCGAGATCGGCAATCTCAATTTTTTCAGAGGTGAGGCATATGAACTGTATTTCAATTACTTGGACAAGGCCGGAGGATTCTACTATGAACGTTGGGGAGATGCACCTGTCCATTCCATTGCGCTTTCACTTTTAATTGATAAGGATGAAATCCATCATTTCGAAGATATTGGCTACTATCATGCCCCGTACATGTCGTGCCCACAGTCACGTGATATACTCAATGCCAAACGATGCATATGTCGTGCTATGGACCCAAACAAGGATGAAATTTCGGAAGGAGTCGATACGATGCCACCGAGCTGCTTGGGTCGCTGGTGGAGGTATGGTAGTGGTAAAAAATTCTTGAACGAGTTTCCTTATACCTTTTTATAGTACTTCCTTAGATATGGGTATTGCACACAAGGGTGCCATCGCATCGCACATTTCATCCAATTTTTCGTACTATAGAAAGTTCGTTTCCATCCAAGCATGAGTAAAGGGAAGTTGAAGATTGCTTTGAAGAACGCAAAGGCCGTCGAGGCTTTTAACAAACCTAAAAGCTCCAAGAAAAACAAGCAAGAGCCAGCTGCTTCTCATTCCGAGGAGGAAGTGGAGCCAGTTCAGGAAGAAGCTGATGACAAAATCCAAGAAGAGATTGAGGAGTTGCTCAGTAAGGAAGAGACCTTGTCTAAAAAAGAAAAGAGAAGATTGAAAAAGTTGCTCACCCAATTGGAAGCTGAAGCTGATGAAGAGGACGATGAAGACGATGACGATGAAGAATTGGATTTGGAAAAATTAGCTGCTAGTGAAAGCGAAAGCGACATCAACGATGACGAGGACGATGATGATGAGGACGAGGATGAAGACGAAGAGGAGGAAGAAGGCAACGAAGATGGTGAAGAGGAAGAGGAAGAGGAAGACGACGAAGATGAAGAAGCTGAGGATGTTCCATTGTCCGATGTTGAGCTTGATTCTGACACTGACGTGGTTCCTCATAGTAAACTCACCATCAACAATGTCGCGGCTATGAAGGATAGTTTGGCACGTATTGAATTGCCCTGGTCTAAGCACTCCTTTGTTGAGCACCAGTCTATCGTTTCTGCTGAAAAGACAGAACTGGAAATTAAAGACATTTACGATGACACTGAAAGAGAGTTGGCATTTTACAAGCAAGGTTTGGATGCTGTTAAGCAAGGTAGAGCCACTCTTTTGAAGTTGAAGGTACCATTTTCTAGACCTCTAGATTATTTTGCAGAGATGGTGAAGAGTGACGAACATATGGATAAGTTGAAGAACAAGTTGTTGAAGGAGGCTGCTGACAAGAAAGCTTCTGAAGACGCCAAGAAACAGAGACAGTTGAAGAAGTTTGGTAAGCAAGTGATGCACGCTACTTTGCAAGACAGAGCTAAGCAGAAGAAGGAAACTTTGGAGAAGATCAAATCATTGAAAAAGAAGAGAACGTCCAATGAAATCTCCAATGATGATGAATTCCAAATTGCTTTGGAAGAAGCTACTGCTGAAGACAAACCAAAGAGACAAAAGCCAAATGGAAAAAGATTGGCAAAGGACTCCAAATATGGTTTCGGTGGTAAAAAGAGATTCTTGAGAAAGAACGACGCTGACTCTTCTGCTGATATCTACAACCAAAGGGGTAAAAGTAAGCAGAGCAGACCCGGTAAGAGTAAGAGAAGAAGAAACTAGGCTGTATATTAGGAATGCATATATCTATCGATAACTGTGTGTATAATATAGTTGTGTGCTGGTTTTTTAACATACACCAATATATGCGAAAAGTGTGCAAAGTGAACGATTCTTTACAAATATCTGGGCAGGAATGTCCATCGTATAGTATACGAAACCTCTAAAAAATTAGTGAAGAGAGAAATTAACAACGGATATTTCTATCTTCTCGGTAAAACATGTTAGCTCAATACTCGTAAGACACTATTTGTTTTCAAGAATTTTTGTTTTCAAGATAATAGCTCAAATACTGTCAGCTATACCGCATATCCTCTATGTCCTGGACGCGATTATGCAAATAAAAAGATCTGCGATTTCCGTTGGCGCAAAAAAAAAGAACATACATACATACATTCATCTAGAAATGGATAAAGCTGCCGCTAAACAAAAATTCGTTGATGAATTTTCAGGATTGGTTCAGGAGTTGAAGGAGATCTTGGTCCAGTACAACATGCCTCAAGAGGCTATTGACTGGTTCACCAAGAACTTGAACTACAATACTCCAGGCGGCAAGTTAAACAGAGGCTTGTCTGTCATTGATACATATTGCATTTTGAAGAACAAGAGTCTTGCTGACTTGTCTCAAGAAGAGTACAAGAAGGTTGCCATCTTGGGTTGGGCAATCGAATTATTACAAGCCTACTTTTTAGTTGCAGACGACATGATGGACCAGTCAAAAACAAGAAGAGGCCAGCCTTGTTGGTACTTGGTTGAAGGCGTCGGAAATATTGCTATCAATGATTCTTTCATGTTGGAAGGTGCTATTTACGTTTTGTTGAAGAAGCACTTCCGTCAGGACCCATACTACGTTGACTTATTGGATTTGTTCCACGAGGTTACTTTCCAAACCGAGTTGGGCCAATTGTTGGACTTGGTTACGGCTGACGAGGAACACGTAGACTTGGACAAGTTCAGTTTGGCCAAACACTCTTTTATCGTGATTTTCAAAACCGCTTACTACTCTTTCTACTTACCTGTTGCCTTGGCTATGTTCATGTGTGGAATTAACAGCGAACAAGACTTGAAGCAAGTCAGAGACATCTTGATTCCATTGGGTGAGTACTTTCAGATTCAGGACGACTACTTGGACTGTTTTGGAACTCCTGAACAAATTGGTAAGATTGGCACGGATATTAAGGATAACAAGTGCTCGTGGGTAGTCAACCAAGCCTTGTTGAAGGTCAATGCAGAGCAACGCAAGTTATTGGATGAAAACTATGGTAAGAAGAGCGATGAGTCTGAACAAAAAGTCAAGGAATTGTTCACTCAATTGGACATCCCTGCGATCTATCACGAATATGAAGAGTCCATTGTTGCCAAGTTGAGAGCTCAGATTGAAAATGTTGACGAGTCTAGAGGTTTGAAGAAGGAGGTTTTGACTGCATTTTTGGGCAAAGTCTACAAGCGTTCGAAGTAAAATAAGTCACAATATAATGTAAAAACACTATTATGACTGTTAGGTTCACCAATACCCAGAGGAACATACTACGTAGCACAAACATGCTTATTCGATATAGTTTATTGGAATATCTAGTAGCTAGAACTAATGCACGATGGTTATAAGATGTTTCGCTAAGCGTTGACGATTTCCAACTCTTCTCTACCAGCCTTGGTGTACAAGTACTCGTTGTAGTCTCTAGCACGAGCCCAGATGTTCCAAACAATGACAGCTGGAATGATAACATACAAGGCTTGGTTCTTGGTTCTTCTGAAGGTGTTGAAAACAGCGTTGTACAAGTTTCCCTTCAATGGCTTAGTGGCATAAGGAGTAACAGTGTAAATGTTGATGTACTTCTGGGTTGGGGCACCCATGTGACCCCACCATCCCATGTAAGCTTTTGGACCAGCACCTCCCATTTTTGATTGATAGATGTATGTGTGAAGATAGGTGCGTTTTTTTGCTCTGTAGAGAGTTTGTATGCCAAAAAGACGCGCATGTAATTGGCTGACCACCGTGCTCCTAATTACGCACAGTATGCTGATTATTACACTGAAGGAGTATGAATATGCTTTCAAGATATGATATTCTTCAGCAATAGAAACAGCACAGTCAACTGCGCACTTTGAGTGTTCTACTCGTCATAATCGTTTCGATCAAAGTGCCTGTTTTGGTGTTTTGGGTCGTTCAAGTTATACATGATTATCAGAACTGCACATCACACTATTGGGGCTACTAAGTCTAGTACTATGATAAGAAGTTGTCACAATTGACACAATTAAAAATCGTGGAGAGCTTCAGTGATTGTTGTGCATTATTTCTTTGAAAGGGAGTAGAGAGGATACGTAGTGCTACATTCGTCGTAGTCAACATCAAAATGTTGCTCATTGAGAGATTCAGCGTTTAACCTCGTATTTTTCAACAAGACTTTCATACATTCGTAATGTATAATCTAATATAAGCTATAGAAAAATAATTTACATCTACTCTGCTGGTAGTATCAACAATTAAATTGAGCATTAAAAAATTCGACACAGTACTTGTAGTTATACAACATACTGAGCCAAAATATACCCAATCTTCAGTATACTTCAATCATGCACAGGGAACACAATCTAACCATGGTACAAACAACTATAAGATTGGACACCAGTAGCAACTTCCGACAACTTAAACTACATGCGGTACAGAGTCGAGGTGTATTAAAGTACAATTAGGCGCAGCTCATCCGTCACATGATATATTATTTTATATATGAACCAAATTAAGCAGCAATACGCTTTTGGAAAGCCAATCTACCCTTTTGTCTAGAGTTCAATCTGACCTTCTTAGAGTCCTCAGCCTTGGCAACTTCCTCTTCTTCCTCAGTGACAATAAGTTCAATGTGAGATGGAGAAGATTGGTAAGCGTTGACTCTACCGTGAGCTCTGTAAGTTCTTCTTCTTTGCTTTGGAGCTTGGTTAACTTGGATGTGGGTGATCTTCAACTTGGAGACTTCCAAACCCTTAGCCTCAGCGTTGGATTGAGCGTTCTTCAACAAGTCCTTAACGTAGTTAACGGACTTGACAGGCCATCTAGCCTTTTGGACGCCCCATTCCTTACCTTGAGCAGTTCTACCAATGGAGTGGTTGAATCTTCTGAATGGAATGGCTCTCTTGTGGTCCAAGACATCTTCCAAGTACTTTTGAGCCTTCTCCAAGTTCCAACCGTTGATGGCTTGGGCAGTTTCTCTGGTGTTCTTGAAAGAAACTCTCAAGTAGGCACCACGAGCAGAGGCAGACTTAGCTGGGTTAACTGGGGTAGCAGCGTAACGAACCATTTTGACGATGTAGTTGAAAAAGAAGAAGCGCTAACTATGTAGAAAATTTCAAAATTTTTTACCCTCGCGGTGTTGCAGACAAGGCCGTCCAAGCTGTGCGAAAATTTCTCCGTTCTGCATCCAGTCGCGCAAGGTATTAGGTCTATGCCCTAAGAACATGCACGTGACTACAAATAATGAGATTTTCCCGCCTTGTCCGTTTACGGTTCTAGGTCGCTTCTGTCCGCGCTAGACTCCTTTTAAATTTACTTGCTGCCATTCTCACCCTCAAAAACCGAAACCAAAAAACCAAAAAAAAAAAACCTAAAACGTACCATAATCTATCTGCAGTACATTGGTTTGGGAACTTGTTCTAAAGTGTTTTCAGGTCTTTGCTAGCATTGGGGGATAGCGGCGAGAGTTAGCTGAAAATCTATGCTGGCTAAACCCAACGCTGAATCATTCGTAGAGACAAAACAAAAAGTAATAGAAGTAGCCCATGTTACACGAAGTGCTGCGGATGACGATCATGCGTCGCTTATCGTGCACATCAAATTCGGGCCAAGTGTGGCTAAATAACCCAGCGATAAGCTGACGTCTTATTTTTTTTTTTTTGATTTGAGCCAACGGAAGGAACAATGCATTCTGAAAGTAACACAGCGATATCTCCTAAGGAGGAAACTCTACTGGTATAGAAGTATCCGGCCCACATTGTTGGTGGTGCACGGTTTCACCGAGATATAGACAGAGTGCATAAAGGAATGTCGTGGAGCCAAGTTCTTTTTTTTTTTTTTTATTTTATTTTAGGCATATGTAGATTTAGATTCCTTTATTATGCTCTCCGCTATCGTGACACATACATGTAGATATGTGCATCCACCTCGCATTTTATCTTTTCCTTTTCTCTTTCACTCTTCTTTCTTCAAGTGTATTATAGCATGTCCTCAGTCTATGTGTAGCCTCGAGGCCAAAGCCCAGTCTCCCGTGTACTCCGCACGACCTTGACGGGAATTGGAGCAGAAATTAAAAAACAACTGTTTGGCGAACCATCAAAGTCTAACCCGCTCCCCACCTTCACCACACAAAAACATTGCTTGCATTTCGGAGTATAGCGGTAGCCTTTTTTTTTCTACACGTGTTTACCGATCTTTGTACTTGACACCATCCTTGCGGCACGTAATTACTGGTTCCTTCCTGTGAATTAGAATCTCGTGTCTGACTATCACGTCTTGGCCTACTATTGTGGAAATTGGTAACGTGATATATATCGATTGTTGGCTTTTTGATTCACGTCCATTTCACGACTAATCTGTTTCAACAACGCATTGATCCGTTGCTCTTTCACCTTTCCCCGGTAATTGTTGTCGACCATTTTTTTTTCTATCTTTTGAAACGTCTAATCTATTACTGTCATGTCGAACTCTGAAGATTTACCCATACTACTGCCCAAGGACAACATGAATGAGAACGACGCGCTTTCTCTCAATGATGACGATGCTCTTTACAATATGGATGTTGACATTCCAAACAATGGTCAGGAAAGTACAACAGCTGGCAGTGAAGAAACAAGTGCTCAATTGGAGCCCAATGACCTCACCATGGATATCTTTGATGACTCCAACTTGAAGTCCCTAAACCCCTCAGACGCTCAGAAAAGCAATGACACAGCAGACGACGACAGTTCGAAAAATGAAGGTATCGCGTCAAAAAATTCACCAACTCTGATCGAAGGAGATGCAAACGTGAAGGAAGAGACTTCTCAAAGTAAGAATATTACAGACTCCGTCGCAACAGACGAAAAACTGGCGTCGACTGAAAGCATTGAAGATGCGACAAAAGAAGATGAACTCGTCGCAAAGACAAAGAAAAGTACACCAAGGATAGTCGATGACGACGAGCTTGAGGTCAAAAAAGAACCAGAATTGGAAGAACATTTATCTGACTCAGAATATGAAAACGTTAATGGCAAAGCACACGACAAGGGCCCCTCCTTGGATATCAACGCAGACGACAAAACGCGTATCCGCCAAACCCATGCTATCATCATTCCATCCTATGCAAGCTGGTTTAACATGAGGAAAATTCACCAAATAGAACGCGACTCTTTGCCTGAATTTTTCAACACATCCCATCCATCAAAGTCACCCAAGATTTATGCGAATTATCGAAACTTCATGATCAATGCCTATCGGTTAAACCCTAATGAATATCTCACGCTCACTTCATGTCGCCGAAACTTAGTAGGCGATGTGGGAACGTTAATGAGAGTACACAGATTCCTCAACAAATGGGGTCTCATTAACTATCAGGTAAATCCCCAATTCAAGCCTGCTTATGCCCTTGAAAAGTTACCTAATGGGTCACTGGTGGGGTTACCATATGCTGGAGACTTTCATGTTCAGTATGATACACCAAGAGGTTTGTTCCCTTTCAATACTCACAGGGTCAACGCCAATAATGTCAATATTGAAAAGTTAAAGCAATTGGTTGAGTCTGAAAATTTCATGAATGGGGAGAAAACTACTAGCTCGGAAGACAAAACATCCGACGAACCTCCTTCGAAGAAGCAAAAGAAGTCCGAAGACGACTGGTCGCCAAAGGAACTTGCAAATTTGCTTTTGGGCATAAAGAAATACAAAAATGACTGGTACAAAATTGCTAAGCATGTTGGTGACCGCAAACCTCAAGAGTGCATTCTCAAATTTCTCAGTATTCCCATCGAAGATGAATTTGACACTGTGGAAAAGAAAGATTTAGGGATCCTCAAGTTTGCGCCGAACTTTCCCGTCACTTCTGTGGACAATCCCGTCATAAGCAATTTGATTTTCATGACCACTCTTGTGGACAATGAAGTGGTCAAAGCCGCAAGCTCCAGAGCATCTAAAGTCATCGACGAAAGATTTTTCGAACGCGTACGAGAAGTGTACAAAGACAAAGAAGAAGAACAGGTCAAGAAAGAGTCGGAAAACGAAAACGAGGGGAGGTCTGACCAGCATTCAAGTTCTAGTAAGCCATCAGAAGGTGGAGACGAAGAGCTTGATTCTCTTCTCAAAGAGACTAGTGGCTCTGGAGACACTGGTGTTATTGAAGACGCTGCTACAGCTGTCTTTGGATCAGTGGCTGCCCGTAGCCATTTGTTTGCGAATTACGAAGAAAGAGAAATGCAGAAGATCACTACCACGATTCTTAACCAAGAACTAAACAAAATCGATGTCAAGTTAACTAAGATCAAGGAGCTTGAGAAGATCTTTCAGCGTGAGCGTCAAAATTTGGCTCAACAGCAAAATGAGGTTTTCCTTGATAGGTTAGCTTTGGCAAAGTCTACAGCTGGGGTCACTCTGAAGTTGAACGAGGTGATTTCTATTCTCAAAGGCGTAACTAGTGGTGGGGCCAGTAATGGCTCTGAAGATATTGAGAAGGCGTCAAAGTTGCTAACTGATGTTCAGCCACTTTTATTCAAAGCGAATGGTAAGGATTTTGTTCCGACAGAAAAGAAAGATGAAGAACCTGCCAATGCGGAGGATGAGGCGAATAAAGCTGCGAAGAGAAACTCTGTGGTTAAGCCTTTGTCTATAGAGCGGCCTCAATCCTTTAAGGTTTGGGTTCCTTGAAATCTCAAAAATCATGCGTCGAGAGCTCTTTGCTGTTCTTTTTTCGGCAAGTGGTTCTCATCAACAGATTTCTCTCCCAGGTGTTTTTCTCAAGTACATAGGTAGCTCTCTTTCACTAATGTATCATTATATCGGTGTACTAAATTAGTGCGAACAATACCTGTGTGCTCCTCACGCACATACACCGTCAACGCGTGCTCCACAACACAAGAAGCATGAGTAGCGAAAAGATTCTAGTTGCTCAAGAGTTGAATCCGAGTCAAAGTCCAGGCTCAATTCCCATTGGATACAGCGCCGAAGAAGAAAACTCAAGGGTGAACATGGTTGATAGAGATGAGAATGAGCTTGAACTAGGAACATCAGAGCACGAGGAACTTGGCAGTGAAGATGAATCCAACGTACATTCGGATCCAGACATTGAACATGAAGTTATTGAGGTGTCCAATGAATCTCCACAAAAATCAAATGTCTTCTTGGGAAGGACTTCGGGAGCGGAAGACCATAATGATGTGGTTGAATTGCGAGAGTCGAATACTAACAATGAAATACTATCTCATGATCAATACGTGGAAGTCATAGATTTAGATAGTGAAGAGGAAATTGAGAATTTGGAAGAGGAAGAGGGGAATGAGCAAGTGGGAAAAATGGACAATGAAAATGATGAACATGATTATGAAAACGAAATAGAAGAGATGGAGAACATGGATGAAGCAGAGGAGGGGGGTCCTGGTAAAGAGTATGAAGAGGAAGAAGTCTACGAGCAGGTGGACACCAATTCTTCGGGAAATGAAGATGAAGAAAAGCGTGAACATATTTATGAAGAACATAAAGAAGATAACGAACTCTCAGATAGCGAAGTTGAAGACCTCGATTTACAAAACGAAGAAATGAATCTACAGACGGATTCAAATATGATACGTGAGCATGCAACGAGCAAATCACTGTCAAACTTTTCAGAATTCCCTATTTTCATAAATATTCGTGGGGATGAGTTCTTGCTCGTCCCATTCTTTAATGATTGCAACTATGATCTAGAGGACACTATATCTCTTTTCACGCTTGATGAAGTGGTGAACTGCACTTTATCAGAGTTTTTTAAGTTGCTTAGAGGGAATGGAGACTTGATCGATGCCTATGATTTCAATAAAGAGGATGAGCTATGTCTCAGGATCCCCGAATTATCGTTACTCGTAACTGAGGACAATGTACATACCGGAGATTTAAAATTGAAAGATCTAATGGATACTTACTTTTCATTGATCAGTCGTGACAAGAAGGACGACAAAGATACTCCGGATAAAATGACTATATTGGTGAGCATGCAGCCCAGGTTCATAACTAACTACAAGAGAATACTCGATGCTGCAATTAGCGGGAAGCGTTATTGTGATTTGTTCGATCCCGTGGGTGTCTCTGAAGAAAGCAATGGCAATCCGAAGAAGAGAAAAAGATTGCTGCTGTAATCCTCAATTTATTATCCCGCTGTTTTTTAACCGCAAGTAGAGTTCGGGATCGAGGTACTTTTGCAAATTGGGCTCACCGCTCAAGCCTTTCCTCCTGCGCGTTTTAAGCACGAAGTCTCTAGCCATTGACTGTCGTGGAACTGGTTTCATTTGTGGGAGATGGCAATCTCTATCCAACGGATCTCCGGGAACTGTATCCCATTTGGCAAAATCAAGGTAGCACATGGCTTGGCCTTGGGTTTGAAGACGCATATCTGTGTCGAGACCCACGGAGTCAATCACGGGAACGAATCCTTCAATTTCATAGAGCTTGGTGGCCGGAATTGGATATTCATCGACTATCCAGCCTCTCCTCTTTCCCAATAATATCAGCACGGCCTGGATGCTATTGTAAGTACATGTAACTGATACTCGATATACGGGCTCCATGAGCCTTGGACTCGCCGTCAAAAACCCAGTATGCACGGCATTTCTAGTCATAGGTATGATTTGAGAACCGCTTGACTGGATTTTTGATCCACTCAACACAGCATCCAAGATCTTGAACTTGCAATTTCTTATGGGTTCATTACAGAGTGGGCCTTCGTTTATACCCAATTTGAAACCAGTGATAATGAGATCTTTAGCTTTCGAAAGCCTTTCCTTATCTGTTTCACCGTCAATGGAATCATCTAAAAGAATCGAAGCATTGTGCATATCATCTGGTCCAAAACACCATAATGACCTTGCTGAAAGGGAATCCCATCCATACTCCGTTCTCAAAGTCTTCGAAGTCACTTTGCTCGGTTGGGCCAAACTTATCTTTCCTTCTTGTATAGCTTGACTGACCCTTGTATCATTAAAAGGTTCAGATGTGATGGAGATCTGGCTCTTTTTTGATGATGCATACGTGTCTATTTTAGTGACGGACCTTTCGGCACAAGTTTCACTGAACTTGACCATTGGATCACTAACTTTGATCGAGAAGTAGTCGTCGAAAAGATATCTGAGGTCATGAAGAAAACAGTCCATATAGAGTTCTCCTGGAGCCAAAATCACATGTTCCCCACTTTCCTCTAATCTGACTACAGCAGAAAGATAAGTTCTGCTTAGTTGCTTTAGTCCATCCACCAATCTTGGCAATTCGCTTGGTTTTTCGGGCTCTACTGCAACTTTGTAAACAGCCCTTCGTTCGCTTTCGGCCCAATGAATAGGCTTTACTAGACTCTTAGGGATCGACTGTCCAAGCACTGTTGCGCATTTTTGAATTGCTTCGTTGATACCAGTCACAATCACTATAGAGCCAGCAGAAGCTTCTTCGTAAGGCACTTTATATCTTCCTCCAGCAAGATATATCTCGCCGACCTCGCAAATCACATCATCCTTCCTGTCATCGATATGATTATCCCCAACAATTCTTACGCGTTGCCCTTCCTTTAAAGATCCTTGATGAATACGAATAAATGAGACAAATCCTTTCGTATCGGATGTCAACTGAGTTTTGAACACCTCAGCCACAAGCTCGCTCGAATATTCGTCTCTGAGATCAAGCCCCCGCTTCAAAAGACATTCTGCATTTTTCTCTGGCCCCGGTAGGGCAGTGGTAATCAGATCAACTAGGGCTTGGGTACTTCCAAACACTGAACCAAATACAATTTTCAAAAGTATTTGCGGGTCTTTCTTATATGCGGATTTTTGAAGCGTGACTTTGAAGTTATCCCAAAGAAGTTTTGATAGTCTATGGCCATTTCCATCGGAAGTTAAAGTATATGTGACGAGCTTGTAGAGAGGATCCAAGATAAACATCTCAAATGTACGTTTGGAGTCCAAAACAGCGTCTTCGTTGAGCACAAAGAATTGTTTTTTATTCCCGTCGAAAGAAATCTCTCCCCAGAGCAATCTTTCGAGTTGTTTTTGGTCTAAATCTTTAGCAAATTGTTGATTGTCACAGTAAAGTTTACTAAAGGACCTTAAGGAAAAGGTTGTCAGAAGAATCAGAGACGAAAAAACGACGTTGTTCTTTAATGGACTGACTAGTTTTTCATGTGTGTATGTGCTGATAAATTCATTATGATGAATGAACAGATTGATGTCATCAAGCACATATCTTACTTTATGGAAGAACTCCCGTGGCGGAAGTCTGAGCTCCAAAATTAATCTGTCAAATTTGTTCAAAACAACAACAAATGGTAGATTCTTTTTAATCAAATGAGTGACAATTCTCTTGTCTTTCTTAGTGAATCCTTCGAGCAAATCCAACACCAAAACTGCGCCCTCAACAACTGATAGTGCTGCAGAAGTGTCATCTAGAAAGTCAGGATGGCCCGGACAATCAATAATGTTTAAAACATGCGACCTATCTCTGCTGTCTGGACATAAAAGAGTTAATAAGGAAGCACCAATTGAAATTCCTCTTTCTTTCTCTAACCTGTGACTATCCAAATACCGTAAGCTTTTAAATTCTTGAAGGTTTTGTTTCCCTTCATCTATTGTCGGATGAGTTTCCAACACCAATCTGTCCACCAAGCTAGTTTTTCCGGTATGCAAGCTTCCAACTATGGCAAAGTTACGAATCCTCTCAGGAATATCTTTTAGCAAGGATTTCATATAGTCTCGGGAGTATGTAACCTCGGGAAGGTCCGAAGAATCAACTGTCTTCGCATACTCAATGTATAGTTTTTGGTCAGCAATGGGTTTAATAATAGGCTGTTCATCTCCTTGATGTGTGGGATCCACAACAATAGTCTCGAATGTATGAGTGTCTGAGAATTCCTTCTTTATCATGGATGTTTCCTCCAGCTCTTTTGGTGCTTCGTCTTCGTCCATTGAAGAATCTGAATGTTCATCTTTATTATTCCCTTGTTTGGTCGTTTGGTTCATAGATTCAGCATCCGAATTTTCTGGGTTTCCTATGAAGTTACCAAACTCATCATATAAATCGTCATCACTGTCCATGTTGCTGATGAAGATAATATCTCTTCGAGATGATGTTTGTGGGTTTCCTGCACATTTATATGATACGGCTTCTTTAATTCAAGAGTAGTCATCTGACAAATTTAACGATTCAAATCATCTATTGACGCTAAATTTATTGAATCTACTATACAAGGTCTATTTCTGGATCATTGGAGTGTTCACGGAACACGTTTAATGGAAACTAAGTTTTGTACAATAATAAAAACAAAACTCTCCTGGAATAGGGACATGCTAAAATCAACAAGGATAACCGTTGATTAAGACAATGTTTGATACTTTCTCAATTCAGTCAACAAAGTTTTCAACTGTACATCAGAAACTTTGTGTGCTAGACTAGGAATTAATGATTTCGCTTCTTCTGCGTCTTCACATTCCAAGTTTCCTAATTGGGCTATTTCGAAAGGGTGCAATGGTTCAGAAGCTTGGCTACTGAAATCGTTCAAGAGCTTCTCAACAGTTTCTGTAGAGGATGAATTCTTGAACCGGCTGAACATGGATAAGTAGTTCAAGGTTTTGTGCACAATTTCATTCGAGTTGGGTCCCGCAAGCTCGATATTAGCTATTTCATCTTCTCTTTCATTTTCTTCATCATCGTTGTCCTCGAATTTCTTGTTTTCAGCCTTGCTCTTCCGCTCCTTAAGCGCAGCCCTGATCAAAAGTCGAGCTTCGGACAAATTCAATGCAATGAGCTGTTCACTGTCTCCGGAGTTTGTGATTTGCGTAAGTTGAAACTCTGGCCCTAGCTTCAAAACACTGGCATTTTCCTCCTCGTCGATATTTTGACTCTTAGGCTTCCTTCTTCTGACACCTAATGCACTCGTGCTGACATTCATGTTTGATTATATTCGTCCGATATTACAGTTGAGAATCACTAATATGAAATGTTTTCAAGAAGTTTGACACAGTATTGGTTTTTGAGCTCAACAGGACTGTGGTATGTGTTTTGCGTTAAATGAAGTACAGTTAGCAGCGAACTTTTTCTCCAATAAATTGGGCATACACGACTATCAACAACAACCGGTTCCGGGTCTGAAAAATCTACGAAAGAATTTACGCGTAATACGGTATGCAAGATTATATTATAGCCCCTAAATATAAGAATTTATCAACACTGTGTTTTGGAAGGAGATGCAGTAGATAAAACAGTTGAAATAGGAGACATTGAATGTGTATCTGCAGAAACTGAATCATTGACAAAAGGATGCTTGAGGGCCTCTTGTGGTGTAAGACGTTCAAGCGGGTTAAGATTCAAGACCTTTGACAAAAAGTCGACTAGCAAATGACGGTCCTTGTACTCCTTATCAATCATCGATTGCGTCATTTTCCTGGAAGGCATTTTGTAATTTAAAATGATATCCTTGAGCAACCGATGATTGAAGTAGTTTTTATTAGGCAGCTCTGCCTTGTTCAAGTCTTCTTTGCCTTTTGAGAGTCGCACAAATTCCAAGTATTCTTCATGTGTCTTTAACCGATATGTTGGTTTCCCATTTTCTTCAGTAGGTGGGATTTTCTCGAAGAAGTTTAGAGAATTACGCCCCACATCAATCATATGTCTTGGAGGATCACCCAACATGTCAATGATTTTGTAAAGCTGATTATACTCTGAGGAACCTGGAAACATTGGAAGCCCGAGAAACAACTCTCCCACTATACACCCTAAGGACCACATATCAATAGACTCAGTATAAGGAAGCCCTAGGATTACTTCAGGAGAGCGATAAAACCGCGACTGGATGTAAGAATAAATCGTTTGCCGTTTAAAACAAGCGCTTCCGAAATCAATGACTTTAATATCTGGTTTATCTGGCTGACATAAAAGTATGTTTTCAGGTTTCAAGTCACAGTGTATTATCTGGAAGTTCTTTAGCTGGGCACAAGCATCCAATAACTGCCTGGTAAAAGACTTTACCAATTTCATACTAAGACCATGAAACTGGTTCTGTTTTATGAGCTCATACAAATTGGAAGCCAAGATTTCAAAGACAAGACATAGGTGATCGCGGTGCATGAAAGTATCTAATAGTCTAATGAAGCTATTGCTCCGACTATTCTGATTCAAAAACTCCAAGAGCTTGACTTCAGATAAGGACTGATTCAAATATGCTGGTTTTGACTTGATAACTTTCACCGCCACAACTGATTGATTTGCCAAATTCTGGCATTTCACTACTTGACCAAAGGTCCCTGATCCCAACAAGTCGAGTACGACATATTTTCGACCCTCTTCTTGGCCCAAAATGTCATTCACATATAAGATATAGTCACTATCTTCGTTGTCACAACCGTTGTTGTATTTGGGTTCTGAAGGTTTTGTCAAGACACGTTTAGGGTTGGTGGTTTTGCAGTAACGGAACTTTTGGGGCTGACACATGGAGAAGGACTCCGTCAAGTAGACAGACAATGCGTTAGTAGGAGATATGTGGATAGCATTCACAGACCGTCTTCTATACTTCGGCTGATTGTGGCTCTTCGGCTTCAAGTCTCCCTTATTGCGGACGCGCACCATTTTAGCCACCGCTTTCGGTGGAGACGGTGGACGGGGCATGTGGTAATAAGATGCACCAGGCAGGCTATTGTCCAATTGGGCATTGAAAAACCGGTTATTCAAGTGTTCGCCCTGGTACTGGGATGAGCCAACAGCGACAGAGGAGCGGCGCGCCGCCATGGCTCCCCCCATGTTCAGAAACATGCTTCCTCCAGCTACACCTGTAGGGAGCATTTGTGTGGCAGCATTGTTTGCTCCATTGACGGGCTGGAACGGGTTATTATAAGGGTTGTAGAGCGATCCGTCGACGGCAGCAGACATACGGCGATCGGGAAAGTGGTTGAGCAGAACCTCCTGGTTTGTGTAATAGTGATTGAAGGGATTATCAGCACGGGGAGGTGGGTGGATGTACAGCGCTGCGTTCTGTTGGTCCCCATCTTCGTATGTCACCGGAAGATTGTTAGCAAATGACTGTTTCTTTGTTCCTAGTAGCGACATCTGAGGTGGCTGAGGTTGGCCTGGTTGGTTTTTGTGCAGAGTGGAGTTTGAAGGGGAATACCAAGGATTCCTAAAGCCGGGCGGCTGCAGGGCCAGACCAGACGCAGTTACATGATCAGTAGCAGGAGATTTTTGGTCGCCGGCCGCTGTGGACCATGTATTCTGTGTGGGATCATGGCGGTTGTATAAGAAATTAAACGACATGTAAGATGGTCGCTTAGGAGGCAGCAAGCGAAATAAAATGCGTTAGAGGAATGGGAACTTGTATGGGAGAAAATGTTAGTTTGAGCAGCTAGTTATACATTGGACGGGCGAGAACCTAGCGTCGAAACTCTCAGATAGCTGATGCGGATGGGATTACAACAATTGTGGAAAGCAAGTGTGCACTTTCATGGAGGGCCTACCAGTAATGCCTGCATGTACGGCTGGGCGACCTAATCGTGGGTGGGGCCATTGATTAGCTTCTATCCAATCCACCTTGAGCAGAGTGCTTTCATACGGTACTTGTTTTGTCCTACCTACATTTTCTACTACCACTGACGGCAAAAGAATGATTCGTAATGGCTGTAGAAGAAGTGTTGGTCACTCTTGGCAAGGCTAATTCCATGTCGAGTGCGAATATCCGGTCTGGCAGAGAAAACGGAGACAATAGCACGTTATCTGCATGATTAGCACGCTTGGGGACTTGTTGGGCCGTGGCGGGCAAGAAACACAGACAATCACTAATTGAGACATGCTTGTTTCCTATTGATCGATGCTCTTTTGATCTTTTTTTATTGCCTCTTGCTATGAAAATTATTGTCACCCCAACCGATAAGGAGTTTACGCTTTCTCAGTGTGCAAATTGCTCAGCTAGCTTGAGACATCGTCTAGCTGACTCACCGCGATCTCCGGTCTCGCCTTCTAACTTACACCATAATGTAACCATTCTGTATTTGTAACTTTATGTACAAGACCAGGCTCGCCTGGTAGTCATGACCTCATTAACCAAGCCACTAGGCCTTCATTGGCTCCTCAGGGAAAGCTGGCCCAATAGCGGGCTGTGCTTGCATTCTCTGGAACATCATACCCACACCTTCAATAATACCTAAGAAACAAGCACACGTGATGGCCGAGTTTCTGGTGTGCTTCCAGCCTCCTCTAATGGCCAAAGCACCACCAGTGAAGAAACCAGCAATGATGGCGTTCCATGCATCCTCTCTCTTTCTAATGGCCTTGACAGAACAGTCAAAGGTCGAAAACAAACCACCCCAGACACCAAAATTACCTCCAACAACTGGCGCTCTGGCCTTGATGGCGCTCATGGCACCGTATCTTCTCTCACCGTAAGGTGAGTTACGGAAGCCTTTGATACCATGCCAAAAGCAGCCACCAATGACACCCATAGCAAAAGCACCACCAAAGTCACTCAAAATGACAATGGGACAAGGGTCTCTAGTGTGATCAGCGGACATTATTAGTGTAGTTTACCGAGTCTGTCTGGCTCACCAATTTTTTTTCACGCTTTTTTTTTGCCGTTGTTGAAGCGGTTGTGTGCACGCTACTTCGGCATTACCTTTCTACCAGTACGTAGAAAATACCTTTGGCTAAACTCCAACACTTCAAGAATTCCCCAGGTGGTGGAAAAGGTACTGATCTTAATAGCCCCTTATCTTCACTCTTAGTGCTTTGGTTTGTTAAGTAGTCTGTGATTTTTAGAAATTGCCATACACTCACTTATACTGGGATTCGTAGGTTTTACAAGCCAAGGAAGCGTTCAGGACCATTCATGGATTTGTTACTAATATCATTATACTGTAAATTTTTGTTTTATTCTTAAGTTATCAATTTCTTATAATGCATGAAATTGACCAAAATGAGCTTTTCTTGCATTCGCGTGTGTATTGTGCCTATTGTTAGTCAGAAATATAAACACATGAAAAAAGCTAACAGTTTGGGCGTAAATTTTCATTATATACAATGTCGTTATTTTACATCACCAGGTTGTTCAAAAAGAACATCCGTCGGTGAATCATCTTGTTCATCGTCTTGTTCATCGTTTGAGTGGGTGTCCGACACTACCACAAAATTATCATCTGCTTCATCGTGATCGTTAAATGAACTTGGTCCTTCTTCCATGTCTTTGTCATCCTCGGTAATGATAAATGCGTCGTCCAAACCAGTGATCTTGTCAGTGTCTTTCAAGTTGTGGAGCTCAATGTAGTCTGTGTCAATTGGAGGACCTGTGAATACATTAGCCCCCCACGTCAAATAACCAATTGTTGCAATTCCAACCAAAAAAACAAAAACCACACTTGCATAGTTCATGGACGACCATGTCAAGTGTTTTATCACAGGGGGAGAGCAGAGAATGAACGTCAGAAGAATGACCCAAGAAACGGAGATGAAATTGATTATCCACCCGCAGTATTTAAGTCTAAAAGCAGAGCCTTTGATTTTTCTTCGCTTGTTCAACATTAAGCAGAAAATAGGTATACCATTAGCCAAAGCTAATGAGATGACAGATGCTCCCATGAATGCATTAAATGCTGACGGAGATACGAGAGCTAATAACGAAAACACCGCACAAACTCCCATGGACAAGAACAAGGCATTCTTAGGCAAGACGTACAATTCCACAGAATCAACAGAAACCCAAATATCCTTGAATGGGAGACCTCCATCACGTGCAAAAGCATATGTGCTTCTCGATGCCGTTGTCAATGCGCCAATTGCTTGGAAGATAACTGTTCCAATCAAAAGAATAATCAATAAAAACGACACAACATAAGACTGTGTTGCAGTTTTGAACACCAAATCAATTGGCATTATTTCTGGAGTCTCATCCAATAATACAGAGAGCTCGGGGAGAATGATCAAAATAGGAATGATGAAAAACAACCCCTGAACGATCGAGATAGAAATTGCACTAATACTTCCCCTGGGCATATTTTTTTCTGGGTTTTTAACTTCATCTGTCATCGCGAACAACATACCGTAACCTGTTAAAGTAAAAGATGAGCTTTGTAACCCAACCATAAAGGCTAGAGGATCAGGCCAACCAGATCTGGAGTTATCAAAATGTGTTAATATATGCTTAATCGAGTTAGTCTTTTTTGCGAAAATGATCAACAATATGTCAATAATGAGAACAGATGTAATGGACCAAAAAATGCAGAGCTTATTGATATGTTCCAAGTATTTGGAGAATTTAAAGTTCACAAAACCAACAAAAGTCAACATGATGAAATAAACTCCGAGAACAAGCAGAACATCTTCCTTATAGTACACATTTCGGAGACCAAAGATTGAAAGAATGAATTGCGATCCCGAAAAAAGAATGCTAACGGCATATGTCCAGTTTCCAATGAGAAGAAACCAACCAGTAAACCACGAGCTAACAATTGAATATTTTTCGTTGCTTAATATGGCACTAAAATGGTACACACCACCTGCCGTTGGAAATTTTGCAATGATCTCACATAAGCTCAATACAACACAAAAACTGAAGAAGCCGACAATCAACCAGCCATAAAGCATCGTCACATTACCGCCATCGACTAACAGAATCCATAAAGTTGACGATAAGCCAAATGGGATACCCATCAACGTAAATCCAATGCCAATAATTGAAGTCACAGTCAACTTTCTTTCCAAGTCCTGTTTGTATTTGAAATGTTCAACTTGCTCAATTTCATCATCATCACCATCGATCAAAATGCTATTCAAGAAAGTAGCTGGTGCCAGGTCCCTCAACATACTGGCTCCTATTGCCACATAGGACGACCCTTCTGTTTGAGGGTGAACAACTTGATCCATCAACTAATTCAAAGGTTTATGGTTTTTCGTTTCGTATGCGATCCACAAGCCAAATAGAGGTTTGCGCGATAAGGTTATTGGATTTAGCCAAGAGGCGATTTTGGATTACTACCGGCGTTTTCTTTTTCTATGTTGGTTAGGCGATGGAAATGCTTCCAGTACATTGATCGCGCACGCATTTCCATATCGGCACGATCGGTCCTTCATGCAAAAGATCAAAGAGATATAAACCAGGTTGTAGGCGAAAATAATAGGACAAATAATTTTCTGAAAAACTTACTGCAAAAGAAAGTGAACCGTTTCTACTCTTGAATTAAATCTATGCTATGCTAGTCGAAATCTAAATCGCTCATGTCACTCTCCTCTTTCTCTTTCTCTTCTCTTTTCTTCATCACGGGCAATGCAACACTGTTACTCGTACGTACAAGAACGCTATGCAAATTCTCCACTTTGCGCAAAAGACCTCCAACAGGTAAAGCTTTTTCATCCACAAGGTAGAGAATAACGTCGTTGATATTGGTGAGTAGCTCTGAGATCTTCCAATCTGAATATCCTACAACGATATTGATGCAATTGCCGTGTGCCGGAGGAATAAAGCTTGCGTTGCCAGTGATGGCCTTCACTTGAGACCGAACAAACTTGACATCGCATTCTTGGTTAATTTTTCCATGCGTTCGGCGTCCTGGTTCAGGCTTGGCCATGAGAACCTTAAATGGCACTTTCTTGTTCTTCGCATAGAACTGACTCCCTAAGATGGAAGGCAAACGCTGATGAATTCTGGTATCAGCCAAAACAATATCGTTTTCCTTGTAGAGCCGGACCAAGTTCTTGTGGCTTTGGCCTATCAGCTTAATTTTCTGGAACGGGATAATTTGATGGAACAAGTCTTCTGTAGGTGAGCCAGCTTTGGTAAAATGCTCTTTGAAGCTCAGATCCCGTGTGATGAGCAAGATTGTCTTTTCGTCTATTTTGTGTAGCTTGTGCGTAACGGGAATTATCCGGGGAGTGAAGTCTTTCTCCTTCACTAGGTAAATATTGGTGTTCAACACAAGTATTATGGGCTCATGATGACTCTGGTTCCCGTTCTTCTGTGCCTCATCTGCAATATGGCCAATAATACCACGAAGAGACTTTTTTGCCTCTTCGCGTGCTTCTGTCCCTAGAACAAACGACATGCAATCGATTTGGCGGCTTCCTTTTTACGTCAGATACCTTAAGACGATAATTTTCTAGAGATGGCGTCACGTGCCTCATGTTTCGCGAGATGCTCGCATTTCCCCGCGAATGGGGCATGTGCCTATATTAGATTATAACCACACGATTCCAAAAGCCTAAAACTAGGGGCTACTCTACACCTGCCATCGACTAAATGCAGATATTTAGACAGCTTACACTTGCGCTTTCCGGTCTTTCGATAAATAGCAAATGGACTCCAGTTTCTCATAGTGTCCACAAGGAGATCGGGAACCAAGAACCTTTGCCGTCTAAGCCGGAAGCCATAGTACTATGGCACGGATTGGGCGATAACTACAACACAACATCAATGGGCCGGATCAAAGAACTCATTGAGAATACTTTGCCCGACACTTTTGTTCACTCTGTGTACATTGATGAAGATCCTGCTCTTGATGAAAGAAGATCCATATTTGGAGATGCCAATAGCGAGTTAGCGATAGCATGCGAGCAGCTTCTGCAAATTCCTGAATTGAGCAACGGCTTTGCTGGAATTGGATTTTCTCAGGGTGGTTTGTTCATGAGAGCTCTTATTGAAAAATGTCCGAATATCTCCGTTTCCACGTTAATCACTTTTGGCTCACCTCATTTGGGAGTTCTGGAACTTCCTCTCTGTCCCAAAGACGATGACTGGTTATGCAAGAGAAGAAACGCTTTCTTGAAGAGCCAGGTATGGCTTCCGCTGGTTCAGAAAACGGTGATCCCCGCTCAATACTTCAGAGACCCTGCGCAGTATTCCTCTTATACGAAATACTCCCATTTCTTAGCAAATATCAATAACGAAAGGCCAGAAGAGATCGATGAAGATGCCAAAGAGCGGTTTTCGCAAATCGGAAGACTCGTGCTTATCAAGTTTACTAAAGATACTACGCTAGTACCAAAGGAGAGTGCATTCTTTGAAGAGGTGGACCCACATACAGGAAGAACAGTTCCCTTTCCTAAGACCCAGCTTTTCCAGGACGATCTCATTGGTTTACGGAAACTCTTCATAGAAGACAAAGTCAGTTTTTATGACATTGATGACGAGCACATGCGTTTTCTGGATGACTTTTTCGTTGATATTCTACATGAGTATTTTGGTGCACCTTAAACTACGGTCGCATTTGTGGGTACGGGTTTATCGCTTTGGTTAACATTACATTCATCTATATCAAACAATAAGATACAATAGTATGTCAGATAGAGTAGCCCGTTTGTCTGCTCTTCGGCGTAGCCGGAAAAGCGAGAAGATAATTGTCAATGAAGGGAGCCCAGATGAACGTGATTCGAGTACGACTGGAGAAAAACTAAACGAGAATGAGCTGAGTACGAAAAAGGAGACGATAACGCCATCAGAAGCAACAACTCTGCAAGAAGCTACTGAGGAGCCAAATGATCAGGATACTCAACACGAAAGCAAGTATGATTCAGCGGAGGCCACATTGAGCTATAACAGTGACTTGAAGCAAGACATCAGTCTTCTACTAAATAAAAGCCAGCGAGCTACAGATAATGCACTCAAAAGGATCATTCAAGAACGATTTCAGGAAGATAATCAGATATAAAGGCACTCGCAATGTATAGTAAAATTTCGAATTATGAATTATTGAGTGTAGGACCATAAACTAGTGCGCGATGTGAGGCCATTACCGTATTAGGAAGTCAACCTTCCTCCAATGAAATCGCAGAGTACCATTTCCGAGCTCGTTGGCGCGAACACATAGAAAAGGTTGATTTTTTTCCTGGAGTTCTATACCTTCGTGTTTCCAGAAAAAGACAAATGGCTATCGTCAACAGAATTGTCACTAGAGCTGCTCGTCCAGCTTTCTTGGCTGCTCGCTCTCCGTATGTGATTATCCAAAGCACATTATTTCTTTCTTGAATCGTTTAGTGAAATTATCCTGACTCCTTATTGTCGAATGCACCCATCGTGTGGCAGCAACTACCAAGAAGAATGAAATAAGAAATGATTCCAGATCTCGAGATCTCTAGGTATAACCTTCCTTATTCTCTAGAGTCAGTTTCAATCGCCCGTGAACCACTTTCCATTCAAGATAGAAGTGCGTAAAAACTAAACATGTTACTAACTATTCAGAATTGGTGTTCGTTTCTTGTCCACCCCAGTTGAGCCAAAGGAAAAGGCTAACTCTATCATCAATGCCTTGCCAGGTAACAGTCTCATTTCTAAGACCAGCATCTTGGCTACATCTGCCGCTGCTGCCGTTTACGGTATTTCTAACGAGTTGCTTGTCATCCATGACGAAACCATCTTGGTCTGTACATTTGCCGCTTTCACTGCTTTGTGCGCCAAGTTCATTGCTCCATTGTACACTGAGTGGGCTGATGGCGAGATCAAGAAGGTGAACGACCTCTTGAACGGCTCTAGAAGCAAGCACGTTTCTGCTGTCAAGAACAGAATTGAGTCTGTTTCTCAATTGAAGGATGTTGTTGCCACCACCAAGCAATTGTTTGAAGTTTCTAGAGAAACCGCTAAGTTGGAAGCCGAGGCTTTCGAGTTGAAGCAAAAGCTTGCTGTTGCTCACGAGGCCAAGGCTACTTTGGACTCGTGGGTTAGATTTGAGCAACAACAAAGACAATTGGAGCAGGAGCAATTGATCAAGTCTGTTTTGGACAAGGTCAACAAGGAGATTGGTAACCCTAAGTTCCAAGAAAAGGTCTTGGCAGAGTCCGTTGCTGAGGTCGAGAAGATCTTCTCCAAGGCTTAAACACCTAGAACGAATACTTATTATAAGAATGAAAAGTTTATACGGGGAAAATATATATTCCACAATGTGCATACTGTCTGCTAGACAACCGAATCACTAAGCAATAAGGTATTTTTAAACATGCGTTTCTCAAATCCATAGATAGTTTTTCGCTATTGGCTCCCATCGTAGGTCAGTGAATTATAGATAGGACCTGACTAAGTGGTGAGCAGGCGTCCATAAGTGAAGCGAATTATCATCAGCTACACTGGCAATCATCCAATCTTCATGATGAGAGAAATCGAAATCGTTTACACCAAGCATGTGGCCCTCATGGTTGAAAATTAGCTTGTGCTCATTGGCCACATCATGCAACTTTACCAGTCTGTCCCCGGAGGAAGAGCCCAAGACGCTATGGAACTTAGGATGCCATTTCAATTGCGTGATTGCATCTGTATGGGGTGTGAATCTGTACAAGCATTCTGAGGGAGACCGAATGTCCCGCAATTCGATCTGTCCATCTCCATGCCCCAAAGCAATGCAGAAGGAATTACTTGGATTGATACTCAAGCTGTTCACGGCAGAACCCGTTGAAAAGCTGACGGATGGATCACTCTTTCTAGAGTCGTGGAGTCGGACCATGCCATTATCGTCTGCACTGAGAAAAAAGGAGTCATGTGTTGGAACCCATTCAATGTCGTTGATGCCAACGCCATTGAGAAAGTCCCAGGACAGGAAGATGCGATTCTCCAGTCTCGTCGCATAGCTATCTCGTATGTCATACAAGCTTATGACTCCATCCATAGCACCTGCAACTGCAACACCTTCTTTCTGATTGTTCCAATCAAAGGCAAAAATGTCTGTAGTAGAAGGGTGGGCATTGTTCACCAAGCGTAGCTGTGGCTCGTTGATTTCTTTTTCGCCAATGAGTGTCTTGATAGTAGAGTGTTTGGTACGATTGTAAACCAGTAAATGGCCCAAGTTATTTGCACTGGCTATCACGTCTGGGTTCTGGGGCATATACTTCAATTTGTTCACATCTCCCAAATGGTTGATAGTTTGATTTACGTGGATTTTATTCTTGGAGATGGTAGACAACTCAAACTCTTCTTTCTCTGTTGAGTAGTTCCACTGTTCAATGTTGATGCATTTGTTAAGGTTCTGGTAGTACGGGAGTTGGTGGATAGAAATAGAATCCACAGACTGGCCCAACGTGAATGTTCCTAAAAGAAGCCGCTGAAAGGCTAACTGAGATGAAGGCGACGCTGCTATCGAGGCCTCGGTCACTTCGTCATTGACATTATTTTCTTTATTTTCGAGGTCAGGAAAAAACAGGACGCTTAGCGACGGCCACAAGAGCGAGTTGGTGGATAGGTAGTCGTAGAGGAAAGGTGCATTTTTCTTGAACACTCTGTAGCGGTGCTGCGTTGACTTGTCAATTAGCGAAGAGGATCCGTTCTCGTTTTCATCCGCATCATGGATGACCTCTGGCAGATCTGCTGCCGGAAGATCTTCCATTGTTGGTGTAGATGATGATGTGAGATGAAAATGCGCGTTGCTTGAATCGCGTGTACTAGAAGTCATCACTGCGCAAAACCAGAAGGTATTTCTTTCTCCTACGAAACGAAGTGGAACTAGTAAAAGAAAAATAAAAAAAACGAACTTTTAAAGACATATTAGATTTTAAAATCATGTCGTTCACTCGCTTTCTATTAGGTTTTAACTCAGGATTCCTATAAATACATAAGACAGAGTATTTCGATGTCTCGTTCACATTAGCTGATGTTTCATAACTAAATGATTTTGCCACATGTTCAGTCACCTGAAATAGCCTTAATACTTGCAATTGAGTCTGAATCATCAGCAAAATTGCATATGTCCTCGATCACCTTGTGGAATTCTTGGTTGAAAAGAGGGCCCTCTGACGTCAAGAAATCACTCAACTCGCTCAATACAGAGTTGACGTGCTTGGAAGTAACGGAAGGAGAAGCATCTGTATCAATGAAATCGGTTGGTTTTGACTCCCGCTCACCATTGAGATCAGCCAAAACATCACTCAACTTTATGAGTTCTGAATAATTATCGTAGATGATGGACTTTTTCTCCAGCTCATGCTGATTGAGCCCATTAGAAATGAAGTTGCGGACCTTCAAAATCTGAACGATGTCCAGCAGCTCCACAAACTTATTTAATTGTTCAGGGTCACTCAATTGCCTGGCCTGCAAGCTGATTTCATTTTGTTGTGAATCGACGTCGTTTTCCTTTTCTTGTGCACTCTTTTCATCTCCGCCAGACTGATTATCCGCATTGCTGAGTTCCGTGCTTGTCCTTTTTGTCTCTGGATTAGCAGCATGTAAATGATAAAACTCTTGTAGCGCTTTCCGCCTCTCCAGTAACAGTCTTTGATTGGGCAGGTTCGAAAATGTGCTTGTGTCTGATAAGGCCGGCAGAGCCACAGGCGACTTAGACTTCTTAGATGGTTTTTTGTATGATAGTACTGGCGCTAGGTTGTCTGTATCTCCCATTTCAGTTAACGACAATTAGTTCAAGTAGACACTGGGGTCAATCCAGTATGGGCACACGTGACCAAAATACGAATTTTGTACTAGACAAGGTCCCATCTCAGATTCTCTGCCGTGCTTTGCAATATGAGTGAAGAAATTAGGCTAAATGATTCGAAGCTAGGAACAAAAGAATAGTATGTGTGTCCCTTATGTTCATCTTGTGAATATTACTAACGGACGAAGCTGGAACCAGTTTTATAAGACTGAGATCACAAATTTCAATGATAATGAAGAAGACTTGGGAGAATGCTGGTTTGACGACTCTGATGCCGAAAGGAAGGTGATCCAATTTTTTTGTGATCTCATCGAGAACAAGGAAATAGATTCAAATTTACTGGTTTGTGACCTTGGAACCGGTAATGGACACTTTTTATTTGAGTTGTACGACTCGATTATTGAGGAGGATATTGATGCATCTTTAGAATATCATGGAATTGATTATTCCCCCGAGTCTGTCCAACTTGCCATCCTGATTGCCAAAAAAAAATATTCGGATCAAGAGTTTGTTTTCGAACAAGTTGACTTTATTGCCAAAGAGTGTTCCTACTTGGAAGACAAGGCAGGAAAATTTGACGTCTTGTTTGACAAAGGAACATTGGACGCAATTGCATTAAACAATAGTCCTATTGAAGGTTTCGGATCCAAGATAGGTATCGACGTGTACCCTTCCCAAGTAACCAAATTGATGCATCCTGGTTCTTTACTCATAATAACTTCTTGCAATTTCACCGAGGAAGAGCTCATAAAACTAATCACAAAGGATGCAGCCAATGGGTTAAGCGTATGGAAGAAAATCGAGTATCCATCGTACGAGTTTGGCGGTGTCAAAGGTTCCACAATTTGTAGCATTGCATTCCGCAAGGACTGATGTTGGTTTATATTAACTATTTATCGTGACGTTTACATCTATTTCTTCGTGGTAGCCTCCTTTTCTTCAGTAACGGTCTTGCCCTCACCTTCTTTCGTCTCCTTCATTGTTTTCTTCAAAGCGTCAACTTGTTCAAGCAATTCGTCCCGAAGATTTTGATTGGCAAATTTGATGAGGTATTGAATTAGTTTTCCTTCAGAGGAAACATAATTAATTCTCGTATACTTTCCTGGAGCCAAGCTGGCTTCTAAGCCTTTAATGAACGTGGTTGAAGGAGTTATCTTGTAGTTTAAGATGACTCTCAAGAGCCCTTGAGACCGCATCACGAGCCTAATTTGAGATGGGTCATCAAGGGATTGGTTTAAATGTAGAGGGCCTAAACCACGCTCTTTCCAACCACCAGAAATATTTGTGAGATCCAATTCAAAAAGCTTAGCTGTAGCAGAGAAAATGGACTTTTCATTCTCCTCTCCAGTCTTCACTTCCTGAGCTTGCAAATCAATTTGTTTGTATTGTTGAGTAGATTTGGGGGTTCCTGTAGAGGTATCAGAGTTAGTTTCTTCTTGTTTCTCCTCCGGCATATCAAGGAATGACTTTTTCTTTGTGGAATTTTCAAAAGCATTGGAGAACTTTGAATTTGCACCAAAAGAGCTTCCGAAAGAACCACCAAATGAACTCGAGCTTGAGCCAAATTTACTCTCCGAAGCCTTAGTTTCTTCAGGCTTGGAGTCAAAAATACTGGGCCGATCTTTCATTTTGTCGAATATGGAAGCATTGCCAAATTTGCTAGTGGATCCAAAAACAGGCTTGTGTTCAACATGGGCATCATTTGTCTTGGACTTTGGTGCTTCGGATTTTGTCTCTTGTGTCGCGCCAGATGTTTCTTCATCTACCTTAGATTTGTCCTCATCCGCCTTAGCTTGGTCTTTAACATTCTCTTCAACTTCATCTGCATTGGAGTTTGTCTTGAGCTCGATATCTGACGTAGTCTCTTCCTTGCTATCCGCAGATACAGGAACAGAATTGCTTTCTTTTGTGTCTAAAGAGACGCCTTTAGACTTCTTTGGCTCTGGTTCTTCGGTGGCATCTAAACCACGCTTCAATGTAGGATTTTCTGGCATTCGAATTGAAGAAGAACCGGTGTGTTCTAAAGCTTAAAGCGCACTAGCATACATACACTACAAAGATTGAGCAAACATTTGAGTAAACGAACACAGAATAGTGGAGGGAAAAGTAACTACAAAATAGTTAGTTTAGGAGAAATATATGGTAGACTACACTCAACCGTTTGATATGTTTCAGTTCTGAAATCATAAAGCATTCTGAAGTTTCAAACATGTCTGTATAACCTTCGTACCCGAGTCCCTGCAGACAAAAGTACATAGAACGAGAATGGGATTATGGACAGAACATGGTGCAACAAGAAGCAACTGGTCGAAATGGTATGTTCTTCACGAGTGACGGGAATGCAAAGCTAACCATAGAGTGAAATTGGTAATCTTCAGAAGTTGCGGGCTACGCTCGAGGCTATTAGACAGACTACCGAAGACATACATCGAGACATTGTTTCCGCCAAAAAGAACCACGAGGCCATTGCAAAAGAAGCAGCTGTTACAAGAGAGGTGGTCAAACGGGTGTGATGGATCATACACGTTCGAAAAAGCGTATTAGAACTTGAACATGCTGTGCAATACAGTGAAACCTATCTGGGTAAGAATGTGTAGGGCTAGAATGAAGAGACTTGGGAGAGGGTGGCTCGCGCCTCATTAGAGGGAGAGGTGATAGAAAATATGCTATCAGGAACGTTAAGGTGGACCATGTACTGTTAACATAATTTTACTGCCAATAATGACATTGGCCTCTGCTGATACTGCGAATTAATGTACATCTCTTGATGGCTTTTGTAGGCCTTTTGACATTTTGCGGCTTAAGTAGCCTTGCTAGTGTTTGCCCTCTACTCAGTTTCGCATTGTTTGCATACACTATCCTTGTCCGCACTCCTCGCACATCTCTGCTTGGAACCCATCACCCATGTCATACGACAACAAGTGCACATGGGCAAGTTTGGACTCTGCCCTTAAGGAACATGTTATTCTCAAGATTGTTGGGACGTTGGAGTGCCTGGTGTGCTCCGAATTGATGCATGTACCGTTTCTTGCGTCGTGTGGCCACTCATTCTGCTATGGATGCTTAAATCTGTGGTTTGAATCCAAAGTCAACTGCCCTACGTGCCGTACAGACATGGAAACTCAGCCCGTACTAAACATTGTGCTCCGTGACGTGAGCAAGACGATTTCCGATGTGATCTTGGATACTTTGCAAGACGAAGCTCGCCAACTGTTGCTAGAAGCGCGGAGCGAGCGCATTCTGGAGTACGAAGACGATATGCGGCATGGCCGTTTGTTTGGCGAAGCATTCAAGTCTGCGCCGACACTTGTCGATACCTCAGACGGCGTACCCCGCTGCGGAAACTGCCACTGGGAGGCCCATGGCTCTGTGTGTTTGCATTGCGGTTCTCGTTTCCGCGTGCCACGACTGGATCTGTACTACGACCTGGAAGATGGAGACGCTTACGACGAAGATGGAGACGAAGTGGAACTCTTTGGAGTGGCGCAGGACGCATATGACTCGAACGACAGCTTTGTGGATGATCGTGAGATCGAGGAAGGTGAAGGGCTGGACATGGAGCTGGGGCTGGAGCTGGGTTTAGGGCGCGCCAGCCTGGGGCTGGAGGACAATGCGGAGCGCCATCTGAACGGCAGCGTGGCTAGCGCGCAAGAACTGTGGCAGGGCTTCGAGTCGCACGGGCCCCCGCACCGCTCGCCGCGCGCGTGGTTTGAGGATTCGCGCGAAGGTTCGCTCGAGTCGCTGCCAGGATTCTTTGGTGTGGACATGGAATCAGCCATGGATGAGCTCCATAACCGGCATGTGCTGACTTATATCGATGGCCACGCGGATGAGTCGGACGACTCTGGAGAATCTGTTGAGGAAATCAACCCTCGCAGGCGATATCACATTGTGGATCTGGACTCCGAGTGATGCCTTCGGGCGCTGATGTATGCTGGAGAAGGGAGGTGTGTACAACTGTTGAGTAATATAGTGTGTGCGAAACAAGTGCTGCAAGACGAAGAGCGGGACACAGGAATGTAAATAGAGGGAAAATACGACAATTCTATGGAAAAGGCTGCAACATTTCCATGTTAGCCCAGCGGACAGCGTATGCTTGATTGATCCGTACAACAGTAAGTGCGGCTCATGACAGACAGAACATCAAGCGGATGTTTTTATGTGAATTGAGCAGTAATCTTAGCCACGCAAGCCATTTGCTAGAAGGAAGAGCAAAAGGGCCACGAAGTATCGTTACTCCAAAATTATCAAAATTACTGAGGCCAAGACTTGGTAGTTATTGCCAATGATACATTACTACTATCGAAGAAGTCCATATTACTAGCTCTTTTGAATCCAGTCCGCTCTTTTGAATCCAGTCCGTAACAGTTTCATTTAATTCCACAGTCAATGGCAAAGGAACCTCTTTATTCTTTTCGATTCAAAGCGTAAATTCGCATCATCTAATCAGTGTCTGCCGGGAGTGCATGTACAGTGTTCGTGCGCAGCCCACTCTTTCACGAGCACCCCATTGGCCGAAAAGTGCGCTGATGTTTCTAAACCCAAGTTGAACTGGTATCTTATTTCTCCCAACTACTAGCCATGGACCCACAAAGAGTTATCAGATTGCAAAAATTGTACCAAAATTCTAACAAGGAGTTGTGGTTGAGAGGACCACGTTCCAAGTTGCTTGTGTACCCATTCTACGCTTTGTTCACTGTTTCTACTTGCTGCAGCTTGTACTACACTGGCAGAGCCGTGGCCGGTCTTAAGGACGAATAAATGTTGTCCGTCCCCCTCGAAGAATATTCCACTTTGATCTGTCTATGTGATTTGTATAGACGAATGCATTGGTTAAAATGACATTTTTGTAGGTGTTTGCAACTCGCATACGCTGTTTCTTACAACCAGGAGACATGGATTACATCCTGTTTATTCTGACCGTGTTCTTATGCTTGTCCTTTAGCTTGCAGTTTTACTTGGGTAGAGCTTCACATTCATTCAAGCCATTGTGCAACGCAACGGCACTACGCTTTTTCTCTTATGAGGCACATTATAAATATGATTTGCTACACTTTTTCTCCATTACCGTTTCACTCACGGAATTTGTTTTACTGTTCTCTGCTTTGTGTTTTGTGTCTGGTAATTTCTTACTTGATGGTATTCTATGTCCTGCTAGAATCACCTTATACTCCACTGTCCCACTGTGCAGTCTGATCAATTTACCCAACACTTCGTAGCCTGTTCGTCTTTGATCGACAATCAACCATGAACAGCTTAATGGACCTCCCGAAGGAGGTTTTAAACAGCTTATTACAGTTCTTGCCACAGGAACTGCTTCTTAATCTAGCACTCACTAACTTTCATTTTTACGAGCCATGCCTACGCAAGCTCTACAGAAAGTTGGTAATCCAAGTGGATCCAGTCTTGAAGTACGAAACCAAAGACCATACAAGGCAAAGAATGGACCACATACATCTGAGCTGTACCACTATCTCAGGTTTCGCTTCTGTCTACATGAACAGACATGCCCACTTGCGAATGCTCGCTGCTAAATTGAAGACCATGATCATTTCAATCACCACCAATCCCGCCTTGGCGACTTACATTGAAGAAATTGACGTGTGTGGGCTGCTTGATTCTGAAGTAGCGGCTTTATTGAAACAATTGCTCGACCTATTGGCTTCTGTCCCTAATGGCATCCACAAGATTTATATTGCAGATGCCAAATTGAGAAGATCTTTGGGTTATCACAACATTGTGAAGTCTTTTGCCCTCACATGTGTCTGCATTGAAGGCCCTCAGGACCTTGGTCATTTAAGTACAAGCTTTCCCGATTGCCAAGAGATTATTGTGATGAACTATGATGGGGGAGCTCCGCTTCCAGCATCTGTGGTCCCTGTCATGGAAAAGCTCATTTCCCTAAGGATTCGGAATGATCCAAACGTATTTTCAAAATTCACTGAGGCTCTCCTTAAGTTGTGTAGTAGGGTTCCCTTTGTCATGAAACACTTGAAAACGTTCAATGTTGTACAAACCCATGATAATTATGAACAACAATTTCCTTACATCGACTTTGAAACGCTCGAGAACTTACAAATCTCTCTTGGATGCAACAATGCAACCGGATGCGACCAAAAATGTTTAGAGCTTGGCTTGTCCCGCTATAATATGCTCAATCCGAAGCGGCTTTCGTTTATTCAGAGTTCAAAGGCATCATTAAACTCGCACAAGTATACCGAGAAATGGGATCTCACAATCTTTCGGTATGTGAAGGATATTGTGGAAAGTTCAGATTCTCTCTCTTATCTCAGTATTCGTCACAATGTTCCTGATGATGGCATTATAGACGATGGTTTCGAAGGCAATTACATCCGGAAAGTGAAGCTTTACACTCTTCTTTTACCCAATCTTTTGGCCACAATCCAAAGGCATGTGGTGAACTTGGTGCTTCCTAATCTAGTTGCCAGCTTAGCTTGCTATGAGCAGCCTATGAACACTTTTCTTTGGAACGGGTGTCAATGCCCACACTGCAAAAAGTATTTGGCAAAGTTGGACAAGTTCATGCTTTACCACCGTTACTACAATCGTGAAAAGGCAGTTTTCAAGGATGTTTTGACAACACAATTAATGCGTTCGATTAGTGAAGTGCTATGTGATAGGATAGATGATGATCCAAATTTGGGTGATTTGTTTTTGCTTACGAAACCCATGAGGAACGTAACTTGGGACTTCCATAGCAGCAAGTTTTCCATTCCACTTCTTTGTTTACCTGTTAAGAACTATGAGATGGGCTACTTCGAGGATGAAGCAGACGAAAAAGCGGAGCGGGCTCAGCGTTTTTTTGACGCAGAAGATAAGCAAAATGACTGTATTTTTCTTCACCAGGAAAAGTTTGTTCCAAACTACCTGATTGTCATTTCTCATTACTTAAACGATATAATTCGGCGTATGATTAACTTGAATAGAGGAGATGCAGAGGATGTGAAAATTGGCGACGTTAAAGACGAAAATGATGGCTTCACTAGCTTGAGAATCAACAAAATGTTGGTCAATGGCATAGATTACAATTTTGACCATGAGATTAATGGCACAATCTTCTACGTGAATTCATACGATGATACGAATGATGAATACTAATATATATATGTATATGTATATATAAAACAATGTATTTCCATAGAGCCTTCGTTGTATTCCAGTCCACGCTCAAGCGCGATTTATCACCTCAAAGCCAACAAGAATGTGGTAACGAGAATGAAACCTATTCCTCTCCGGCAAGTACGGCAGCATAAATTTCTCCTGATAAAGAATTCTCATTAACCATAGATTATATCACTTCCGGAGTGTGAAGTTGAGATACCTTTACTTTGCACGAACGACGCAAATGTGAAGTTGAGGAGCAGTTTTTGTATACTTCTTTTCGAAGACATCAAACTCAAGAAAGATTTTTACTTGAGGCTTCTACCGAGAGCAACTGACTTAGTCGTATTTGAATGTGGTCGCTCGATACCTATATCGACAGCGAATGTTCCGAATGCCTTGATTATAAAATGTGCTTCACATGGAGACCTATTGAAGAATCTACATGATATTCTTGAAGATAGAAGCCTGCTGCTCAATGATCACTTCATGAACACTCTAGTGATCGAAAATTTATCTTCATTCTACTGGACTCTCCGTTGTAAGAAAGTTGCAGATCGAATTCATTGGTATGAACAGTTGCACCGCGTTCTCCTAACTATAAGAGACGAGTACAAATGCAACATACTAGTGACAGCATGGGACAACAACTATGAACGTGGGTTCAATGTGAAAGAGCGGTGGTCAGGACAACCACAAAAACTAGATGACCTCACATACATGCCACTAACACTTTATCAACGTGTTGAACACGTCTTTGCGTTCCAAAAGGGACGAAGTTTCATGTTCAAGGAAAACAGATGGGTGTTACTACTAAATGGCGAGGAGTCACATGGGATATAATGGAATAGGAAATTGAGCTACGACACAAGACAAGTGTTTCTCAAATTTTATTGTAGATGTAATTCGTAAAGCAAAGAGCAAGCCCCAGCTAGTGATGATTCCCGAATGAATAGATATAGACGCTTTTACATAACAGTCAAGTCGCCAAACTTCTCCTTGTAGCTTGGCACTTCCCACTTACCGTGTTGGATCATGTAGTTGACCTTCTCGTCCAAGTCAGGTCTGGCCTTGGCAATGTCATCAACGGTCAATTGGTCGAATGGTCTGGCACCTTCAATGTCCTTCAAAGTAGCTTGCAATTGCTCAATTTCAGCCAAAACAGACTTTTCGGTCAACTTGGCGTTTTCAATGGCCTTTTGCTCGAAAATGTCAATGGTCTTCAAGGTCTTGGAAACGTCGTAGGTGGTTGGCTTGAAGCCAGAAACAGCCTTTTCGATTTCATCAACAACCTTGGTGTTCTTCAAAACGCTTCTGTAATGTTCAAAGTCAACCTCGGTGGATTGGGAAGTCAAGGTTTGGTGTTCCTTCTTGGCTTCGTCGTTTCTCTTCTTGAAGGCAGTCAAAGAGGAGGCGGTGGAGCCGGTCAAACCCAACTTGGAGATGACCTGGGCCCAGTTCAACTTAGTGGAAGCGCTCTTGGCAACAGCAGACATGTTTGAATGAGTTTGAAGTGGATGTGGAAACTTGAGCTTGGGTTCCGGTGTATTTTTTTCGGTTTGTGAGTACGATTGTGGTCGTGCACAACACATCGCTCCAGCTCGGGCATCCAATTGGCCAATCAATTCGCACCCGCTCTCGCCATAACTGGAACTTGTTGTAAGCTCTAATCTCTGATAGTAAATTTATTTGGAAAAAGGTAACTTACACTGATAGTGGGGCTACCACTATTTTTATTACAATGCCTCCTTTAGTGGGATTATACAGTCAGTCAGTGAGCCGAAATCACAGAGAAGTATACTATTCCTGAGTTACAGAAAATTGTAAATTGATCAGAAAGCATTGAGGGTTCAATGTCAAGCCATTATGCAAACAGTCTTCTTCAATAGTCTGAAGCTTTAAATTACATCCGTTTTTTTGACTAGCCAGGAATTAACGTAATATCCGGGCCTTCGCTTCGCGACCTGTATGCACATATTCTGTCAAGTAGACCGTGGTGTTTGGGTGTTCCAGATCAAGACACATTTGCATAGTGGACATAACGACTGTGCCCCCCCTTCAGATTCCAAATTGCACAATGGCTCCCCAAATGAAAGGGTTAACGCAGTTCATAGTGGACTTGCGTAACTCGAATAACGCGGAAGAAGAACGGAAGCGCATCAACTTGGAAATAAGCAACATCCAAAGTAAGTTCGCCATTTCAAACCTCAACTCATACCAAAAGAAGAAATATGTTTGCAAACTTATCTATATCCACCTCCTCGGGTTTGAAGAGGATACCAATTTTGGTCTTAAGCAGGCGTATGCCCTTGCCGAGTCTTCCGACTTTCTGGAAAAACAGTTGGGATATCTTCTGATTTCCATTCTCTTCAAACGAGACGCGACAAATCCCCTGGCATACATTGAAGGTCTCTTTGAACAGACACATGTTCACCTTTTACGGGATTTAAAGATTGACAAAGAAGCTGTCAATTGTTTGGCTTTACAATTCATTGCATCAAATTTTAATGTCATGATCCATCTGTTGTCTATGGGCTCAGCCGGAAGCAGTACGATAGGCATTTATGGCCAACAGTGGCTGGATTTGATTGACATGGTTTACGGATTCTGTGTTTCCCCGGTTTCCAGTGCAAATATTCGAAAGAAGGCCCTCATAACGCTATTGGTGATGATTAAAATCACTCCAAAGGTTATCACGATTAATGACAATTGGATTCCGCGTCTCTTGGCTTTGTTAGACGATGCGAACCCTAGTGTGGTTTTAAGCGCCATCCCACTAACGAAATACCTAACCGACGTCAAACCACAATACATCAAATCCATTCTTCCTACTATCGCTGCTCGCCTTGAAAGATTAGTGGTCAATCGTTCCTGCCCCTTGGAATATCTATTCTACGACATTCCTGCTCCATGGCTAGTAACCAGACTTTTGCAATTGACAGAGCACTTCCTCTTACCCTCAGAGGATCTGCGGAACGTTGCATTATCTGTGAGTGAGTTAGATTCAGAAACACTCTCAAAGCTTCGAAATGTGGTTTCTACTAGTATCCAAACTGCCACAGGCCCAAGTAATGGGCAACCTGGTAGGAATTCACAATCATCGATTCTTTTCCAAGCTGTTGCTCTCGCTTCATTGCTAGATGCCTCTTCGAGTGCTATAGAAGGTGCCGTAGGAGCTTTGATTTCTCTTCTTGATTTCCCGGATACAAACTTACGGTATTTGGTTTTAGATGCATTGACTAAATTGTCGGCTAGATCCAACCCCAAGGCATCATTCAAGGACCATATGGAGAAGATTTTCGCTTCTCTTTATGATAGAGACGTTTCAATCAGAAGGAAGACCGTTGATTTGCTGTACACCATGTGCGAGCCACTGAACTATGGACAGATTGTATCAAAGTTACTCGATTATCTACCCGTATGCGATTCGACCCTCCGAAACGAAATTTCTATAAAGGTCGCAGTTATTGCTGAAAAGTATGCGAGTGACCCATTGTGGTACGTTTCAACCATGCTCCGGTTGTTATCAATTTGTGGCAACTCAAAACCAAATTCGGGAGATCCTGGAACAGCGAGTGAAATTTGGGAACGTATTGCTCAGATCATAGTCAATAATGAAGACCTACAAAAAATGACAGGAAAATACATCATGAACACTCTCAAAAAACCTAAAGGATCTATCCAAGACGGCTTGTATAAAGTTGCAGCTTTTGTACTAGGCGAATATGGGCATAAATTAGCTGAAAGCGCGGATCAAAACAACCATTTCACACTTGAAGTCCAGTTTACCGCTCTCATGGAAGCATACTTCAATGCCTCATTGTCTGCGCGTCCTCTTATCATGAGTGCATTTATCAAGTTCATCGTTAAATCCCCCAACGAAGACTTTGTTCCTGATATTCTTGATTTATTCGAAGCAGAGGCACAGTCTTTGGATCTTGAAATACAGACACGTGCTCATGAATATTTAAAAGTGGCATCTTATATGGTCAGTGGTGATCAGAGAGATATAGAATTCGCCAGAAGCATCGTCGCACAAATGCCGCCTTTCACTAGTAAACGCAATAAGTTGCTTAACCATTTGGGTAGCGTTAAGCATATCACGGAGCGGTCATCTTCCACAGTAAATGTGCTGAAAATTCCTAAACTTAAAGTCAAAACTACAGGCCATTCGTCTTCCAATGATTTGAGTGACGTTGAAGATCTTTCCAACATTACCGAAGACGACTTAGATCCGTTCCACGATCCACAACCAAGAGCTCCGCAGCTTTCGCCAAATTGGTATGCTGGATATCATCGGATGTTGCAGTATGATGCAGGTATATTTTATGAAGACCAACTTGTGAAAATCACCTACAGAACTATTAAAGAAGGGCCAGACATAAGTATAATCTTCACAGTTATTAATAATGCTTCCAAAACGACCGATGCAAACATAACGGCATTCACAGTCTTAGAGGTCTGTAACATGAGTCAAAAGCATCCCGAAAAATACGCTATTAATTTGGTCAAGGTTCCCGATCCTACAATTCCGCAAAAGACAACGTTGGAATTGAAAATCAAGGTCCGCGAGGTTCTCGAGAATACCGAGTGTCCTATCATATGCTTCACATATAAGTGTAGCGGTTCATTCAACAAGTTGAACCTCAAGATTCCTATCGTCCTCATAAAAACCTTGTCCGGAACTAGTCTCAGCTCCTTAGAAGATTTCAGAAAGAGATGGCTTCAAATAGGGGAACTTTTGGGAACTGTGGAAGGCGAGAAGAAGGGTGTTATCACTACAAATCATCGGTACACTTCGGCCAACATGGTTAGGATGATTCAAAGAATAGGTTTTGCCATTGTCCACTCCACACCCGACAACGCTGAAGGAGTGTTGGTTATGGGGGCTGGCATCTTGCGTACGCTCAAGTCCAACTACGGTTTGTTGCTTACAATCAAAAGTACAGATGTCATGGGCAGGCTGTTTGATGTTGCTGTCCGAAGCACAGGTGGAGGCGTTCTGGAAATTATTTTCCAAACGTTGAAGGAAATGCTTGAATCTAAATAACGGATTCGGTAGACGATGACGGTGATGGCACAGCAATGTATTGTGCATACGTATTGGCGGGGAAGGTAAGAGTCGGACACATTCCGCATTTAGTATACAATCTCAGAGTTATGAGCATAAGATCTGAATACTATGGGGCGAAGACGTATTTTCGAGATGCTAGGCATTGTAATTTCCCATTGAGGTTATTCCCGATTTGAGATCTTTACCCTTTTGGGAAAGTCCCTCGATGAATCTATCTCTATATGCACCACCCAACCAAGATGCCTTTAGCCAGACGGCAGATGAAATGAACTTTTCCAGACATAAATATGGTTAGCTCGCTAGGAAGAGTTTCAAAAGAAACGCTAGGGTGTTTTTTTCCTTTCTTACTATTTTTCATTTCTCCTTTTTGAAATGATGGCACTACACTGGCTGGTTGTGCTTTTCGCAGCTATCAACTTTGTTATAGCGGCACCAGTCACTTTGACTACAGTTACGGCTGTGACCAATGCTGATGGCTCGACTTACGTTTTTGACGGGAATTTAGCACCAACAGCGTCGGCAACGATAGCCGCAGAGGCTACTTCTTCTTCAACTCCAAACCAGAGCGATGATACACAGACTCCAACATCTTCCCTTAGCTGGTCCGGTCTTTTCAGCCTGTTTGGTAATTGGCTTTCGTTGCTTGACAACACATTGAGCACGTCTGCTTCGAAGCCAAAATTCTCCTGGTCTTCACTTCTTTCTGCGCTTCTCGGACTGTCTGACAACGAGAACTCAAATACTCTGAACACCTTGACGGCCAGTACGCCCTCTAGTACGAAACAAAAAACAACCTCAACGTCTTCGGAAGAAACTCAAGCACCATCATCGACATCTGTTTCAGATGATGGTGGGGATGGTGATTTTGCACAGAGCATTCTACAGTCACATAATAAGTACAGAGCTGCACATGGAGCTAAAGCGTTGTCGTGGTCGCAAGATGCCTATAACTACGCTCAAAACAATGCCGACTCTTACGATTGCTCGGGTGTCTTGACGCATACTCATGGGAAGTTTGGTGAAAATTTGGCTGCTGGGTTCTCGAGCGGGCCTGCAGCTGTTGATGCTTGGTACAGTGAAGGGAAAACATTCGACTATAATCTGTACAACGAGTATAATCACTTTACTCAAGTTGTGTGGAAGTCAACGACTCAATTGGGCTGTGCTTATAAGGATTGCCGCTCGCAAGGCTGGGGGTTGTATGTGATCTGTGAGTACAGTCCACCAGGAAACGTAATCGGGCAAGAGAAGGACAATGTGCTGCCCTCTTAAGATTATTCTGTAGACCGTTGCTCTATTGCTCTATATACATTATAATCTTCCAAAAATGTTATGCATGACTTGATTAGTGGCGGTTAACCGTATGGATAAATGGCAACTTGGGGTAGTAACCAGGCACTCTGGATGCGCCCAAAGTATTCTCTAGTTTCACATCCCGTAAAAGCTGTTTGACACCTTGCTGGTTCAGATTATGTTGATTGGTAACGTCTGCCACTTGTTTAGCAAATGCCTTGTTTCGAAGCACTTCGGACACAGCTTTCTCTAGATCTCTCTCGACAAGTAGAATGTCTTCAGAAGTGGCAGCGCATGCAGCAAACCGGAAGAACCAAATTCCACTAACTGCAGATATATCCAGAGCCAGCGGCTGAGGTAGAACACTGTGTAAAGCTGCAAACAAAGTGCGCTTGATAAACTTTCTGTTTCTGATTCGCAGAGCAGCAGTGCCAAAAGGAGTAGGCTGTGATTTGAAGAAATTTAGGTTTTTGTACTTGCCTGAGTATTTGGAGAAGAGAGCCAGAAGATCAGGGTCGTTTAAAACCGGCCCGCTGAAGTTGGTAAACGTGTACGCTATGTTGGATTTGCGGGCCATACAGACATGGTGCAGAGCGGGAAAGAATTTGAGGGTGAAGAATTTGTTTTGGACGACAGTAGGCAAAGTTCGCCACATCCGTTTGCGGTCCACATAACTATAAGCGGCAGAGTCAATACCACGGATGTCTGTGGCCAACCTTGGAAGCAGCTTGTTAGTTATGTGCGGCAAATCTCTCCATGAGGACAGTCGACTAAATACGGGCTTTTCCAATGGCCGGAAGGGAGTTGATATGTGAGGATTTGGCCGTACTGAAGGGATGTTCTTGAGTATCATGGGCAGTCGATTGTATGTATAGCAGATAATTCAGTCAACTTGTGTGGATGCAATGACAAAGTGGAAACGGATTGGCTAGGGTACGTAACAAGGCAAAGATTTATTGGCTCACATGTACGACGAACACTGTTTGTGGCCACGGAAATAGAAAGGTGGGAATAACCGTAATTGAGGCAGATGGCCGTCTTTGAGCGCGCCTCCGCATGAAGGTGTGAACATTGGAACACCCATTCGCACTGAAGTGATTCAAGCCTTAGTCTTCTTCTATAGTAGGCGCCCATAAAATGACTCTGTTATCAGCACTGGCAAACGATAGGAGTTTTGGATTGAAGGCTAGAAGCTTACTTGGCCCAAGAGCACTATCCATTTTCCGCTGGGGCCGAAGTGTCTTGTCTGCGCCTATTGTCTTAACACCCGCAAGATCAAAGATCGCTACATAGCCCTGTGGTGAACCAGCAAGGACAAACTTTCCATCAGGCGTAAAGCATGCTGACCCTGCGGCCGCGTAGTCGAAACCTAGCCATGCTTCATGCCGTTCTTGTGTCACCGAAAGCCGCGCCACAAGTTTACCCAGAAAAGCGTCAAGCAAATAGTGCTGCGACGAGTCTGTGGCCACAAGCACGTAGCGGCCGTTATTTGAAAACTCTAGCTTAGTGTAGCGTTCCTTGTTAGAAGAAGGGATGTCTGCCACGGCAAAGGCACCGCGTTCGTAGTTGGAAGCGTCGTAGAGCGAAACGGAGTGGCCCACAGCCACCGCAAAGACGATGCCATGCGGGTCATACGCCACACACGCCACGCCGCCTACAGAAATATTGCCTGCGGGTTGGGACGTGCGCAAGTCCCAGGTCTTGACGGTGTGGTCCGCCGAAGCAGAAAGAAACATATCGGTCACTGGATTTACCTCCAACGCCAACACCTGGTCCTTGTGGCCTTTGAAATAGCGCAAGTAGCTTTTTGTGGCTAGCGAAAGATACCGGATAGAATGGTCGGCCTCCTCGTGAATAACGGGCGTAGACGCGTAAAGACAGTTGAGTTCGTTATTGGTAAAGCGTGCCAAATGGGCACCGTATTTCTGCAGCTGAATATCCTTATGGCGCACACCTTTATGGAAATCATACAATTGAATAGATTTGTCCACGCCTGCGGAAACAAGATACTGGCCCGAAATATCAAAGTCAAGACTGGTGATGGAGGCGTCGTCGTGGAACAGAAGGCTCTTTGCTGGCTGGAAAGAACCAAGCACATCAACATTAAGCGCTAGACTGGAATGTGATCGGCGAGACATTGTAGCAGGACTTTTAGAATCAAGGACGTCTGGGCGTATGTGCGTTTTTCTATCTCTGTGATCGCAGTGAGATCTGGAGTAACATGTAGATGCACGCTCATCAGAACGAGACGATTACGGTAACATTGAAATGGCTATTGAATGCCCGGGCAACATGGAATGGAGCATCCCATTGCTAATTTTGTTTTCTTTCTTTTTTTGCTTTGTTTCAGTCAATATAATTTCGCTCAATTGATTTTCTTCATAGCACTTGCAATACTCCCGTTGGTAAGATGAGTACCAGGACCACAAATAGAGGCAACAACACGAACCAACTAAAAAAGGAAAAAAAAAAAAGAATGGGGAAACATAAATAAAAAAGTCTCAACATCAGATCTACAGTCTCTGTTGACTAGCCTTTATTCTCTTTCATAGTCCGTAATTAGACATCGTGAAGAGCCAGTTAGAACACCTCAAGCAGCAATAGTTCTCCTACAAGTATAGACACCTTGATGACCAACGTAGGTTCCTCCATCGACTTTGGCGAATTTACGCAGCCTTTTGACCTAGAGACTTTTAATCTCTCCTCCGTTCTTGCTTCGCATACTTTTTCCGTACGTACGCGAATGTATCTGAGCCAAGCCTCGATTCAGACAACGTATACCACTGTTAAATGCGTTTTATTCCATGTCTATGATCTTATTTGACAGAACCATCTACAATTGCAACCAAGGCTTTCTTTAGGTGAACTTTTGATAAATCAACCAAGCCGATTTGCCGATTCGCTAATCGTCACGTGCACGTCCACGCATGCCCCTATATAGCGGGTATAACCCTGAATCTTGAGAGACAAAGCCCCGAAGTTCCGCATTGTCCACCATAGCCGATTGCATTGTCAGAAAAATATCACATAACATAATATTCCCACCCGCTCAAACCAATTGACATGACTGTTCCGTTCAAAGTCAAAGCTCTTTACGAGTACTCGTCAGAGTACGATGATGACTTGAACTTCTCTCCTGGTCAAATCATTACCGTCACCACTATCGAAGACGACGAATGGTACTCTGGTACTTACGATGGTAAATCGGGGATGTTTCCAAAGAACTTTGTTGAGGCTATTGATGAGTCCGCAAATGTGACCCAGAATGTGGAGAAACCTCAAGCGAGCGAGCCCTTGCCACATTCACAGGTGGAAACGCAGCATCAACCTCAAGAAGCAGAAGCTCCCGCTCCAATTACAGATTCCGCAACCAAAGAAGCATCTACAGCCCCAGTAAATGCTACATCAACCACAGAAACCAATCTATCAGTTGAGGACACTAGTGTTGGAGAAAGTCACGTCACCAATTCGTCCAAGCAACCTTCGGTATCGACAAAAGTTCCTCTACCAGGAATGACTCCTCAGCCGCGAGATGACCCATATGCTATCAAGAAGCAATTTTTTGGAGCAGGAAAATCATCATACGTGCCTCAAATAAAGCCTCGGGACCAATCCAATCTCGTTGCGCACACACATAATCCTACGGTCCCACCAACTGAGGTTGTACGCGAGCACGACCCGCATGCTCAAGAGGAGGAAACTGAAGAGCCAAAAATGAGCTTGAAGGAAAGAATTGCTTTGCTTCAGCAAAGACAGAAGGAAGAAGCGGAACGCGAAGCTGCTGCACTCAAACGCAAAGAGGAACGGAAGAAGAAAGCGGAAGAGGAGAAGGCAGAGAGACACAAAAAGGCTTCTGTATCTAGAAATACTACTGGAAATTCTCATGAACACGCCGATGCCGCAGATACGTCTTTACACGACGAAGATTCTTTTGTTGACGCCTCCAAGGACCCGTTGTCACATCAAGATACCGAAAGTCTTGATCATGACGCAAACTTCGTTGATCCAGATGTTCCAGAGTATCTGGAAGACGCAGACGAGAAGGAAGAAGATACATTAGGAGAAGAGCCCGAAACGGAAGACAGGGAAGAAGGAGAGGAAGATGAAGAGGAAGAGGAAGATGAAGACGAGAAACGTAGAAGACTTGTGGAGAGAATGGCCAAAATTTCTGGCGGAAGAAATATGTTTGGAATGATGGGTATGCCAACGCCATTCGGAGCCCCGGCTCCTGCGTCCAAACCTAAAAACGCCAAGAAGGCTGTGGAGGTACCTGTCGAAAAAGAGACTATCACGGAAGGGGCTCCTATGGAGATCTCAGAAAATAACGTTGGAACCACCCGTGCTCCTTCTCCACCAGCCGAGGCGGCACTGGTTTCACACAAGGCTCCTGAAGCTCCACTCGAACTGACTCAGCAGCAGAGAAATCTCGAAGCTAAAAATGTTCAAACATTACAGTCGGAAGACGATTTGAGTGTTTCCAAAGAGGACAGCATGGAAATCGTGGCAGATAGCTCAAGTGAGGATGAAGTGACAGGATACGACGCGGATGAAGATCTCTCAGATAGAGGAACAATTCCGAAGTTTGAAGCGAAAACAGAAGGAGTCTCCGCCCGTGTTCCACCTCCTGTACCCTCTGCAATCCCTCCCCCTTCTCGAACAGCACCTACTGTGCCGACTGCATCGAGCGTCCCAGACGTTCCCGCAGTCAATTCCAGTTCTCCTCCTCTGGTAACTGTACCACCCGTTCCAATTGTTCCTCCTGTTCCTACTACCGAAAGAAGTGTTCCTGAGCATACTACAGCTCCTCCTGTTCCTGGTGAAGCTCCAGCGGTTCCTAGTATGACTGCACCTCCTATTCCTTTTTCAGATACTAGGGAACGAAAACAACCTCCTCCGGTACCACATGTGACAACAATGCCGGAAGAACATGATAGTAAACCACTGCATCATGATGAACCCGGTATTCCTAGCCATCACGCCCCACCTCCACCGCCGCCCACCTCTGTACCAGCGCCACCAAGAACAAGTGTACCACCACCAATACCGACGCACGCTCCCCCTCCACCCACAGGTCACGTACCGCAAGTTCCATCAAGCCCAATTCCTCCTCTTCCTTCCTCTTCCGTCCCACCCGTTCCACCATCAGCACCTGTTCCACCATCAGCACCTGTGCCACCTTCAGCACCTGTCCCTCCTCATGCAACCTCAACACCATCTGGTTTACATGAGCGTACTCTTCCCGAAGAGGAAGGAAATCTTTCCAGTGAAGAGGATGAACAAGAGGCCTTCGAAGATGGTCACGAGAATTTCGAGGGCGCAGGAGATACTGGGTTCGTTGCATCTGGAATTCAAAAGTCACTGACATTCACTAACGCTGGGGCAATCCCAACTACAAAGCCCGTGGCTAAAGCTTCTACTACTAGTAGCTTTGGTAGAACTTCAATTGACAGTGTTGGCAGATCTTTGAGTTCTCGTGAGAACAAACTGGAAATTTCTCAAGCTGAGCAAAGTGCCCCTCTCTTGAAAGCAGAATTGAATAGTCTTTCTGAGACCTCTGCTTGGTGGACTCGCGATGCCATTCCTGACAGTTTGGAGCCAAAATTAGGTAACGACCTTATCTTCGAAGTAGACACGCATGAGATTCAGAAAAGATCGAACAAGCTCGTTATTTACAAGGACTATTACTTTTTATTCCACGATTTATCTCAAATTGTGTTGGAGATGCAGTTCCTGGCCGTTGACCCGCGAACTTCTGTTATTGTTAATAGTCTTTCGGTGAATCCGGCCCCACAATATCGCAAGGACCTATTGCACAAATTGACTGCGGTATACAGTGATGACGTGGTTGATGTATCAACGAAGTTAGTTGGCGCCAAAGTTGCATCCGGTATTGTTGGCAATGTCTTCAGCCATGTCCAAAAGAAACATCCTCAGTTGTTGATGCCCATTGGCGAAAAGTCTTACGGTGTAACCGTTTACAGAAATGTTAATCATCATGTCACAATGACCGATGAAGTCAAACCGGGTGACATTTTGTGCATGAAAAACGCTAAGTTCGCGACCAAAGCCTTAGGTGGCCTTGGAAACAAGCATGTCACTATAGGAGAAGGAAATTCAGTTTACTCAGCGGTGATCACCGAGTACGATCCCAAGAAGGATAAGTTTAAGGTGCTTGAATGCGACAAAAGTGGCGTCGTCAAAAAGGAAAGCTACAAGCTTGGTGATATGAAGAGTGGAAGAGTTCGCGTTTTTCGTTTAGTCGATAGAGGCTTTATCGGCTGGTGAGCATAATTGTACGAGAAAGAAGCCAAGCAATGTGTGTACAGTATTTTTTTTTTCTTGAATCACTCCATACGTGGATTCGATGCATTCTTCGTCTACTCCTTCTAATAGCAAGAAATATGACATAGGCCATACTGGAGCAATTAAGCAAACAAGTGTGCATGAAAACACATATTGTAATTCCATGCACCCCTTAAGGTGAGGAAACTTCCGTACATTTTTGTAGTCGCGGCCCCCACAGAGCGCCATAGGTTGCTTCTTTCAATTTTCACTCAATCAACGCTATCGTTTTTTCCTCGTCAGTGAACCTCTTTGTGATTCCTCGCAGAAATTACAACGGTTGGGTTTCAATTGGCATATCTGATATAGAAATCTACTTGCCGTTATGCTGATTGTTCAACGTGGATCGGACTTTGTCTTGTGTGTCCATTCACCTAAAGACAAGGATGAAAACACACTCAAGTCACTCATTGATACCTTAGGTGACAATGGATTTGAAATTGAGTCGCGCCCCGGTCCTGATCCGGAGGCAGATGCCCTCCTTTTCATTAAACTAGACCCTAAACGTGTCGATGAGCTTATCGAGAAGGACTTGGTGAAGAATTACGAGTTTGGTGTCACTTGCAAGAATGACACGAAGCCGGAAAGATCACGGATTATTTATTCTTACTTGACACACCCAAAAGAATGTGGAGGTGTGGGAATTGTGCCCGGTAAAGGGAAATGGTCTGCTATCCACTCCATCACTCCAATAGCAGGCTACTTGAGCGACAAGTCTTTGCTTAACACTGCAAAGAAAAACTTGCAATCTACTGAGCTTGATACCACTCATTTTAGAAGGGTGTATGGAACTGAAGTGGCGTTGTACTTTGAGTTTTTGAAGCACTACATATATGGCTTGGCTGTCTTATCTGTGTTTGGTATCATTGCCTTCTTTAGATCCAAAAATTACTCCTTGACATTTTCCTTTATTAACATGTTATGGGGTACTGTTTTTTATGATATACTGGAAAAGAAGAGAGAGATACGTTGTGAATTTTTGGGGCGTTCAGAATTCGCATAATGTGCCACCACAATGATGCTGAGCTTACTGCTTTGATGAGAAACTGGTTGATAAATCTACTCTCAAGGAGAGAAGAAAACGTGACAGTGTAAAATTTGCTAAACAGTTAGCCTTTATTCCCGTTGCTTTGGTCTTTGTGGCTATTCTAGTCACATATCAATTGTCGTGTTTTGTGTTGGAAATTTTCTTGTCTGAAATTTATGATGGTCCAGGAAAAAGCCTCCTCACATTGACTCCTACGGTTTTGATTTCAGTGTTTGTTCCCATCTTGACTATTGTTTACAATCTTGTTGTTGACAAGTTCTTGGACTGGGAAAACTATGACAACGACTATGAAAAGAACGATTCATTTGTTATAAAGACCTTTGTTTTGAATTTCTTAACAGGTTATGTGCCATTACTCATTACCTCATTCGTCTACTTACCATTTGCTCACTTGATTCAGCCCAACTTGCCTCATATTCAAAGAATCCTTGCTGAGAATGTTAACAGCAACCGTTACGTCTACAAGTACTTAATCAAAGTCAAGTCTCAACAGGAATTTGTTATGAACCAAGAAAGGTTGAATTCTCAATACTTCTATTTCATTGTTACCAACCAAGTCATTCAGTTTGCTATGAAATATGGGTTACCTCTCGTAATGGCTCCAGCCATCAAATTCGTGACAGAAAAAATCAAGGGAGATAAACCAGTTGTCACAAAGGATTCTCCTGAAGAGAAAGAATGGCTAGAGACTGTTCGTACCACAGTTCAATTGCCTCAACATGATGTGGGTAATGATTTTAGGGGTTTGGCATTGCAGTACGGCTACCTCATGCTTTTTGGACCTGTTTGGACTTTGGGTCCTCTTGTGTCATTGTTTTTCAACGTTATTACATTCAAATTAGATGAATTGAAGTTGGCTAACGGCAAATATTTTAGACCTCCTGTGCCAAAAAGAGTTGACTCAATTCATCCTTGGGACCTTGCTCTTTTGTTGTTGACTTGGATCGGCTCCATTATTTCACCAATTGTGACTGCCTTCTATCGCCATGGTACAAAGCCACCAAAACCATTGGGACAATTTGCATTGGACAAGGCAAGTGTGAATATTTCATCGACATTGGTGTTAGTGGCAATCTTTTTTTTTGTCCGAGCATTTATTTTTCATCATTTATGTGTTTGGAACCAAAATCTCAAACATGTTGGTTTCAGATAAGGAAGTTGAGAATGACTTCGTTGATCAGGATATTAAATTGAGAAGGGATTTTTATCACACAGAGCTCAAGTCCAAGCATAGTCCATCCGCAAAAGAGTACTATAAAGAAGCAGAAAAAGCTGCCCTGTCTTCTTATCAGAAAGCTTCTAAAGAGAATTCCTCTTTGAAAAACAGAGCAAAAATAGCTGACACCCCGGAGCAGAAGGAAACAAGGAGAGAATTGACAAACAACATGAATGAAGGAGACAAGATTATTGAAACCATCGGGGACAACGGAAAACCCACATTGGCTATAATTGACAATAATAAGCATTTCTCTCCAGATTCAGATGATAAACCAGATACAACATCTGAGAAGAAGGACAATGAAAAGGCATCCGTAGCGGTGCCAAAATCATCCAGTGAACATGAGAAAGTGGCAAAGGCCTCGTCAGAGAAAGAACCGGAATCATCACTGGAAAGTTCAAAGCAAGTCAAGGAAGGCGAAGCAATTGATGACGAAGAAGAAGGAGGTGAAGATGAGGATGATAGTGTAGCTCTGTCTTCACTGAAGAAAGTCTCTAAGAGAAAGAGCTTGAAAAAATTATTGAAGAGAAAGTGAGAGAAGACTATGATACTTAGAACCAACATTAAGGAAAAAAAAAAAAAGAAAAGAAAAAAAAAAATTGCTAAAATGTTATTTCTCTGAGATGAATTATATTAAGTATGTATTGTCTTCAATGGCCGTTGTTAGGAGGTCTTGCCTCGAATATTGAAGTTCCGACCCTCACGCTCGAAGATCCTTGAGATATAGCTGTAGTGAAATCGTTACTCATTCCCATACTCAATTGTAAATCCAAAGAAAATTTCTCATCTAAGGTCTTCTTGAGTTCAGCCAACTTTGCGAAATCTTGATTCAAACCGCTTTCAGACGTAGATTCAGCAAAAGAGCCAATGGTCATGAGTCCCTCAAACTTCAATTTTTTACATTCAGTTTTGTTTGTGAGAAAGTCAACTGTCTCATAAATCTCCTCCATGTTCTCTAAACGGTAACCAGCTTTCTGGTCTTCAGATGAAGTGTTGATTTGGAGATAAACATTGATAGGGGCAAAATCAACAGCTCTTCTTGCATTTTCTAACTTCTTGCACTTCTTCAATGCATCTATTGTCTCCACGGCATAGAGATTGTCGATATCTTTTGCCAAGTCTTTGCATTTGCCTGTTTGTAATGAGCCAATAAAATGCCACTGGATATCCTTAGGAAGTTCCTTGGCCTTTGCGGTAAGTTCTTGGACATAATTCTCACCAAAATGACGAACACCGTGGTTATACAATGCCATGATATCAGAAGATGGCTTCAATTTAGACACTGCCACTAGCCTGACTGGTTTGGATGTTTCAGCATTCTTTACTTTGCTCAACACACGCTCATAATTTTCAACAAGCTTCGCCTGTCTCGCTGGATCCACCTCAGGGTATGACATGGTTGAGTATTTGTAAACTGATCGAAAAAAATGGGAGTTTGGTCTTAAGAATCGGATCATATGAATGGAATCAAGATCTCAAATGGCTCATAATGCGCGCTCACATCCATACACCATTCCTAAAAGTCTATACCAGTCCAAATGTTTCCACTACTTAGTTACATCAAATCACACACCCATCATCAGATATGAATCGCTTCAAGCCTTAAGCAATTCTGTTTCACATGCATATAAAACAAAAAATATAAAAAGAAAGCTCCGCGACGGGGAATTGAACCCCGGTCTACCGCGCGACAAGCGGTAATTCTAGCCACTAAACTATCACGGACTGATTATGTCTGTAAAAGCAAAAGAGATAATATGAAGTATGTTATGTGACTGAGACAATGTGAATTGCTACATTCATTTTTCTCCTTTTAACTTTTCAGATTTTCTCCCTAATTATACATTAACAAAAAGAAACTGTAGTTTTACTCATGACCGATCATTCATTCTGAGAATACGGGCCATCTCCAAAATTTTTATAGCCCTAATTCACAAAACAGAAGGAAAAAAAAGGACCCTGTATGCAGAGAAGCATCGTTGATCCAAAATCATTAATCAACCTGGAATAGATACTTGGGACAATGACTGACTCTATTTACACGGGTGATGATTTTGCTGAAAAGGTGAAGAAGCAGGTTGAATTTTACTTTTCAGACTCTAACCTCCAAACTGACAAATTTTTATGGCGCATCTATGAAGCCAACGATGGGTGGGTGGAGTTAAAGACCATCTTGACATTCGGCCGTATGAGACAGTACAGACCCGAGGAAAAAGTAATTGAGGCTTTGAAGACTTCTGATAAGTTGACTTTATCTCCTAATGAAGATATGGTCAGAAGGTCTGCTCCATTAAAGGATTACAATGAATTAAAGAACATTAGAAGAAGAAACTCCGTCCACATTGAAGGTTTTCCTAATGATCTCACCCAAGAGGCATTGGAAGAGTGGTTCACTACCAAAATCATTCCTAACTTGCCAAAAGAAAAGAATGTGTGTTCTATTCGCAGAATCAGAAACAGAGCCACCAAAGAGTTTTTTGGTGTCGTTGATGTCGAGTTTAGAACCCAAGAGGATTCTGAATTCTTCTTAGGCGTGTCAGTTAGTTACCCTCGTGGTATTGTCAAGGACGAAGAAGTTGATGAGAAAGATCGTTTGAAGAAAATGTCCCTCTTGACATTCAGAGAAATGAGAGAATCTGGCAAGAGATTTGGTGTCAACGAGGTTACCAAAAGACGTAACTCCTTCAAGGATAACAACAGAAAGAAGTTCCGCAAGGGAGGTAAGAGAGATGACAAAGCGTTGAAAGAGGACGTTAAAGAGGACGTTAAAGAGGCCAAGGAAGACTCCAAGGTAGAATCCAAGGAAGATGAGAGTCACACGAAAGAAAACATGGAGCCAAGTACAGAGAAAAAAGAAATTACACAGCAAACAAAGGAGGGTTCAGATGACACTAAAGAAGTGAAGGAGGAGGCTAAGGTTGAAGCCAATGCCTAGTTAGAAGGAAGCGTGTACAAAGAAATATAAACCTCACGAATATATGTAATACCTGAATGCTTGGCCGTTTACAGTACTTCTCTGAAGTGGCAAGTAGAGCTTTTTGTATGAGATTCATTTTTATTCCTTTAAGACAAATGTTCTTTTACATCGAGGATCTTTCCTTTCACAGAAGAATTTCGCACTCTCTTCATTGTATCTGCACTACATTCAAGACGCGACACGTTTATCAAGCGCGTCTCTTTACCATCTAGTATCACTACCAGACTTCAAGAATGACTGTTGCCACAGGAACAAGGGACTGGTTTGTCAAGAAATTTGGCGTTTTGGACGATGAGGCTTTTCAAAAGTTCTTGTCTTTACAGTCTTTATTCCAGTTGTCTAACGATGATGTATACATCAAGTGGGAATCGTTTGTGGTGACCCACGAAAACGGAGATTTGGATGTCAGTGCCGAAAATGTCACCAAATTTCAGCAATATTTGCAAGACTCTCTTGCTCAAAGTCATAGTAAAAAGACTCCAGCTTCGAAAAAAGTCAGGGATCTTGCTGGAGCGAAACGTTTGGCTTCAGAGTTTTCATCTAGTCCAGCTAAAAGACTTACGGCAACTCCTACATTAAAGAGAAGGAAAAATGATCTGACGGTATCGAGTGATCCAATTTCGTCTCCTCTGAAAAAGGAGGCTCTTTTGTCGAGCCCCAGAAAAAATGATGCAGACTCGAATACCATTTTAGAATGCTTGAACCCAAACGTCGAGGTAATCTCGTCCGTTTCTGCTGTGGAGTTGGCAGCGAACTTTGATCCTCAGAAATACAAATTCAGAACTATGGCAATGAAACTTCTCGAGAGTGCCGACGTGTTGGACGAACAAATTGACACTTTTAGTGAACAATTTCAAGCACAGATCAGCGACTCTGATCTCCAATTTGGGAACCCATGCATGAGCTCTCAGTCTGATATAGTATGCTGTGGGCGCATAGTACCAGACTCACCCATGTACGATAGCATGGTTTTTCAGAATTTAAATGACAAATCTCTCTACTTGGAAACTTCTCGTTTAGGGGGCATAGGTCAAAGAATCCCTCTTGATATTTCTAATTTGGACGAGTACTCTTTCTTTCCTGGACAGATCGTCGGCTTGAAGGGAAGGAATCCAACTGGAAGAACTTTTGTTGTACATGAAGTTTTATCACTACCTCCCTTGGGCCAGTCTGCGTCACCTTTGCTGGAACTTGAAGAAAATGCAAAAAAGGGAGAAGGGTTTAAAGTGTTCATTGCTTCAGGTCCTTTTTCCAACCAACACACTTTAAATTACTCCAAGCTTGAAAGTTTAGTGGACCATATCAATGACAACATAAAACCCGAAGTAGTCATATTACTTGGGCCGTTCTTGGACATAACGAATAAGTCTGTGGAAAGCGGCGATATCGAATTGCCAAATTTACCCTCAAATCAACAACCGAAGAACCTAGATGAATTATTCAAAATGGCCGTTGCTCCCATTCTCAAGAAAATTGACACACAGATTCAAGTCATCCTTATCCCATCTTTAAAGGACTCTATAAACACACATGCCTCCTACCCTCAAGCAGGGTTTGACAGAAAAAAGTTGGGCCTACCCAAGAACTTTAAATGCTTCCCTAATCCTTCCACCTTCTCTGTTAACGAGGCGACGTTTGGAGTCTCGAATGTGGACCTTTTCAAGGATTTAAAGGATGTTTATAAAGGGGGCAACCCGGAGAAAAGTAAGCTCTATTCTAACAGGTTTGAAAGAATTGTTGACCATGTCTTTAAACAAAGGAGATTTTATCCTATGTTTCCAGGATCCATAAAACGTTCTATGTTGGGAAAAGAAGACGTTGAAACTATGACGAATTTGTTTGAGGGTTCGATGTCTGAGGAATTGGTAGAAACAGATGTTGGAGGCTCAAGTCTAGAAGTACCTTACATGGGGTTGACTGAATTAGGAGATGTGTTACCAGATATTTTCATTGCACCTTCAGAGCTTCGATACTTTGCAAAAGTTATAAATGGTGTGGTGGTGATAAATCCTGGACAGGTAATTAGAGCGAACAAGGACCCTGCAAAGGAAGATGGAAGCTACGTTGTGCTTAATGTCAAAGCTCCTAATAAGTCTGAAGAAAACAATATTGAGCCGGTTGAAAACTCTGATCTTTACTATCACAACATTGATAAACGGTCGCGCGTTGAAATCTACAAGAGTTGAAAGTGTTGCATTTTCAGATATTTGGGTGGTTAACTACGTAGTACTAGGTGTAATAAAGGTCATTTATTTTACTGATTCCAATTGCGGTAAGAATGTGGCCTCATTTAGCTGACGCACATTCCCTTGAAGCAGTAAACGGTCGTTATTTCTGTTACATACATCTGTTTCGCCTCGTGTAATCGAGTATTACGTGTTTTTGCAATTTCTTTTTCTGAGAAATTAGTTTCCAGTATGTAACTAAGTGGTTTGAAGACGCGCACGGTGACATATCTTGAGACCATTAAATATTGTGACGACGCATGAAAAGAGGATTCAACCCTCCTTTCAGATTGATTAATAAACCAACTACACATAGTCGGTCTCGGTCATACCTAACTAGGCAATTGTTATCAGTTTGGCATCAAGAATTGAAGCCTCTTTCCCGCAGACAAGACAACTCAGTTTTCAAGTCAAAAACACAATACATGACCATGTCTCAATCATCATCCGTTCGCCAGATTGTTTTACGAGATTACCAAAAAGAGGCAGTTGACAATGTATTGGAAGCAATAGAAAATGGGATAAAGCGACCGGCTATAGTCTTAGCCACCGGAGGAGGGAAAACAATAGTCTTGTCGTCACTTATTCCACGTCTTATGTCAGGAGAGTCGCTGAGGAAAAAAATCCTAATATTATGCCACAAGGAAGAGCTAGTCGACAAGCTCATGCTACAGTTTCTGAAATGTGTCCAAACTTGAAAGTTCAAATAGATATGCACAAATGTGTGCCCACAGAGGACGCGGATGTCATTGTGGGATCTGTCATGACATTAGTAAGACTTACTCGGCTTCACAAATATGACCCACTGCAATTCAGGGCTCTAATATTAGATGAATGCCATCATGCGACTGCATCATCATGGACAAAGATTTTGAATTATTTCGGTGCCTTGGAGGATGATTCTGACATTTTGGTTCTTGGGTTTACGGCCACATTTGAAAGAAGCGATGGAACAGCATTAAATAAAGTTTTCGAACGCATTGTTTTTGAGCGGAGCTTGCGAACGATGGTTGAGAACAAAGAACTTTGTGACGTCAAGTTTTCAACGATTAGTGTTGATTTAGACCTTAGCAAAGTTCGAAGAAACATGGGTGATTATGTGGCTACGCATTTGTCTAAGGCGGTTAATGTTAGTGAAATCAACTTGCGAATTGCTCTTTCTTACAAGGAACTCAAAACTAAACTCGGATTCAAGTCTACCTTAATATTTTGTGTCGACATTGAACACTGCAAAACTCTCTGTGGTGTTTTCCAGGAGAATGGAGTGAATGCTCAATATGTCACTGGTGAAACAGTCAAATACGAGCGACAAGCTATACTCGAAGACTTCAAGAATGGAAAAATTGACGTGTTGTGCAATGTCCTCGTGTTTACAGAAGGTACTGATATTCCTAATATCGATTCCTTAATTCTCGCTAGACCTACAAAATCTCGCCCCCTTTTAGTGCAAATGATTGGTCGTGGCCTTCGTTTACACAAAGATAAGCTGTACTGTCATGTGATAGACATGGTTGGAACGGTGAATGTTGGTGTTCTGTCGATTCCAACTTTATTTGGTGTGGATGATCTTGATTGGAAAGGTAAAACTCTATTGGAGGTAGAAAAGGAAGCAGAAGATGCGAGAGTGGAACTAGAAGAAAAGAGGAAGAAAGATGTGGATGACCTCTTGAAGATCCAGGAAGGGTTGGCTGGCATTGATCTTAATGTGGCAACTGTGGAAGGCTTTGCTGCTCTCGAAGTGCTTGTATCACACAGAATGCAAGACTTTGAAGATATCAGTAGGAAATTCATGAAGAGCCGATTGCAGTGGTTGAGACTTGAGTACGACATCTGGGCATGTAATATCCCCACGAACCGCACCTATTATACCATTGAACGTGTTGTGGAAGATGGAATAGTCCAGGGATTTCAATTGAACAAAAACGAGTTTGCATCTCAAGCAGCATTAATTGCGAGCTCATTCAAGTGTAGTAGAAGTTTGACTACAATGATTACTACAGGTTCCTTGGATCACGTTCTCGCGGTCGCAGACAATACAATACACCTTCCGAAGAACATCAAGGTGTCAACTAAGAGTGTGACACACAAGCAAATCGAATTCCTCTGGAATAAACTTTCTGATAAAGTCGCCTCTAAATATGAGGAGAGTGGCCTCATTAGATTTGAGAAGGCGCTCAAAGAGTTGACACTTGCACGTGCGTCAGACTTGATCTTTGCTTCATTATACTCTGTCAACTGTATGTGGGTAAAGTGGGAATTGAGTCGCATGCTAGGGCTAAGGATACCAACAAAGAAGGCATCGGTGAGGAAGTCGAGAAAGAAGAAAGTTGAAACCTCTCTACAAAAGCCATGATGTACTTTTTGTTTCCTTATAGAGGAATTCTTTCGCATGAGGTTGACCTTTCTGATGGCCAGAAGAATAGACGTTAGGCTTCACAATAGATATGCTAATCCATATTTATCTACACTTTTCTAAGAATATATGAAAGAGGTGCAACGAAACAAACTTATGCACATGTAATTGACGTTTCTATTATATAATAATGTCCATGAGATTACGAACTAGTTTATCATTCTGAATATCGTTGTGTTCATACTGACGCGAATTTATCAGTTCTACTATTCTGTATTTTGTGGAACGTATTTTTCTCCTGCACTCACGCACACATTGTTGTTTAGTAAGGTGTATTGTGGATCAGTTTAGCATTAAGATGAGGTTCTTTAGCCTATGGTATTTGCTCTCCTTAGCGCTGCTTATCGTTGCTGATGTGACTATTGATACAGAAGAGGCAGGAAAGATCATTTCGTCCTCAGGACATACTAACAACTGGGCTGTTTTAGTATCGACTTCCCGATTCTGGTTCAACTACAGACACATGGCAAACACCTTGAGTTTGTATAGAACAGTGAAACGCTTAGGTATTCCAGACTCTCAAATCATTTTAATGTTGGCCGACGATGTTGCGTGTAATCCTAGAAATGCGTTTCCCGGAACTGTTTTCAATAATATGGACCAAGCTATTGATCTATATGGAGATGATATCGAGGTCGACTACAGAGGATATGAGGTGACAGTTGAAAACTTCATTCGTTTGCTTACAGACAGGTGGGACGAAAATCACCCCCGGAGCAAGAGGCTTCTCACAGACGAAAACTCCAATATTTTCATTTACTTGACAGGTCATGGCGGTAATGAGTTCTTGAAGTTCCAAGACGCAGAGGAGATTGGCTCGTACGACTTGGCAGACGCGTTCGAACAGATGCATGAGAAAAAGAGATACAAGGAGATATTTTTTATGATTGATACCTGTCAGGCCAATACCATGTACGAAAGGTTCTACTCGCCGAATATTTTGGCAGTAGGTTCGTCTCGTATAGAAGAGTCTTCCTACTCCCATCACTCCGACTTAGATATTGGTGTTGCGGTGATTGACCGCTTTACTTACTACACTTTGGACTTTTTGGAGAAGATTGATAAGAATTCCATGGTTACTATGGACAAGTTGTTTGCCGAATACCCCATTCGAAAACATTCATTCGCATCCAGGGAATACGTACAGATCTTTTCAAGAGAGATTTGAGCACCGTTAGGTTGACTGACTTTCTTTGGGAATTGTGGCAAGAGGGTGAATGGTCGAT